GCTGTCTGATTCATATTTGTAATACAAATATTTGTAACATATTTGTAACACAAAGATGAGATGAACATTTTTATTTTGCATTTTTCCAAAGAGAAAACAGGCTTAAAGAATTTGGTAATAAGACTAAAGAGATGCCACTAGAAAGTGTTACAAGCAGGTCTGAACCCAGGCAATCTGATCCCAGTATTCTGTTTTCTAGGTTATTATGGGCAATTAAAACAATGCACGGTGATTTTCAAATTAAAATTTAAAGCAAAATGACATTTCCAGGAGTTGTATCCCCAATCTCTGTAACAAAGCAAAATATTCTTTATCAAATTCTCAATGATTTGATAATGTATATTTCTCCCAAAATTAAGGTATAAAATAAAATAGGGAAGAAGATGCTTTACAGAGTTCAAAACCCTAGAGAAATGTTAGCAATCATTTTCCCTAATAAGCAACCTTGGTCCTGAGGCTTGGGCCTGAGGTTATTCCATGTCTCAAAGTTTTGGTCAGATATTGGCTGAGAACAGTGTTCTGCTGACTAAAAAAAAAAAAAAAAAAAAAAAAATCCCTTAAATTTTATTAATGTCAGTTATTTACATAACTGTCATTTTGAGGGTACATTTTCACACCATCATATGTTCACATGCTTCACTCACTCTCCACCATAATTCCTGTGCAGAGGTCCTATCTCCTTCCTTCCCCTACCCCCTTTCCTGCTGAGATCAGAACCAGACTGCAGCTGCAGGGTCATTTGTAGTCCAGGGTTTGTGGTGAGAACTGTCAGTAGAGTATGCCTTAACCCACTGGAGATTGCAAATCCTCCCCTTGGCTCAAGCAGACATGGCACTGAGGGAGGTGTATGCCACTGGTATTCTACTATAGTAACCACCATACCCACAACTCTGGCCCCCATCCTATAGTCTGGATTCTTGAACCTCTACTCCACAGTGGCTCTTGGGCTGAATTCATCCTGAAGATGTGGCCTCAAGCAATACAACAATAGAAAGCACAGCATCCAAGGTCAACACACTAGACCAATACTCTGAGACTTGTGATTCTAATGCAGGACATTGCAGCTAGACTAGGAAGGAAAGGAGTCCATCTTAAGCCACAGAAATAATCAAAGAGCACCAAACAGAATGTGAAAGCAGAGGAATTCACCTCAACCAATGGATCAAGAAAAAAGTCTGGGAAAAAACCCAATACAACAAAACTAACCAAACTACTGGAAGAAGACTTCAGAGCAACAGTCTTAATGATGCTTACTGAAATTAGTAGAACAATGAATGAACAAAAAAATACAATAAGAATAAAGAAAATATGAAGAAGTTCTAAACAGAAGTCACAGAGATAAGGAAAGCAATAGCTGAACTGAAAGATACAACAGAGGAACTCACAAGTAGATTCAAAGAGGCAGAGGAATGAATCAATGAAACTTGAGTTAGAGTAGTTGAAAGTATGCAAAAAGACCAGTAGAAGGGGAAAAAGAGTTAAAAAAATGGAACGAAACATAAGAAACTTATGGGACAGTATTAAGAAGAACAACATTCACATAATAGGGATGCCAGAAGAAGAGAGGGAGAAGGCGGCAGAAATCCTATTTGAAGGAATAATAGTCCAGAACTTCCCCCCAAAAGAGGGACAAAAACAGAGTTGTTCAAAGAATGTAAACAATATAAACCCAAACATATGCACACCAAGACACATAAATATAATGGCAAAGATTAAAGTTAGAGAATTCTAAAAGTAGTTAGGAAAAGCAGAGTTACATATAAGGGAATTTCCATTAAAGTATCAGTGGATCTCTCAGCAGACTAAAATAGAGTGACATGAGATATTCAAAGTTTTGGATGGAAAAGACCTTCAATCAAGAATCTTCTGCCTACCTGTGCTAAGACTAAGAATTGAAGAAGCAAGATAGTGCTTTACAGTCAAACAACAGTTGAAGGAATCAATCTCTTTAAACCAACTTTGTAAAAAGTTTGAAAGGCCTTCTATAAAATGAAAGCAAACCTCATTTGGAAGTAACAAGACTCCAGGAATAGAAAATATGAGGGCAGGGGAGTTAAAAATAACAGCCACATCCACAATAATGTAACGAGACCACTATCTCACACCATACAGAAAAATAATTCAGTAATAATTAAAGACTTGTATGTAAAACCTGAAACAATAAAATACACAGAAGAAAACATAGGCAAAATACTCCACAACATTAGCTTTAGTGATGTCTTTGGGGACTTGACCACACAGCAAAGAAAACATGTAAAAATAAATAAATAATACCACATCAAACTAAGAAGCTTCTGCACAGGGAAAGAAACTATCATGAAAAAAAAATCAAAACTCCACTAAATAAGTGAAAATATTTGCATATCATACATCTGACAAGGGGCTACATACAATATCTATAAGTAACTCATACAACTGAACACAAGAAACAAACAACCCAATCAGAAAATGAGCAGGGACCTAAATAGACACTTCTCCAAAGAAGACATACAGATGGCCAACAGACACAGGAAAAAATGTTCACCATTACTAATAGTCAGGAAAATGCAAATCAAAACACAGTAAGTTACCACCTCACACAGAGATAATGGCCTATATTAAAAATACCAAAAGCAAGTGTTGGTGAAGATATAGAGAAAAAGAGACTCTTGTTTACTGTTGGAAATGTAGATTGCTCCAGTCCTAGGGTAAACAGAATGGTGTTTTCTCAAAATATTAGAAATGGAACCATTGTATGACACAGCAATTCCACTCCTAGGTACCTATACAAAGAATGCAAAAACACTATTTCTGAGGGAATGTGCACTCCTATGTTCACTGCAGCACTATTTAGAACAGACAAATTGTGGAAACCTAAGTGTCCAACAATGGATGAATGGATAAAGACATGATATATATCAATACACACCATGAGTATTACATGGCTATAAAGAAAAGATGCTATCTTGACATTGGTGACAACATGGGTGGAATTGAAGAGAAGGATTATGCTGAGTGAAATAAGTCAGGAGAAAAAGAGATACTGGATGATTTCACTCATATGTCAAATATAAAGAAACATAGCAAAGGAAGAGACAAAACTAAATCAAAATCCAAAATATCTGACTGCAGAACTGCAGTTCCCAGTGGGGAAAGGGAAGGAGAACAAGGCAGAAAGAGAGCCCAGTGGACTATGGGGCAGGACTATCAGTGCTTTGGTGGTGCCTATGGTGTGGTAACATATCTATGAAGCTATACACCTAAAAAATATACAGTGTTGTCACCTCAATAATAATTTAAAACAATAAATAATTTAAAAAACAAAGAGGGAAGAAACTTAAAACTATGTAATTTTCTAAAATTAAAAAAGTAAAAATAAACCAGAATATAGAAAAAGTGAAAAGGTTCTGTTTTTTTCTCCATTAAGTTATATCCAATATTTCGAGATTAAAGCAAAATTTAGATTATTGTAACACTTAAATTTTGGCCTTAGATCAGAAATGCTCTGCATGTTATCCCTACGATCCCAGTATCTACCTTTTTATTTCCTAAAGGGAAATAAAGAATTTGGTGAACACGAAGTCAGAAAAAGACTCTGCTATTGAAATGACAAAGAGGCACTGTGGGAGGCATGCCCTTTAATCACTGGTAGACATGCTGGGATGCAGATTTCCATTTGCTTTGTAAAAATAAGTTCCATAAAAGCAAGTAGTTGCCTCTTAAATTCACTAATATAGCTACATGGCTAACTTGTAAGCATAGTTGGTACCCAATGATTCTTTTTATTTTTTTAAAGATTTATTTATTTTTATATAAGAGCTGGGGTACAGAGCAGATGCGCAGGAGGGTGAGAGGATTCACCAGAGAGAGAGCAGGGAGCAGGACAGGCAGACAGATCTAAGTACACTGCTGAGTGCAGCAGCGGGCAAGACAGGAGAGGTCTGCCACGCCATGTGGCTATTTCCCTGGCTGGCTGGGAATCGAACCTGCACTGCAGAGGCTGCGGACAGCTTCACAGTGCTGCTCTCAATCCACTGCACCACCGGGGAGGCCCGGTACCCAATGATTCTAATATTCACCATTTTCAATGAGCTAAGACCCAGTACCTGCTGATTCACACTCAGGGCTTAGAGAGAGTAGGGCTTGGTCATGTTGGTCAAGTCAAGATGTTTTTTGTTTTAACTCAATATGAAGCGTAGAATTTTTTTTAATTCCAAATAAAATATTTTCAGCAATCATAAAAGGAGGGATAAGTGTTAAATGACATCACACCTCTTGTCCTACTATTATATTTTTATCTTCCAAGAAAGTCAGGTCATTTATCATTGTTTTTATATCAAAACCCATAATTTGGCATATTAAGTTTATTTTAAATAATCTACTCCCAAATTGGTCAAGGTTAGCTAAATAAACAAGTTAAACCCCTTCCATTCAGGTTTATTTCTGCTTTTTAAAATAGATAAAATGGAAGAGTCAAATTTGAACTAAAACATACAAGGTAACAATCCCTACTTAGCAGTTCTTACCTGCCAAGCCTCTAACAACTGGAACTTTGAAAATAATTCCTCTAGCAGTCAAACCTTAGCTTACATCCACACTGCATCAGTATTGTTATATAATCTGTGGAATATGCACTGTATTACCTTTTATGAAATCTGGAAGATTCTAAATTCCAAAACGATGGACTTGTAGCTTGATTGAAGTGAGAGGTAAAGAGGTTGGAAGAAAAATATTTCTGTATATAAATAGTTATGCTTAATTAGGGACTTCAGGTAAATCACAATCTTTCTAGGATTTCTTTCATGATGTATAACATTAAGTGGTTAAACCAGATGACTTCAAAAATCCTTGGCAGTAAGTAAGCCCTAGGATTCTACCTGCTCAATTTATATCCTGGAACACATAACAAATTGTGCTCAATTTTGTATTAGGTTGAATTTCCATAGCTTTTTCCCACTGAAAGTGTCAAGCATGCATTATTAGCCATCTCTTCAATTATGTAACGTAATTCAGGTTAGTACCTGCTTTGCCAAACACAGAAGATATGCCTTCCATAATGGTCTTGTGGATGCTGGGATAAGAGAGAACAAAGGCAAGTGTCCAAAATGCAACCTTAAAAGAAGAACAAACACCACAACCTTCCTTAAAAGTGTACTTTATAGTAGCTGTAAACATTTAGAAGAAACAAAGAAAATGCTTAAACTTAAAAGCATATTAGTAAAGAGCATTTTTGAAAAACAACTAGATTTTATAAATACACTAGATATTAGATATATTTACGGGGTCAAATCTATAGTTCTATCCCCTCACTATATTTAATTATATTGTTAATACAACTTGAACTATCTTTACTGAAAAATGAAGCAGGATTTTTTAGTAATACACAATCAATATAAAATGGTAGATAGGCATATATTAAGTATCAGAAACAATAAATGATGACTTAGGGATTTTAATCCAAAACAAAAATATTGTTAAGAATTAATTTCCTTGAAATGCAAATGAACTAACAAGTTATATTTTCTATTAATGACAAGGCAATTTTAAGTAAGCACGGAAACCATACCTATAGTCTCATAAACTATACTGTCAGAGTACTGTATATATATATAATGATCCACCTGAATGTTATTGAATGTGACATGTTTGCATGTTCTCTCTCTCTAGACCAAACAAAAGTATTTCAAGTTTAATCATATTTTTCCTGATTATGAAATTATAAAATCTTACTGATATCTATATAGAGAGAGCAATATATAAATATATATAAACTGACTTTCCACTAATTTTCTTTAAATAATCCCAATACTCCCCTCTGTGGTGAAAAGAGGAAGAGCAATTGTTTGAAAGGAAGTGTTCCAATAAGTCAAATTCAATACTCCTCATTGTTTTTCCTTTTGTGACATTTAAACTGATAATGCAAGGATAAATTTCATGCTGTTTACATAAATAAAGTGAGTGGGAGAACCCAGGTCATTGCAATATAGAGTCTCTTTTTGTGTTATCATCCAGATTGCGAAAGACTTATCATAGAGATCATCCAGCTCTTCCTTACAATAGAAGACATATGCTAAGAACGTTTGTCTTTCCTGACTCCCAACCCAAACTTTTTCTGCTATTATCAACATATGGAAATGCTGAATGATTGGATTTAATTAATAACTACTCCATACTCAATTCATACTATTTAAAGAGTCAGAGATCACGTAGGGAAAGAAAAAGTTTAGTGGTCATTCCTAAATTTTCAGTACGCAATAGAATTTGGCATTTTACAAATTAGTGCTTAATTGTGCTTAATCAGATCTTAAGGGATTCAATAAAATTGGGTAGTACTTATTTTTATGACAAACAAAAGGAATTCAGCTAAGTCTTAAATGGCTATTTAATATCATTATTACTTTTAATGACTCTTTTCTAAATGAATTTCTCCTCTAAAAATCAATATTATTTTCAACTTCAAAGAATTAAATCAGTTTTTAAAAAATATGACAAGTAAAACATTGTAAAGAATAAATAAGCAGCTCATCTATATTGAATGAAAAAATAAGTGAATGAAGGTCTTTGTGTGTCCATATTTGGAAAAGGAATTAAAAACTGTTTCCAAATGTACTAATTATTATTTTTCTCAGTTCAGCATGTGTTTATTTTTAATTTTTTCTTAATTTTAGATATTTTACATCATTTTTTAATTTTTGTACAATGTATGCATTTTCATCTTGGTTATAGACCCCGTAAAATTTTGATTGTTTTGATCAAAACAATCCTATTCCCTTCTCCCCCCCTGTAGTATGTCTCTGGTTTATAGTTGCCTATTGATTTTGATTTTGTGAAATAAGCCAAAAAAAAAAGAAAAATACCAGATGGTCTCACTTATAGCAGGAATGTAGAAGACCCAAATAAGGGATCAGGAAAAAAACTAATTATTATTTTAACAATGGGATCAAATTCATGGTGAGGGTCTTGAAAAAAGCAGAAGGGCTACCTGGCTTACTAAGCTTAGGAAGCAGGAGCCAGAATGTCTTTCCATTGTTTTGGAGAGGTAAGAACAAAGGTGTGGAGGCACAAGGAGGAAAGTTGTGCCCTGCTGTTTCAGAGAGAAGATGAACTGAGTATGTTCTTCACCCATTACAAAAAAAGCTTCAACAAATATTGATGGCATCTCCATAACATCTCCACCAATAAGGGTAAACACAAATATGTCTAGGATATAATTGCTGCCCAAAGAACATTTCACATCTAGTTGGGGATGTGATGTACATACACACAGGAGAATAAAGACCTAAAATGTACAAACAATAAATGACTGTGGGAGTTGAGAGTTGAGGTAGGGTGGAGGGTAGCTATAACTTTTGAAAACATTTAGAAAGAGCCCCAAAGAAGTGACTAAAAAGGTTAAATATTAGCTTTGAGATTATTATTGGAAAAGATTCTTTAAAAGTTCATGGACTTGGAAATGGCTGTCCCATAGAAATAAGCCTATACATTATAGTTGATATCTTGGGCCAGGCCACCAAAGTTTACTTAGACCACAGCTTCCTAGGGACCTGCACTGGGTCTACCTGAAGCCTGTGGCTTGAGGCAGAGCATAGAGTCAGAAAGAAGATAAGAATATGCTCGCAACACTAAGAAAGGGCATGCCCACCATCTGCGAGCTCCAGCAGGGCTTTTGCAGCTCTGTGGGAAGAGAAAGGAGGTCACCAAAGCTGGGATAGCAGTGGCTACTCCTATCCTTGGGCATTTGAGTGAGCAAGTTTTGGAAGCCATGGTAGTTCATTATTAATGGGCCATTGAATGATTGATAGAAAGCATAGCACTACATTTTATGAAGAGAAAGCTAACATATATTATGCACCTAATTTGTGCCAAGGACTGAGTCACTTTTTATTTTTGTAAATATAATGTTCTCAACTACTCTATGAAATAGATACTATTAGTTCCATTTTACAGATGGAACACTGAGGCTTAGAGATGTTACACAATTGGCCCACTGTCACCTAGTGCTGGGATTTGGCTTTGACCCTGATGAAAGCCTGTCCAGGGTCACTGCCCACATACCAGCTGCCTCTTGGAGGTGCCAACAAGAGTCAGCAAGATGGAACTAATCATCAGACACTTCCTTTCATAAATTAATTATTTAAATCCTTTCAGACCAGTGCTGGGAACAAATTCCAAAGAACTGACTTTCCCTGTGTCGGAACAATAGGGCTTTATGTCCCTTTTTTCCTGGGACCTTTCTAATGAGATCTTGAAAATTAATTCTGTGACAGAAGTAGCTGTTTTGTTGCTGCTTTGAGAGTTGTTTTGATGTTTACTTTTTAATTTTGCTATAGCCTAATCAGTTTCCAAGAAAATTATATAAGGAAAAATCAAAGAACAATACCAGAGGTACATAAAGAAAGGGAATGGATTAGACTATTTTTTCTTGCTCACACCAGATGAAATACATATTCTAGTGGCTGACACACATTTGAGCAGAGAGGCCAGACTTTCTATTTATGCTCTGTACCCAATAAGTTTCATACAAGTTAGAAGAAATTAGAGTATCAGGACTTAGAAAGCTTCTCACAACCTTCCAAAGAGGAAGGACACTTAAAATAATTTATTGCTCCTTGTTACAAGAAAAAAGAAAAACAAATACATTTGTCATTTGAGATGAGTTATATGTTCCTGTTTAGTAGAAAACAAATATATAAAAGCAAATACATATGTATATAATTTCCCAAATATATTCCTGTGAAATCCTTACACAGGAAACTGGTGTGTATCAAAAATGAAGTGGCAGACAAACCTCATGGCTTTAATCTAGTTCACAACAGCTTTAAAAAGAAACAGATAAAAAAATTCTGCTTTCTTTAGAAATACTGTGCTTTCTAAGGTCACCAGCTCTATTCATGAGGAAGCTTAGAGGACCACGCTGGTAAGCAAGGCAAACAGAAATGGCAACCAGGAGAATGGGTAGAGGGGAAGACAAAGAACTAACATTCATTTGGTACCATCTGGGTTTATCCTGTTGAATCTTCACAATCACCTTGTAGAGAAATGAGAGCTACAATCATCTAGTCCCTAAGTCCTAGCACCATACTAAGAGCTTTATTATCCCTTTCTTAAAGCTAAGGCAATGGAGATGCAAAGAGTTTGCTACCTCTATGAAATTCTTCTATAAATAGAAGAAGGCTGGGGGCCATTGAAAGTAATGATTGCTAGAAAACACCCAGTTCTGTTGGAAATTATCTGTCTAGTTACTTTCTACTCAATAACTGTTAAGGTCAGATTTTATTCAGATTTCCAGCACCAACACCACACATGTTGCCTGACAAACAAAGTGTCCCATGTGTGGGTGTTGTCACAACTGACTCCAAAGAGCAAGCTTTCCCCTTAGGCTGTTATGTGCTGCCTTTCAGAGGAAGAATTCATTGCAGATCTCCGTTTTGCCTCCTTTGTGACCTCATCAGATTTCTTCAAGCCTTCAGATTTGTTTTTCTGTCTGAGAACTAAACCCATCACAGTCCTTTTCTTTCCCCACAAGAAGAAGTTAAAAAAAAAACTGAAAAAGAAAAATGATGAGAAAATTTGAAAGTGCAGTAGACAGAAAAACAACCCTTACTTTACTAATATACTTACAGGGACAGCATTGGACAGAGAAGCCCAAAGAAGCACGAGCCCATAATTAGGACAGTTTTGTTCACCTGTCTCCATCTCTACCATATCCAGTATAGCCTGAAATAAGGTCTGTTTAAAAGAAATTAATAAATTTAATTTAAGATTGTCAAGAACCAGCTAATTGACAAGTACTGGTATTAATAAACAAAATATATGCATTTTTCTTTAACCTAAAAGCTAGTATATGAAGAAAAAGATCAGTAATTATAGGAGATGGGAGCATGAATAGGTAGAGCAAAGAGGATATTTAGGGCTATAAAAAACATATTATAATGATGGACATCTGTCATTATGTATTAAACCAACAGAATTTGTAACATCAAGAGTGAAATGTGGGCTCGAGGTGATTATGATGTGTTAATGGACATTTCTGATGGATTTACATATAAGCTGGTAGCACACTGGGGCCTCCCTGGTGGCGCAAAGGGTTAAGCACTGCACTATGAAGCAATCAGCAGCCTCTACAGTATGAGTTCGATCCTTGGCCAGCCAGGGAGCAACCCACATGGCGAAGTAGACCTCTCCTGACTCGCCTGCTGCTCCCCTCAGCAGTATACTTCCGTCAATCTGCCTGTTCTGTTCCCCACCCTGTCTCTTGTGAATCCTCTCACCCCCTGCATCTCTGGCCTGTACCCCAGCTCTTGTATGCATAAATAAATAAATCTTTAAAACAAACAAAAAAGTTGGTAGCATAGCAATTAATAATAGGGGCTCTGAAGCTTAGCTCCTTTACTGAATTGGTTTAAATACTGGCTTAGTTTTAAGACTTCATTTTTTGAGAGCAGTTTTAGGTTCACAATAAAATTGAGAGGAAGATACACAGATTTCCCATATAATCCTTATTCTCACAGTACATAGTGTTTATTAATTTCACTTACCAAAATGGTAGTTATTATTTGTTTTTTATCAGAAGTGTGCACTGACACAGAATAATCATCTCAAGCCCATAGTTTGAAAGTTCACTCTTGACGTTACACATTCTACAGGTTTTGACAAATGTATAATGACACATGTCCATCATTATAACACATTTTCATGGCCCTATATATCCTCTTTGCTCTGCCTATTCATGCTCCCACCTCCTACAACTACTGATCTTTTTACTTTCTTCATGGTTTTGCCTTTTCCATAATGTCATAAAGTTGGAATCATGTAGTACATAACATTTTCATATTGGCTTCTTTCATTAAGTAATGTGTATTGAAGTTTCTTCCATGAATTTCCACCATTCACAATCCTTGACTCTTGCAGATTAGTGAATAAGAGAACTGCATTGTACCATAGTGTAGCAGTCATGCTTCAGATCCTAAGACATAGGTAATCTACTACATTACTACTAGAGAAAATCCATGATGGGGGACTGTTACTAACGCATGTAATGTTTCAGAAGTGATTAATTATTCTAACCTCCAGCTTTCTGATTTTAATAATCCTCAGTTTTCTGGATATTAATGTCATTGTAAAAAATAAATGAGTCATGAATTTGTGAAATGCATGATAGTATGCTTGGTGTAGAGCTAGCATCCCACAAATAAGTATTAGTGATACCTTATTTTTGTAATAATGGCTTAGTAGAATTGAAAATAAATATAGATTTTAGTTACTGTTGGTTTCTTTAAAGTTTACATCTCATGAAAAATCCTATAGATATACTTCGTTCTTTTGCTATGCTATGTAGTACAGTCTTAAAAATACTAGTTTGGTGTATATCTAGAATAGCATGGGAGAAATCAACACATTTGATGAAAATGTGAGTATAATTTTTTAAAAAACAAAAACCTTCTTCCAGTTTTTAGCTTAATTTCATTGGAATCTACTAATGCAGAAGACCACAGAATCTTTTTTTAAAGATTTGATTGATTTAATTTCTTCTTATCCCACATTTTAAAAAGCATGGGCAGTGAAAAAAGTTCATTGTGAACACTGCTGGAATGAAACAGAAGTAATACATTTTAGGAAAAAAATGAAACTAAACTGCTCACAATATTCAAATTGAATTCTGTACCTAAGTCTTCAATGTTGGAATAGCTTCAAGCAAAGTTTAAAACGTGTTTTATTTAAAATAGGAGGTAAGAATACTTATGGTTAATAATACCTCATTTATTCGGAATAAGAAAAATAAATGACGGTCTAGTAGGGAGACTTAGCAAGGGCATTAAAAAAACCTGTTTGTAGGTTCACAGGTTCCAGATCTATCTTTAAACACATGTGGTTTTAACCCTCTAATTCCTAGAAAATAATGCATATAAAAAATGTGTTTGGGTCCGTTTGTAAAATAGAAACATTAGCTGAAACACAGTTTGAAACGGAGTCAATGAAAGACATTCCAGTACAGCTTTCTGTATTCCTTTTATTCAAGGGGGAGCTACCTTCACATATTCCTTTTTTCCTAAAGCTATCTTCCTCCCCAGTGTTAAGTAGTTGTTTGTAGTATCAATTGATATAATAACTAAAAGCAAGCAAACAAAACTATTTGACATCTTCTTGAAATATTAAAATATCTGAAGTTTTTTATTTATTTTTTATTTTTTAATCTTTTTTTAAAAGATATATTTATTTATTTATACAAGCACTGGGTACAGTCAGAAGCGCGGGAGGGTGAGAGAACTCACCAGAGCCAGAGCGGGGAGCAGAGCAGGCAGAAGGACCGAAGTACACTGCTGAGAGGAGCAGTGAGCCTGGCAGGAGAGGTCTGCGCGCCATGTGGGACCCTCCTCCGGTGGCCGGGGAGCAGCCGGGTATCGAACCGGCACCGCAGAGGCTGCGGGCAGCTTCTCAACCCAGCGCTCAACCGCTGCGCCACCGGGGAGGCCCTGAAGTGTTTTTTTAATGATAGAAAAACTGATAAACTCAAGTAGTCCTTACTATGTTCTACGTGTCTTTTCTATATTGCACTAAGTCCTTTACAAATAGTAACTCATTTAATCCTCACAACTCTATGAGGTAGGTGAGGAAACTAAGGACAGAAAGTCAGGTAACCATGCCCTAAATCAAGAAACTGGTAACTGGATTTGAGCCTAGGCAGTGGGAAGCACATGAGCCTCAGTTTCTGAGGGTTGGCCTGGAGAATTAAGGAGTTTTAGAAAGCTCCCAAGGAATCATTTTTTTTAAGATTATTTTTTTGGCGGGGGTGGGGGTCTCCCCTGGTGGCACAGACAGTTGAGCGCCGCGCTGTGAAGCTGTCTGCAGCCTCTGCAGCACCGGTTCCCTCCTGACCGGCCTGCGAGGGTCCCACATGGCGGAGCAGACCTCTCCTGTGGCACCCGCTGCTCCCCTCAGCAGTGTATTTCGTCAGCCTGCCTGTTCTGTTCCCCGCTCTGTCTCTGGTGAATCCTCTCACCCTCCTACACATCTGGCCTGTACCCTGGTTCTTGTATAAATAAATAAATAATAAATAAATAAATCTTAAAAAAAAAAAAAAAAAAGAAAGAAAAGACAAAGCCTGCCTCCCCCTGACAATGTGCGCAGCTTCACTCAATGACCCCCACCTTGGGTCCATGAAGTCTGCCTGGGGTGCAATAAATTTTCCCTTCCTTTGAGGAAACAAAAAAAAAAAGCCTTTTCTTTTTTTTTGCATAGAAGAACTGGGATGCGAACTGGGATGCAGCCAGAGGTGGGGAGGTTTTGGTGTGGGGAAGAGAATGAGAGGATTCACCAGAGACAGAGTGGGGAGCAGAACAGGAAGATTTGTGACAGGGTGATCACCAGGGAAAGGGGAGATTCCAGTTCCTTGACCCACCCAAGGAAGGGTGGGGTTGAGCAGGGAGAAGAAGATGCTAAAGAGACTAGAGATGGAAGGAAGCAGGATGGAGAGTCAGAAGGAGACCTGGCAGAGGCGCCTGGAGCAGAGAGAAGTGTGAAGTTGCACTTGTTTCTTGGTTCTGGTCTGGTTGAAACAGACGTGGCTAAGAGACCCGGGGGGAGGTTAACAATGGCAGCTCTCATCTTGATTTTGGTCTTTCTGTCCCAGACGTGCTGGACCCCTTCTGCCCCTTTCCTATGTGTCCCAAATAGAAAGTGCCTTAGACTTGTGACAGGCTACTGGGCTTCAATGGCCCTGCTTTGGGCCAACACTGTTTGGCTGGGCATTTACCCATGAGGGAGGAGTAACTTTGAGTGCCTTTGATTTGGAAAATTTATTCTTTGTTTTTTCTATACTGCACACTAATTGTATTAAAGTTCCTTTCCATTAAAGGTCTCTCACAGTAGAGTATGTTTTGTCTTGATGCGGGAGATCAATGGTGCTCCATTCCCTGCCCTGTAACAGGTTTACTAAAATACACTGCTAAGGGGAGCAGCAGGCGAGACAGGAGAGGACTCCTGAGGGCATATGGGTTAGCTCCCTGGCTGAGGATCGAACCCAGGCCATAGCAGGGCTCGATAGCACTAAAACTTAACCCCTAGACCACCAGGGAGGCCCCTCCCAGGGATGCTATTGCCCACTCAGAGCTGAGAATCATTCATCAGCAAGCATCCATCCACATGGAAGGCTTATTGCTAGAGTTCACCCAGAGTTTCTGTTTCATGGGAAATGTTGATACCACTGACTGGGGACCACACTTGAGGAACCACAGATGGAGGGCACTTAGGACACTGATTCTGCTTTCAAAATTATCCATACTACCCCTTTTATTTGAGAAGAACAAAAATTAGTGGATGTGGCATCAAGAACAAAGTCTACTTTGTAAAGTACTATTAACTTTGCTGAATTTGCCCTAACTCCCACCTGTCACTGCTGACACAACCAACTGTATAATATATAAATCAGTAAAGTATCTCAGTATTTTTGTTTTATTTTTTTCTACATCCTTATTTTTTTATACACAGAGTACTATTAATAACTACCTCACTGTTGTGAGGATGGGATAATAAAGTAATGCACTCATCACAGTGCCTGGCACAAAATGGTATCTAATATATCTCACAAATTGTAGCAAAATATATAATTACAGTTTTCATCTCAGAAATTTTAGCAAAGAAGTTAAGGAATACTTACCATGGAATTTTCTTTTGTCGATTTAGAAACTTTTATATCTGGAATGCTTTTCTTAAGGAACGCTAGAAACCACTTTTTGGATTTTGACCAGTTTCTAGGTGAGAAAAAATATTTATATAAATTAATTTGAAAGCACTTGAAGAGCAATAGGTCACAGCAGAAAAGGAAGAATGTTTATGGAATTATGTTTTTCTAAATTTCTTCTTTATTTTCAGTTAGAGCTTCATAAGACCTATCTCAGACTTACTAGTCTACAAGGAAAACTGAGGGAGATAAGCAGCCACATTTTAATATCTTTTAGAAATAAATGTTTGAGGGCCTCCCCGGTGGTGCAGCAGTTGAGCACTGGGTTACAAAGCTGCCTACAGCCTCTGCAGCGCCAGTTCGATCCCCGGCTGCTCCCTGGCCACCGGAGGAGGGTCCCATATGGTGCACAGGCCTCTCCTGCCGCCCGCTGCTCCCCTCAGCAGTGTACTTCGGTCCTTCTGCTTGCTCTGCTCCCCGCCCTGGCTCTGGTGAATTCTCTCACCCTTCCGTGCTTCTGACTGTACCCAGTGCTTGTATAAATAAATAAATAAATCTTTAAAAAGAAAATAAGGACAACATTGTCTAATTCTGAGACTAGTCACACTTGATGACTGAACACATTCCAAAATGTAGCAGTGAATGTAATAATAATAATACACTATAATATATGCAAGGTTGAAAAAAAATTCTTCCTTTCACTCTCATATTTTCTCCTTTTCCCATCCTCTCCTTTTACCCTCAAAATAAGGGGAAAAAAGAAATAATGCATCTCTCTTCAATTACTCCTGTCATTCGCACACACACCCAAAACCCAAACTGGTGATAGGAAATATTTTTTTTTCTCTTCCACTTACACTGCTGTTACATTTGGCTAGCATAGAGAAGTGATATAAATATATCAATTGCTGAGAGGACCTTGATGAAGGAATCAGTTCTAAGAAAATAGGAGACAACTCTGTACCTTAGTAGATATTCTGGAATCTGGGATCCATACTCAAAACCTTCATCGTAACTTTGAAAATGTCTATGGAACTCCTTGATTTTCCTTTCATTTGTGGGAAACAAACCTTTTTTAAAGAGTATATTCACTGTGACAGGATAAAGTAGATTCCTACAAAGACAGAAACATAAAAAAAAACAAAAACCAAAACCAAAACAAAAGACCCAATGCCAAAAAAGAAAGGCACAAGAAACAAAAGAGAGCATTATTTAATATCCCTCTGTTAGGAATAGATAATATGTAACACATTCTTTTGGAAAAAGTCACACTTGGGAGGTTTTAATATTTGCTTGCTGTGATCAAAATAACTTAGGGATAATTGAAATTGTAGTCTCATCTAGCAGAAGATTTTAAAATGCTTTCCAAGCAAGCACTGTCAGATTCTGACAATTGTGAGTTGATAAGCAGAAAGAAGTTGATTCCATACAATTTCAACAAGCATTTAATTAGCAAATAATAATAACAAAATACTGTCCATGTCCTTAGATAGCAGCAAAAAATAACCAACCAAAGAATTAAGGGCAATATTAGTCATCAAATTTCCTAATGTCTTACAGGATCCTACAAATTTGACCAATTGTATATTGAAATGTATGACCTATCACCAATAACTTTTACTTTAACTGAAAAAAAAAATGACTACTGTGGAATACTTTAGTGAAAAAAAAAAAAGATTACCAATATGTCCTAGATTAGTAGTACTAAGTATTGTTTATTTCATTTTTATTTACCTTCCTTACTTAGAAACTCTTCAGAATCTCATTGCCCCCCACCCCGGTTTGAAAGGCTTGCAACAATTGTCTTTATTTTGTTGTAGATATTGAGCATGCTAAAAGTTTATTTGATTGCTTGGTTTTGTTTTTGTTATTTCTCTCTTGCTTTTTCTGGAATGCTTGCAAAATGTTATTGTTCTGTTTTGAACCTGAACTGTTGAATCCTACTTAGCATCCCAGCATCCTATCAAGATGGGAAAGTATCAAACTGGTAACATCAATTTATGACAATTTCTCTTTGCTTGCCATGCCCTGCCCAGATCTTTGCCAAAAAGCTAGAGTATGATGTGTTCCCTGGCTCCCTCCACTGCCCTTCTCTGGGGCACCCATCCTCAGATCCCTCCTCTAAGGAGGAACCTGGGCTGAGTCCTGAGGCCAACCATGATTTTATCTCAGCCACCTTGACAAATTTCACAAACATCTCCTAGACCCTTGCCATCTACTTTAAGATTCTCTACTCTGCCCTTTCCTCTCAATGGCAGCTTGCTCTAGCAATCACAGATTGCGCTAAATGTTTTGTCAAAATTCTGATGGGTGCATAACAATTATAAGAGGTAAATCCATGTAGAGCATACACATCTGAAGTGATTAAGAAGACATTACTGTAAAGGTATTAAGATGAATGCATTGGTTGATTTATCTACTTTAAAACTGAAGTGCTAACTGAAAGTTTGCCAAATGAAATTTAAAAGATTAATCTCTAAATCACCTAGTAGGTAAAGACGTCATTAATCTCCCATAATTCTGAATTCCAATCCAAAGGCTCCAAATTTTAATCCCTTCTGCCCCCCCCACCAAAAAAAAACTAAATCAATGTGATGCATATATTTACCTTACTAAGTTGTTCAACTCCATTGTCCCATGAGTGCCCAGATTTTCCAACTGTCTGTGTAATTCTTCTGTCAATTTTCCAGAGATTTGCTCTAGGTTGAAAGTACCCATTTTCCCTTTCATCATGATATAAAGTTTTTCATGAAGTGTGAAAAAGATGTTCTTTGGAATTGATGCTACAAAGAGAGAAAATTGTTTTCGAAAGAAAATAAAAGAATTCCTTGAAGCAAACACTCCATATACTTGATAGGGATTATAGCTAAAGTCTGCCCAGTACATAAACCAACTCTTACAAATAAAAAGGAGGTAATGATTTGACCTACATTTTGAAATAGTGAAAGTCGATAGGGAATTTCACTTTAAGGGATGATGGATACTTAAGTAATTAAGAAGGCATCTCAGACTCACAAATTTGGTGATTTTATTTCCAGGTTAAAAACCTTCCATTGGATTTCTATCCTAAAGGTTTATAAGACCGTATACCATCTTTCTAGCTCCCCAGTAATATTTCTGGTCCCTTTTCTCTCCAAATCTATATTCCAGTATATTGAAAACACACACTCATTTTTTATATTTCAGAATTTTCATGAGCTCTACTCTTCTCAGAACATTCTCTCCTTGACCACCAACCTTCCCCCCACCCCTATACACCCATGCCTGCAAGTCATAAATTTCTCCTACTGCTTTATATTTTTCTTCAATTGTCTTCTTGACTATTATTTCTACCAGGAGGCCTTTCATAGCCCCATGAATAACCTCCCCCCACTATCTCCTTTATATTAGTCTTCATGCTCAGCCATAACACATCCTCCTGAATGGGTTGGTTTGGGCTGAGTTTTTTAACTAATTATTCTTTTATATTTTTCTTTAATCCTTTTTAAATTTTATTGAAAGTGTCTTTTTCAAAAAATAAATTTTAATTTTATACATTATCATCCTATTATGTGATGGTTACATTTTGTGTAAGTTATAAAAAAATATTTAGATTTCTTGAGCATACATCATCTCTGTGGTAGGGGAATATGTGAGAGAAATAATAAGCTGACTGAAGAGTAAATATTAATATATTTTACCTGTTAAATAGAAATATTTTAAACATGAAAAGCCCGGGGGAGGCAAAACTTAAAAATCTTGCTCATTTCTACACACCTCTGATAGGAGAGTAAGTTGGTATATTTTTCTGAGTATGTGAATGCACCTATCAAGAGTGTTCCAAATATTTATATTCTTCAATCTGGAATGCCATAGTCTAAATATCAAAAAGTACTAAATAGTCAAAGAATGTAGTCAATCCATTGTGATTTTTGTGCAAGCAAGAAATAAAAATCACGTTATTGATCACTGACAGCTTTTAGAATACTTTTTTATCTTAATGGCAAGAAATACACGAAAGGCTCTTTTAATTCATGCTATGTATTAGGTTGAATACGTATTTGTTTTTCAGTGACCATACTTATCATATACTCTTTTCCCCACCTAATTCTACTCTCAAGAATAAATTACAGGCCCACATCAGATTTCATAGGGGAGTAAGACCTTAAGTGTTACCCTAAAATTGCTCTGGGATTCCAATGTTGTATTTCAAATGAATTATCTAAAAATATTCTTTACCTGTACGATAGACGGGATTTTGCACTGCTAGTTCAAAATTTACTTCTTTGGATTTTAAAAACACATTCATTCCCTCTTCTTCAGTAATAAAGGTCATTCGGGTGCCCAATACAAAGATTGTAAATATTGGTCCATACTGATAAGAAAAATGATACAAATAATATAAATGTTACTGGGTAATGGGTTATGTTTAAGACAATGCTCTTAAGGACACCCAATGTAGAAGTTAGTCAAGATAAAAGCTACAGTTACTATATAAGTGAATGAGTTATAAATTTTGCTGATTCGGTCATCTAAATTATATCAATCCTAATTTATTCTGTCCTAATACTTAATTTTCCTTTTGATCATGTTATTATTTACTTGCATCATCCTTAATGCATAATTATTTAAAATAATAGTTTGAAATAATTATTCAAAACTATATCAAATATTGTAATATTTCAACATTGTATTAAAATATCCGTAGGCTCACAAGTGACCTAAGCTCAACTTTGTTCAAGAAAATGATACAAAATAGATGATTTCACCTTAAATCTGTAGTGATTTAACAATGCTTTGCAATCCTCAAAAGTTCACTAACCAGGGCCTCCCCTGGTGGCACAGTGGTTGAGCGCTGGGCTGCGGGACTGCCTGCAGCCTCTGCAGCGCCAGTTGTTCACTACCCAGCCTCCGGCGAGGGTCCCACCAAAAAAAAAAAAAAAAAAAAAAAAAAAAAAAAGTTCACTAACGAGCTCACTTTCTCACTTTCCAAAATGACTATTTCATCTGTACACCCTGCCCAACCCTCTCCACTCTTATAGTAGTGCCCCTCCTTTGTAACTCAAGAAGCAATCAAGTAAGAGCTTCTCTACTTCTCCCCACCAAATCCTGCAAAGATAACAAATCTATACCCATTTTCCATGCTTCCCCTCAGGTTAACACAGATGCAATTTTCTGCTCCTGTGAAATGCCAGGACTCCTTCAGTTGTGTTATGGATTCCACATTCTTACCTTCTCTTTGTTCTACATTTATGCCTTCTCTTCCCTATATCATCAGTCCTATCAGATCACTATTTGTAGCCTACAAACATACTCTAGTGCAGGGATTGATTTCAGGGAGCCCAAGATATTACTGGGAAAAAAATATCAATATTTTCTTTTTTTTTTTTTTTTTAGAATATACAATTTTTTTTATTTTATAGAGGCATGTTTTATTTATTTATTTTATTTGTTTGTTTGTTTTTTGTTTATGCATGCACTGGGTACAGTCAGAAGTGCGGGAGGGTGAGAGAATTCACCAGAGCCAGAGCGGGAAGCAGAGCAGGCAGAAGGACTGAAGTACACTGCTGAGGGGAGCAGCGGGCGGCAGGAGATGTCTGCGCGCCATGTGGGACCCTCCTCTGGTGGCTGGGGAGCAGCCGGGGATCGAACCGGTTCGCAACCCAGCGCTCAACCACTGCGCCACCGGGGAGACCCAAAAATATCAATATTCTCAATGACCTGTAATTATAATTTAACATTTTATCAAAATACGAATGTAAGTAACAACCCCCAATGTTATCCATGACTCTATCATCAAAAGAAACCATTGTTTCATATGCATTTCCTTAAATTCTGTGTCTATTTGGCATCAATTCATCATGAGGCTAATTATATTAGCTATTATTTTCTTATTTTTGATGTTCTGGCTTTAGCAGCCTTGCTACTAAGGAGAAATTGCCCTAGCCTCGGGCTAGCCAATTCTCAGGAAGAACAAAGAGCTCACTTAGTCAGAGGTATGCCTTTCTTAAGCAAAACAACCCATCTAGAGTCTATACCCCAGTTCCTGACTACTTCCTTATTTCACACACTTCATGCCAAAAGTTCTTCTATTCTAAAGCAGCCCAGGGCCAGGTACCAAACAACCAGAGACCATCACTATCACTCAAAGACATTCAGAATTATTCAAACTAGTCAATACTAAATTGTTTCCCCTACCCTGTCTTGGTGTTCCTCAGTGAGTCTAGATCAAGACTCTGCACAGGCTTTTCTCTAGCTCCTCTTATGCCTCCTCACTGACACTGGTGCTTTATCCCCTGGCCCTGCACAGCATACAGTGACCCTCCTCTTCCCCTCAAAATAATAAACTTCCTTCCAAGAAACATTCTCATTTCTTCCTATGGTCAGGATGACTTTACCAGACCACAGCCAACATGTATTTTCTAAGAACAAACTCCCATACTTTATATAACATTATAGTTATAAATACCTTGAAATATCATTCATGCTCATCACTACTTCAATATTACAATCATACCTTAACCTGCCATGAATGGCACATGATCATTCCTAGGACACAATGGTGGGCAGTACCAGGTCTATAATATTTTTGAGTGTATCTTTTTTGATTAGTTTCTTCAGTTATTGCTCTTGGTATTACTTTATTCATATATAACTAATCATAGTCAATCAGTGTAGTTTATTACCAGTTCATGTGTTGCAATTTTTGTTTCAGGACAAAACATAATTTAGAAATCTGAAGAGAAGTAAAGTCTATTGTATTCGCATATATTTTGATTACTATGTCCTTCTTGATGTCCAAGATTTCTTCTTTTATTGCTCTTTTCCATTTAGAGAACTTCCTTGAGTTAAATGTTTAAGATAGGTTTGAGAGCAAAAGATTTAGTCTTCCTTTAACTGAAAATGTCTTGTTTTCCCCTTAATTTCAAGTGGATAGTTCTGCTAACACGAAGATTCTTAGTTGACAGTTCTCTCTTCTTTGAGTACTTGAGAAAATGTTACTTTACTTTCTTCTCACTTCCATGGTTTCTGATGCGGAATCTGTCTGCTCACCATAATGAGGTTTCATTATTCTCTTGCTGCTTTTAAGAATTCTTTCTTTGACCTTAGACTGCAGAAGTTTGACTATCATGGGTGTTGGTGTACATTTCCTTAGGTTTCTCTTCTTTGGAATTAGCTTAATTTTGGTCATTAGCCAATTTGGGAATTTTTCAGCCTTATTTCTACAAATACCTTTCATCCCTACCCTCTCTTCACTCCTTCTGGAACTCTGACAACATGAATGTTAATTCTTTTGTTATAAAGTCCCTAATGGGCTATCCTTTTTTTTTTTTCAGTACTTCTTCTGTCTTTTATATTGGATAATTGAGCTATCTTCAAGGTCACTGATTGTTTTCTTCCTGTTATCTATCGTGCTGTTGTACCCATCCATTGAGTTTTTATTCTTTATTAGTTATTTTATTTTCATTTCTAAAATTTCCATTTGTTTCTTATTTATATGAGCTATTTCTTTTGAGAGACTTTCTATTTCTTTATTGATACTTTTTATTTTTTTCCATTTGATTCAAAAATGTTTATAATTACTTAATAGTTGAAGCACTTTACCATGATTACCTTAAGGTCCTTGTCAGAGAGTTGTCATATCTGTGTCATCTCAATGTTGTCATCTCTTGATTGTCTTTTGTTATTCAAGTTGAAATCTGCCTGGTTCTTTGTAGGAGGAGTGATTTTCTGTTGAAATCTGGATACTTGGTATATTATGGAATGACACTCTGAATCTTATTTAAATCTTATGTTTTCCAGGCCTCCTTTGGCATTATTGTCAGGTAGGAAGTGGGGTGTCACATTATCTACCTATATGATAGGTAGAAATTTAGGCTCTTCACTTGGTCTCTACTTACACCTTGCTAATGCTGGTTGTGTAACTGGTAGCTGTTCTTTGAACCTGAGTAGTCTTGCAATTGTGTGTGTGGGTGAAGAACTCAGATGGTGATCAGTAAACTATTCGGGCAGTGTCCTTGGCCAGTTTTAATGCCCCTTGCTGCCCTGTATCAGTTGGAGATGAAAGTTAAGATTCCCTACTAGATTTCTTCTTATACAACTCCATCTGAGAGGAGTGGGCTTCTCATTACTACTTCATCATGGCCTCCACAGATATGGAAATAAGAAGTTAGGAAGTAGCCTCTTTATTGTTGAGTGGTGTAAAAAATCCTGACTTTATAAGGCTCAGCAGTCTCAACCCCAATGAGTTGTGGGTTGTGGGAGACTCCATGCTACTGCTGGGTTGTAGCAGGATCCTGGTATGGCCTTAAAACTGCAGTAGGATGGATTTATTATTGAAAGGCATAGAAAGTCAGGATTTTCTAGAGCCTCCTCGGTGGCACAGCGGTTGAGCGCAGGGTTGTGAAGCTGCCCACAGTCTCTGCACCGCCGGTTTGATCCCCAGCTGCCAGCGAGGGTCCCACATGGCGCACAGACCTCTCCTACTGTCTGCTGCTCCCTTCAGCAGTGTATTTCTTCATCAGTTTGCCTGTTTTGCTCCCCGCTCTGGCTCTGGTGAATTCTCTCACCCTCCCGCGCTTCTGACTGTACCCAGTGCTTGTATAAATAAATAAAAATAAATCTTTAAAAAAAAAAAAAGTCAGGCCTCCTCTGATACCACTCCATCTTGGAGCAGAGGGTTATAGGCTAGCAAGACTGTATAGTTAGGTTTCCTGCTTGTCATTTGCTGACTAAGGTAACGCCAAAGATTTTTCTGCAGTGTTTGACTGTATTACAATAGTTATTATTGTCTGGAAGTTTTCATTTTGCCAGATTGCTCCTTTCCTGGTTATCTGGAGAGAATAGGCTTTTCTTGGGGCACATTTTTTGTCTGTGCCTATTGGCATTTCCAGGTTTTTGGGCTTTCTAGAATCCCAATCTAGACTCTAGATACATGAAGCAGAAAGAAAACTTAGGGAACTCACTGTCATTTTTTACCTCAGATCCTATGGTCACTGACCTATCTGCCTTCCTCTCTCTACCTTTCAGAATCTTATGCTTGTTTTACAAATAATGTTCAAGCATTGTTTATGTCTTACTTTGTGGGACAAATAGGGCAAAGTAAATTTATGTTATCATTTCAGAAGTAAACATTCCTAATTAATTTTTTAAGTCATAGGATACCTCTAACAGTTACACAAGAGAATAAAGGAAGGTTAACTAGACAGCCAGAGGACAAAGAAGAGGAATAATTTTCATCGTATAGATGCTTACTTATACCTTTAGCATATGAACCTATTGACAAAAGAAAGAATTTTTAAAGAAAATGAACTTCAAACTTTGCTAGAAATTGTGACAACTTCTTTCTGGATTGTTCCACCTCTTTTCTGGAAACCACACAAAACCACAAGGAGAACAAGCACCATACTCAGGTAAGCAAGAAAAAGAAATCAACAAACTATAAAAGTGTAGGCCACAGCATCTGAAACCAACAGGCATCAGAAATTTCAACAGTAGGATGTGAGAGAAACAGGAATATGCAAGGATATGGAACCACTGTGAGATGGGCTAAGATTAAACAGTATTAGGGAAGGTAGCAAAAAGTTACACAAAAATTGTTCAGAAGGGTCCAGAAAGCTCCATCTTCTAAAAGTAAAGAGAACACCTGAGAAGACAAGAGTTGTGTCTCTTAGTAGGAGCAGCTATTGAAGAAAGGCAGTAAGAGATCATGTCTAGATTAGATCCTGAAAGACAGGAGCCATGGATGCACAGAGGTGGTATTTTTTCACTGTAGTAAAAGAGAAGAGAAAACAAACATAAGCTGAGAAACCTGGAAAACAACATCCCCCAATCAAATCCTCCTGCTAACAAGTGGTTCAAGATAACTCAACTCATTAAAATATTAGTAAACAAAAAGGAAAAATTCAGAACTATAAAAAAACTTTAAAAAGCAGAAATTCCTTAAAAATGATAAAATTCACCGAAAAGTGTTTCGCCTAAGAGCATATAAAACCTGTCATGCAGAATTACTTTTGTGAATTCAAATATTATGTAATAGTTGCAGCTGCAAATGAAATAAAGCAGAAGTATAAGAAAACATGGAAGAAATAGCTAGGCAATAGAGGAAAATTAGGGGAAAAAGAAACTCAGGGGGAAAAAAAAGACAATAAAGGCATTTCTGAAGAAAAGACAACTACAATATATACAAGAGAGACTATACACCACAAAATAACAACAACAACAGAAAGAGCCTAAGGAAAGAGAATGTAAAAATACAAAAACTAAAAAGGGTAAAATCGAAATATATATGTGAAAAAAGTTGCATAATTGGAACTCTTTCCCAACTTCCAAACTCATGTATCCAACTGCTTACCTCAACGTCTCCACTTGGCTATCAACATCCCAAACTCTTATCTATCTAAATTGGAGTTCCTATCCTCCCTCCCAATGAGTTCTTACAATCTTGCCCATCTTACTTGTTAGCAACTATACTTTCTAGTTTCTGTAGCCAAACCTGTTGAACCACCTTTGATCCTTTTCATTCTTTGCAATCTACTGGCAAATCCTGTTACTTACATCTTCAAAAGATATCAAGCAAGGCCTCCCCTGGTGTCCCAGGCAGTTGAGCTCAGCGCTATGAAGCTGTCTGCAGCCTCTGCGGCACAGGTTTGATCCTGGCTGGCCAGTCGGCTGGCAAGGATCCCACATGGCATGGCAGACCTCTCCTGGCTCGTCCGCTGCTCCCCTCAGCAGTGTATTTCGTAAGTCTGCCTGTTCTGCTCCCCACTCTGTCTCTGGTGAATCCTCTCACCCTCCCGCACATCTGGCCTGTACCCCGTTCTTAAATAAATAAAAAAAAAACTTAAAAAAAAAAAAGATATCAAGCCACTTCTCAAACATGCACTGCTATCACAGTGGTCAATCTAAACTATGATCTCAATCTTGAATTAATGCACTAACCTTAAAAATATCTTCTTTCTTTTACTCATATTTTTGTTCAGCAGAGCAGCCAAAGGGGTGCTTTAAAATTGAAGTCAGATCACCTCACTCCTCTACTCAAAACACTCAGTTTCCTATTACACTCACTTTGATAATTTACAGATATGCTTGCCACATAGAAAAGACATTTTTTTCTACAATATTTATAATAGCAAAATATGGGAAACAAACCACATCAATCACTAGGAAACTCTTAAAATGAACTATGGCACAGGGATTACTTTGCAACTTTTCCAACAAATTCAGAAGCTTCTATTTCTGTGTTGGTAGGATGTGGTAGAAACAGGTAAACCAAGTGTCTCATTGACAACTAGGAAGATGGATAAATTTCAAAGATCATGTTTTCAAAGACCTCGCAGAAGTTGGGGAAACGTAAAAACTAAATGGAATGAAACTCCGCAGAGGAGAGAATTGTCTAGAGGTAAACAAACAATAAATCACTATCCCCCCCCCCCACCACCCGTGATGTCTGTGAATTCCTGGTATAGAGTGAAGGTCAGGACTGAAATAGATAACTTCAAAAAATCTGTAACATACATAATGAACACTTAATGAACATAAATATTAAGTACCTTCAGAAAAAAGATAAGCTTGTCTACTCTCATCACCTCTAATCCACAATATGTTAGCGGTATTACTGATTGTAATAATGCAAGATAAACATATAGAAGACATACATATAAAAAATGTGTCTGTTTGCAGGAAAGATTTTATGTGTAAAAATTCTAACGAGTCTACAAAATAACTACTGGAGCTAGTAAGTGAATCTTGCAATTGAATCATAAGATAGAAAGTTTGATATGCATATATATAGAGAGAGATAGATATAGATATATAGATATATAAATAAGGTCCCTGGGCTCTCTTTTGTCTGTAGCATGGAGAGTGGCATGTGGATCAATGTGTGTGTATGTGATTTGATTATTAGATTGCATTTTGCTTTTTAGTTTTTCTTTTTCCTTTTGAAAAATTCATCCTTCCCTTTCACATATTACTAAGTTAGTTTTTTGAGATGTTGTACCTAAAACTATTTTAAAAATTAACTCCTATTCATATGGTAGATGTTCTAAACTTGACAGCAGTTGTGAAAGTGATTTAACTTTCACCACTCTTCATGTGACAGCTTTAATATCAAAAGGTTTAGAAAAGCCCAGGGCAAAGGGAGTAAAGGAGGCAATTCTTCTGAATGAATGGACTTTTTTTGCTATTGCTTTTGCATGTTTAACATAAAAGTTCTTGTTACTAGGGAAATTATGGCTTTTGACTATACAAACAACCTGTGAATTGTGTCTATTAAAATACAGCAGGGAACTTGGCATTTGAGGAATTCTGAATTTCTGGGATTACAGTAGTAATTCCAAGCCATACTCTGGACTTTATTTTGCTAATCAGAATTGAACAACTCTAAATTACCATTATATTAGTATTTTAAAGCACTGGAATACTGTAATTCTATCTTGTAATTAATTATCTCCGCCCGTTATCTGTTTAAAATAAATTTGTGTCTGAACAGCTACAGAAACATTAAATTATACAGATATTATTCAAGACAGCCATGTACTGTGGAATGTGCTTAATAAAAAACAAAAAGTTTAAAAGAAAAATAAACAAAAAATTTTATTTTTCACATGCCATAAGGACACAATTGCAAAAAAAAAAAGTAAAAAAATTTTATCCACAATAGGCCCATAAGTATAAAATACATAAGTAAATAATTAACACTCACAGGCAAGACCTCATTACAAAAAAACTACAGGATATTTCTGGAAGAAATTGAATGCCAAATAAATGAATTGATATACAGCATTCGCAAATGAGAGACTTAATGCTGTTGTAATGTTAGTTTTTCTCCCCCAAATTTTCTACAGCTGTCACAAACTTCCAATCATAATTCCATCACTCCCTTTTTCAGATTTATTCATTTATACAAGGGTATAAATAAACTGGGTACAGTCAGAAGCGCAGGAGGGCAAGAGAACCCACCAGAGCCAGAGCAGGGAACAGAACAGGCAAACTGACGAAGTACACTGCTGAGGGGAGCAGCGGGCGAGGCAGGAGAAGTCCTCTGCGCCATGTGGAACCCCCACCTGGGCCGAACTGGCACTGCAGAGGCTGTGGGCAGCCTCGCCGCCCAGCGCTCAACCGCTGAGCCACCAGGGGAGGCCCTGCACTGTATTCTTTTAATTACTATTGCAATGTTTTATTATTGCAGTAACATTGGTTTACATCACTGTATATGATTCAGGGCTATAGGTTCACATCGCTTCAAGGCACTACATGTACCATACCCACCGCCAAAGCACTCATAGTCCTCCATCACAGTCCATTGCTGCCTGACCACCTCAGCCTTTGCTTCCCATTCTTACCCTCCCCCTCTGGTAGCTTCAAGCATTGTATTTCATAACCGATAAAAATCTATATTCCTTGCATAAGAAATAGTTGTTGATTGCCAGTTTCAATATTAATAAAAGGTCGTTTAGAATTAATAAAAAGGTCGTTTTAGAATTAATAAAAATGTCGTTTAAGTGAGGACAGAAGTTATGTTCCCTAAGATGCAATGACAGAAATAAGAAAACAATATCTCTTCCTGACACCTCACCTGCCAAGGCCACATACCTTCACTCTTGCTTTCTCTATAAATTCTAGAGGGGCTTTCCCGAACTCAAATGCAGCTCCAATCCAAGGAATCCAGCCTCCTATGCACGGGGGTCCACGCAAGTTCTTCCACTGAAGGAATAACAAAAGGGCAATACAACCTAAGAGTATAATCGCTGTTGGGCAAATTAGTTCCATGCTCTCCTGTAGCTCTTTCCGGAGTCAGAGAAGGAGAAAGTTCGGTGGCTGAGGCGCTTCTTCCCTCGGGGTAGGGAGCACCCTCCGGGCCTCCGAGTTGCAACTTGTGCAATTAGTTTCCCTGAACTGTAACCGCCTTTCCCGCCCCAATTTTTAGGTGACTTTTGCACCATCACTCCCTCCCACCTCCACTTCTCTTTCAAGCCCTGGCCACCCGGGACCGAGAGCGCCCTGGCACTGCACCCAGCAGGGGTGGACGTGGAAGGCTGGACGGGGCGAGCGGGGGCTGTTGCCATGGAGCCCGGGGTCGCACGTAGCCAATCAGATAAAGCGGCCCGAGAGGCGCGGCGCCCAGCGGACTACATTTCCCAGAAGCCTCGGGGGCCCCGCGTTGTTTTTCTGCTTTCTGTCAGCTGGACCTTTGAAGCCTGGGGCTGCTAGGAAGGTTGCGGGTGTGCCGGGCACGCCTGGCGGAGCCGGAGCCGAGGGAGGGCCATGGTCGCCGCCCCACCTCTAGTGGGTTGAGGAGGGGCCGGCCTAGCAGGGGGGCAGGCCAGCCGCGGACTCGGGCGGAAGGGGTGCGTTGTCGTCCTGCCCTGCTGCCGAATGTCGGTCCCCGAGGACGAGGAGAGGCTTTTGCCGCTCGCCCAGAGATGGCCCGGAGCCAGCAAGTTCCTACTGTCGGGCTGCGCGGCTACCGTGGCCGAGCTAGGTACCCAGCGCCCACGCCCGGGCCTCCCCCGCGAGTCTTCGCGGCGCCGCGCAGGGGTGGGGGACGGGCGGGCGGACTAGCGTCCTCGGTGTGCGCAGCCCGCCAAGGTGGCGCCCGCTTCTTCCGCACCTGTCCGGCAGAGGTGGCTGGGTGGGGGCGAGCCCCGCTTCGTGGGGAGGCGGGAGGGGAGGTCACCGAGGTCTTTTCTTTCCAGTATCGCCTCCCGCAGAGGTGTGAGACTGCTTGGATGTATACTTTGAGAGGCTTCCCGAGCTGTCAGGAGAGGAATCACTTGCCTTGCGTGAGGATGACCTTTGAGAAGCACACTCAACTTTTCCTCCTTATTGAGAGTCTCTTTGTGATTGATATTCGCGCAGACCGACATGAGATCACTGTCTTTTGGGTCCAAGCTGTGGACCCACCTCGTGAGGCTTCCAATTATTAGCTTATCATTTACTGAGCAGCTGTTTAACATCTGCCAGTTACTTGGCCTCTCTGAGTTTAACTCCTCTCTACTGTATTTATCTTGCAGTAGTCTGGAAAGCCAATACTGTATCAATGCTAACCCCCAGGAACCAATTAACTGTGACACTGTTGTAATTAAGACAGGATTAGGACGGCGGAGATACAGTTGGAAAGCCCCTAGCCCTGATCTTACAGGCTGGTGGGGAGATAGACTACTTATTATAAAGATGGTATTATTATGTATCATAGGAATACTGAAGATGGACAGTGACATCTGCCTAAGCTAGTCAGAGAAAATGTATGACATTATAAAAACAAACCTATAAAAATCAGCTCTGATGTGCGATCATTTATAAATGTTAGTTTGCCTTCTGAATATATTTTGCATCCCATTGGGGTCACCACGTGATCTGCTATATTGCCCTTTGTGCTCCTCAGTCGTTGTTGCCCTTTGGACTCTATCTCTTTTTCTCCTAAAGGAAACCAAGAATTGTTATTATTCATTGTTTCTATTTAAATACAGTCCATCAACTTAAAAAAAAAAAAAACTTAAGGCAGAATCCAGAATGATTAGAGATATATTTCCAGGCTATTGTTTTTGTTTTTTTGTTTTTTTAACTGCGGTTTCTCCCTTTGACAATGAAACTTTTTACAAAAGTTCCTTTTCTGTTAAACATTCATGGAGAACTGGATGGGGACAGGGTGGAAGGCTGTGAGGCAGGGAAACTAAAATATGATTTGATTATAAGTACAGTAAAATTCAGGATGAGAACCTGAAGCATTATTTACATAACCAGCAAGAAAACCAAAATTATTTTGGGAGGCATAATCTCTACTAAGATAGATGCTTCTATATCTTAAAATTTTCAGGTTTCATATGTCAATAAAGTATTGCTTGAATTGTCTGTATGCAAACCATTTCTGTCTTGGGGAAACTATCAGCAAGATATTAACCTTTCCAAAGACCCAATGGTAAGATTTAAATCCCTGCCCCTGTTTTCTCTTCGAAAACACGACGCTATGATTTTGTATCAGATGGTAGTCATTGAAAAAACTTATGTAATGTCAATAATGTTCATGAACTTACCTGAATCTGGTTATTTCAGTTACTCAGGGCACTGTGTCTTGATCTTCCTTATGTGGGCCAGTTAGCATCATTCTGCTGCAAGGTAAAAAGGGCTATCTCTAATTCAAGAATGTAACCATAAGAAAACATTTTCCAGTGCAGTTGGTACTTATCAGGAGATCATGCATAAACGCATCATTGCTGGATAAACATCTCTATAATTTAAAGAATATTGGTCATGCTGTCCTTGTATATGAAAGATGATATAGTACAAGCTTCATATTGCATCTTCTATATCTGATAACATTAGGCCAGTGAACATCATTTACATGTGAATATGTTCATTTACATGTGAACATCACCTATGAAATCATATAATTCAGCTTCATCTGGCATTCACTAAGACCTTACCAAAAAGGATACAGTATTCTAAAAGTCATGTTGGATCTTAAACAATCATGGCTACATTTGAGGGGAGATCACAGACTATGGATATCTGAAATTACTGCCATTAGAAAGCAAAAGTTAAGAACTAAAGTAGATCTTAGATGGAAATTTTTGAATAAAAAGCACCTGGGGTTCTCTGGTACAGTGACTCTTAAATTTGGTAGTGAATAAGACTCAAGTGATTTCAAAACCCACACCAACTCTTGTGAATCCATAGGCATGGGACTAGGAAATATAATTTTTTAACAGTTTCCCTGGCTGATTCTGAAGTATTCTAAATTTGGGAATTACTGATATTGTGGACAAAATACTAGTCCTATGACTTTGGATTTTTAAAAAATTTCTCTGAATGTTGTGGGTTCTCCCCACACACACTTTGTTTTTATTTTGCTAGCAACCTTTCCCCTCGATCTTACAAAAACTCGACTCCAAATGCAAGGAGAAGCTGCCCTTGCTCGGTTGGGAGACAGTACAAGAGGATCGACTCCCTATAGGGGCATGGTGCGCACAGCCTTAGGGATTGTCCAAGAGGAAGGCTTTCTAAAGCTTTGGCAAGGAGTGACACCCGCCATTTACAGACACGTAGGTATTTATCTTGATTCTAGCTGGTAAGTTTGTCTCCTCTACTTTTCTGTTTAGCTATGTCAAAAACCAGCCAGTTTTACCTACTAATATGATAAATGAATATATAGTCTCTTAGAAGAAAATTAGCTACCAATAATAAGGTATTATTGCTTACATTTTAGAAAAAAAGTATTTAGGGATGAACTCTCATGCTATCTGTAACATACTTTAAAATAAGCAAAATAAATCAAGTAAATGTGTTAACAATTGATAAATAGTTATAGAGAGAATGACATTACTTTCTCAAATTTTCTGTATGTTTGAAATTTAAAAAAGAATTGACATTTTTCTCCACTTCAGAAATGTTAAACACAATTTTTTTTTCTGTTCTTTGAAAATAAAAATACATTTCACTCCATTGCTGAAGCTTACCGGTCTCTGTAGTATACATTACAGACCAGGTAAAAGATACCTAGGACAACTATTCCAACTCTGACTTCAGAGTGGTACATCATAGCAGGTTTCTGCCTCAGTTCTCCAGGCTACTATCTAGCAATGTGAGACTTTAGTCACCCTAAAAGAGTAAAAACTGTTAACTACATTATAGATAAATGAGTATACTTTTCCACTCTGCTTCCAACGTGGCACTCATAAAAACTGAAGTTGAGTTTATAGCTTATAGACAGGAGAACATAAACGTGGCTTCAAAAGGAGGTAGGACAGGTGTGGCACACAAATATTTTCTTATATTTCTTCAAGTATACAGGGACCCTAGATCAGGAAATTGCTGATACGATATTTACTGATGTATTTTTAAGATTTCAGTAGATCAAGAACTATCCAGAAGTGTATATAGAGACTGTTATTTTCTTGGGAACTGAATATTCCCTGCCCAAAAACTTCCTGAAATATTAAGGCCAGCTCTATATAGATATTATACTGATTTAAATGACTTATTTTCTATTCTTCTAAAATATTTTTTCCTTTGCTTCCCATTTTTATTTTGTGTTTTATTACTTTTCACTTGTATTTTATTGGCTATACAGGATTTTACTGCTAAGATTCATATATGTTTGATACTGGACTGAAAATAACCTCAATATATTACGTTACCTTAATATAAAAAATTATCCAATGAAGTTGTGCGTATCTATTAAACAAAAATTCCTGCCAGGTACCAACCTCTGTCCTAAGGCATATTGAATAATGAAAAGATAAAATCTACCTTGAAAACTCATGATTTGATGGACAGATGAGCAAGAAAATCAAACTAGCCTCTGATTAATATGACAAATTCCGTATCAGATGAATGCCTGGGTGGTTTGGGGGAATAGAGGAGAAACATGGCCACTGCCTAGGACATTGGAGAAAAGGTCAGAGAACACTTTCTAGAAAACACGCTTTATGAGCAAGTTCTTGAAATATTAGGAGTATTTAGCAAAGCAGTGAAAGGAGAAGGTCTGAGGCTTAAAAAGGTTTGCTGCATTTGGAAAGACATCAAGAAGTCCATGACAGAAAGACACAGCTATAGAAAGCAACTAGGTCAGGTCAGAATGTCCTGTTATTTTATTAAACCTACAACTGACTTCACTATTTTCATAATTTGTTTTATACAGTGTACTCTGGAGGTAGAATGGTTACATATGAACATCTCCGTGAAGTTGTATTTGGCAAAGGTGACGATAAGCATTATCCTCTTTGGTAAGTTTTGTTTTGAAAACAATATACCATTGCTCATAAGACTTTAATGTTTATCCATTGTATGTAGTTATATGTGCCAAAATGACCAAGTTATAGGCTTAAAATAATTACAGTGTAAGTCCAAATAAATTAGTATTAACTATACATTATATACAAATGTACATGCACATAAACATATATAATGGTTGGTTATATATTATTTAACATTAAAGGAATTTTACAAAGCATCTTCTTTATTTCTCTTTCTACTGAGAAACTCTTGGATTTAGAGTCAGACAGAGATGCACTTAACTTCCTGATCTTCTGTGTAACCCATTAACTTCTGCACCCTTTTTATCTTCCTTTCTTCAGCTACAGAATTAACACTGAAAATAGGCTTTTCCTTTGTAGGTTAAATGAGATGATGAATGTAGATGTATAGAAGGAACAGAGAAAAATAGGTTATTGTAAATAATGTATACATGACTCCTATAAATCAATTAAAATATAAGAACACAAAGGAAAAATTGGGAAAAGATACCAACAGACAATGCATAAAGTAAGAAACATAAATATTGCAAACCTATAGAAATATCCAACCTCACCATTAATCAAGGAAATGATACTATCTTCTAACCATTAAACTGTTAATAAGAATATGTTACTAATGCCTTTTTGGTACAATAAAGTACGTGTAAAACATTAAATGTGTAATCCTTTCATTCAGAAACTCTTTTATAACCATTCAGTCATACTTATGTTGATACATATAAACACACACACATATACACACAAACATATTTCCTTAGTAGTGATGATAATAGCCATTTTTTAAAAAATTATATAACTATCAATTTGGAAACATATATCCTATATATATATGACATATATATAGGAAAGTATAACATAGCTTTTAAAGAATGAGGAAGGTTTTATATGCCTAACATATAAATATATCAGTAACATCTTCTCTGTGTTAAAAAAATAATCCAAGTCACAACTATAAGAAAAAGACAATAAGCAGAATTTCATGTTTCAGGTATAACCTCCTGGTCCTGTTTTTCAAAAAGTTGTAATGTACTAAGCTATTCTAATTGGTTTTTAGAAGAAGTGACAGAATAGATTATTATTCCTTTTTCTAATTCCCTCCAGATGGGAAAGGGCTAGCTAAGGGGTTCAAAAATGTATATTTCACTTTCAAATCAACTCTCAGGGCAGATTGGCTTGATGTCCTTTGACCCAGTCAGAACAATTCATTTAGTCAGTAGGTATCTATTGAGTGATTAGTGTGTCAATTCTGTTTTAATGCTGAGGCTATCTATATAATGAAAAAGACATGGCCCCTGCCATCAATGAGCTCATAGTAATAGAGACAGTTGCCTGAACAATGACAATCATGAAACAATTACAGAGGCTAGCCATTGTGAGGAGAAACAGTTATGCTGATTATATAAATTATATATATATATATATATATATATATCCATAAAATGGAATCCTTTGAAATTATTCTTACAATGAATTATTTTTCACTCTAAATGAACAGGGATAAACTTTAAGATATATTATCAGGAAGAAAATCAAAATGCAGAACAGTACATAATCTGACATTCTATATTTTGCAAAGATATACATATAAGTGAGTGTGTGTACGAACTACTAATTGTGCGTAGTGTTTAAGATTATGGGCTCTGCAGCGGGACTGCCTGGAGTTAAATCTTTTTTTTTTTTAAAGATTTATTTATTTATTTATTTATTTATTTATTTATTTATTTATTTATTTATTTATACAAGCACTGGGTACAGTCAGAGGCACGGGAGGGTGAGAGAATTCACCAGAGCCAGAGCAGGGAACAGAACAGGCAGAGTGAAGAAGTACACTGCTGAGGGGAGCAGCGGGCGGCAGGAGAGGTCTGCGCGCCATGTGGAACCCTCCTCCGGTGGCTGGGGAGCAGCCAGGGGGTTGAACCGGCGCTGCAGAGGCTGCAGGCAGCTTCGCAACCCAGCGTTCAACGGCTGTGCCACCAGGGAGGCCCTGGAGTTAAATCTTGACAATACTACTCATTAGTTACATGACTTGACTGTTTTATGCCTCAGTTTCTCATCTTTAGAGAGGAAAAACCAGGGGTACTAACTACTGTCATGGGGTTGATAGAATTAAGTGATTTTTTAAAAAAGCTTAAAACAGTGCCTGACATGGTATACATGCTGTGAATGTGTTATTTTTATCTCTATAAAAAGGATAAGAAACTAGTAATCGTGATTGCTTCAGAGGAGGGGAGTTGGGGATAAGGAGACTCTTTTTACTCAATACCTATTTGTAGCTCTTCAAAAATTGTAAAAGGAGTAAAAGGAAAGAAAAAGTCCCCCAAGATTCCACTGCAGTAATCTAGGTAAAAGATGGTTACCTGTACAAGAGAAGCGGGAATGGAGAGAAGAGGATGGATTAAGCATGTTTAGTACTCTAGACATGGTCATTATTGACTCTAGCAGGCAAAAAGAAGAAAAAAATCTAGGGATTTAGAAGACTACTGAAATATTAGTTTATAAAATTTGACTTACCAGCCTTTATCTGATAGATTGATTTTATCTATATTTGTTTTATTCCCATATGGTCAGAATTAATCATCAATTAAATTTAGCAGTTCAGATGTTTATATCTTTGAAGAAACTGTTCTTCCTTTGAATGTCAGGTCATGTAATTCCCTGAAACTTCAGATTTGAATTTCAACTTCTTGTGGTCTTTTAACCTTCCCATCAATAAATAAGCAATCTACTTTTCTCTGGGATTTGTTTGGTTCTACCCTTCACCTTGTCTTAAATCTTATGGAAGGGCTGTACTGACTTGGTATTCATTTACTACAGAATTTGTGAAATTAATGGTAACATTTAAAAAGGGTATCTCCTTTTATAAATAGGAAATCAGTCATCGGCGGGATGATGGCTGGTGTTGTTGGTCAATTTTTAGCCAATCCTGCTGACCTAGTGAAGGTTCAGATGCAAATGGAAGGGAAAAGGAAACTTGAAGGAAAACCTTTGCGGTAAGTTCGCCAGTGAATAGATACCTCTACTTTCCCCTTTACTATCATCATATTTTGAACATTTACTCAATGACATGTATTTCTGTAAACACCATTCAGTCATAACATTAATTCTGACTCTTTATTTGGAAGTTATATTCATTAAGAGAAGAGCTAAGCTGAACCTTTTCTATGTGTGATAAGGTGTATATGTTCTCTAACAAGCTCTATCTGTGCATATGACTGTGCTCCTTTCCTCCAAATAGCTAGACTTGCTTCCTATTCTAGTGTGACATAAGTCTCTGAAAATTAAAATTTTCCCAGGTGTGCATCCCAATTTTGTCATTGTGACTTGGTTGTGGAAGACACCTAACATTTCTAGTCTGTTTCTTCCCTTTTTTTAACTTCTTTAATGCATATTTAATTTTACTAAAAAATTGCATTATTTTTTGAGGCAATATTGGTTTACAACACTGTATATGATTTAGAAGAATAGGTATAGCTTCATACTTAAGAACTTTGTTACCATACCACACCACAACCAAGGCACCTGTAATCCTCTACCATAGTTCTTTGGGTCCCCTGCACCCTTTGCTTCCCTCCTTCCCCTCCCCTCTGATAGCCTCAATTAAATGTTTATTAAAATAATGATGGTTTATAACCTTATATAGTTTTCAGTTATACAGCATTATAATTCATCTTCTGTAGATGTCACATTATAATTCCCAAAAGACTGATATAAAATCTTCCTATTGCATCACCCTATATTATCAAAGTTTACCTTTCTCAAAGGGGTTCATGTTCTAGTTAGCCAGGTTCCCTTGGGAAGGGACAAAAATCTTACAAATAGACATACTTTTTCCTGAAAAGAAGAATTATGCAAGATGCTTTAAGCTGAGTACAAAGGGGTCTGCGCCTCCAAATACTTTAGGGAGAAGGGTCTGGGAACTCCTTTGAGAGTTCACCATGAACACTGCTCTTTATTCTGCTTATAGCTGACTCAGTGGAAAATGAGGTTGGGCCATGGAAGTTCAGGCCACCCCGTTGTCCTTCAGCAGGGAGTAAACATGTGACAGAGAGAGAGAGTACTATGTCTAACCTAGTAGTTTACAGAACCCCAGGGTTCATTTTGTCATCTTGTAACAACTTCTAATTGCTAAGTAGCAGGGAAAAGTGACATGGAGAGAACTACCACTAGATCCAGAAATATCTTGGTTTTAATTAACAACCTCATTTTTCCCACTCTCTTTGTTGGATAATTTTGGTTTGAGGTAGTAGTGAGAAGCATTTAATATCATTGTAAAAAACATGAAACTGAGATTAGACAACCTGGGATTAAAATTCAGCCTTTACCATATTTGAGTTTTATAATTATAGCCAAGTGACTGCTCCACTCTGAACCTCAGTTTTCTCAGATGTAAATTGGAATAATAATACATATTTATATAGTGTTTTTGAGAAAAAACATGTATTTATATATATAAAAGTCATACACACACACACACACACAGTCTAACCCCAGAAGGAGAAAGACAACTATCAGATGGTGTCACTTACATGTGGAATATAGAGAAACCAGACAAAGGGTCAGATGAAGGCAAACTGAAAACCTAGCCCTTGAAAACAGACTATAGAACCAAGACATTTAGAGTAGGGTGGGGTGGAAGAGATGGGGGAACACAATGGACTATGGTGGTGGACTATGGTTACTTTGGTGGTGGGAGTGCTATGGTAACATCAGGAGGGGATGATCCTATACTTCCAAAATACAAACAACAATGTAAATCAGTGTTACCTCAATAGAAAATAAATAAATTAAAAGTCTGACAATAAGTGCGTGATAAATTGTAGTCCAATGACTATCTTTCTTGAGCATAATAGTGAATCATGATGCCCAATAGATGTGTCACAGGACTCAGAGAGTAAAAAAACTGCATAGTAGCTACATGGCTAGTATATTGGTAAAAGGTGACCTTTGACTGCAGGTGTTTCTGACTATAAAAAATCCAGGCTTTTATTTTATACAGAGGTTTCCAGGTTTGGTTAATGGTTCAGAACCATTTTTCATTTGGGAACAGAAAAACAAGCAAAACAAGAATAAATTTTTACAAAGCTAAAAGTACTCCATTTTAAATTATTATGAGATTGTCCTTACTACTTTTTTGGCCTAAAATTTTCATTTCTTTTATGAGATTATGTGAGGATCAATTTTTTTATTATTATTTGGTGAAATTCCAAAATCTACATCTACCACAGTACTAGTAAGATGAATCCAGAAGTCTGATGGCCACTGTTTCTCTTATAATTAATATGTGCACTAATGATATAAAATATCAAGAAATGAGTTTTAATGTTTAATAATCTGAGAAGAACATTACAGAGAGATTATAAACATTTCCATAAAAATTGTTCACATTAAATGTCAGCCTTTTTTTCTAAAGGATTTTTAGGTTTCTCTAGAAATTAGGCTTATGTGGATTACTTTCTAATAATTCTGAATAAATGTCATGTTATTCCAAATCTTTAACAGTATAGGTAAGGCTCATCCAATTGCAGTCCATGTATAGGAGTGTATACAATGTTGACATTTCATATTGTTTTCTTTAGATTTCGTGGTGTACATCATGCATTCGCAAAAATTTTAGCTGAAGGAGGAATACGTGGACTTTGGGCAGGCTGGGTACCCAATGTACAACGAGCAGCACTGGTGAATATGGGAGGTAATGGAAATTCAGAATTGAATTTGGAAAAGTCCTTAGTAATTGTTAGTACTTGCATTGGGAGAAATGAAAAAATGTTTTTATTAATTTTAATAATAAATAAGTCTTTCTTTATGTTGTAATACCATACTTGAAGATTTCCCATGGAGTCTTTTCACTTTATTCTGTAGTGATATGGGAAAAGAAATTCCTCAAACAAATTGTGGCAATAAGGAGATAGGATCAAACTATAGTTTGATCTTCTCTCTAGCCTACACCTTCCTCTGAGAGTCAAACTGGCCTATGTATCATGTGATAGTCTTTAAATCTTGACTGTCCCAACTCCCCCTATGCCCTGCCCAGTAATTCTTCTCCAGTTACTGTATAATCCATTTTGTACAGCCTGGCACCCCAGGCTGAATGTTTCTGTGATTCGTCCCTGTCTCTCACTTCCAATATTCAGTCACTGATATCTTTATCTACTTAATTTTTCTTGAAAATGTCTCCCCTTCCCGCCAACACCTTCTACTTAGTATCCTTAAAATGAACATAAAATAACTTGTATTATTGACTATAAAAACCTCTCAACTAGACTATTGTTATAACCATTTAGCTGGTCTCCTCTGTCCTCAAATGTATACCCAGTGTCCAGGGTGATTTATCTAGAATGCAGATCTGATCATGTTATTGGTATCCTTAGAACCCTTCACTGATTGTTCATCACTCACAGAATAAAATGAAAATACCCTAACATAGAAGGTCTGTATAATACAACCTGTACCTTCACAGAATTGAGTAATTCATTGATTCTGGAGAGAAGCAGAAAGTCATGTGCACTGTCTGCACATACCAAGCTGTTATTCACCTCTGTATTTTTGACCTCTTTCCTCTTCTGTTTACTTTTCTTCTGCAGAACTTCTCCACTCCACCTTATTTTTCCTATAGTTCCCATAACTACCCATGACTAGTCACGTTGTATTAGATGCACTTCTATGTGTTTCTGTAGTTCCCTTTGCTTATCTCTGTTATTGGTTATACTTCATTCCATTGCCTTCTTCTATTCTCCCCTAGAATGTGAGCTCCCTGAAAGCAAGGGCTCTGTTATAATCATCTTTATTTTCCCAGCCCCTTATATGTAGTCGAATAAATTGGATGAGTTAATAAATAATCCTAAATCCAAAATTATATGATTCTAAGAAACTGATAAACAGCATTTTTTTGCAGGTCATAGTCATGTATCATTTAAACATCCAAGGAAGTAATTCTATTTTGCTATTTCAATCCATCCATGTCCAATACATCATCGGTGGATATTTTGGTTGTCAGGAAACCTTTCTGGTTGTAGTTTCTCAATTCATTGCTTCAAAATATACTGCAATTCAGATTTCTCTTCCAGCTATTTACTCAGCATCTTCTTTCGGATATTTCAAATATTTTATCACTCTGAATGTGTAACTAAAATCATTCATTAAACCACTTCCTTCTCTCTTCCTCTCAATTCAAACTATGGTATAACCATCCTTTCAGTTGCACAATCCAGAAACCAAGGCATGATTTTTGTCTCTTTTCACTTAACTCCTTATGTACAGTCACCAAGTTCATTCAATTCTATCTCCAAGATAAATCTCAAATTCATTCACTTCTCTTCATCCCTAGAGCCACTTCTTTGTCCAAATATTACTTACCTCCTCCTACTAGACCACTCCAAATGCTTCCTGGCTGCTTTCCCCATATCTAACCCACAGCTATTTGCCTCAAAACAACTCTGAGCAAATAGTTTCAGTGCATATCATTAAAAATGTTCTCATTTCCAGCATCTCCAAATGTCAGCTCTGTCCTTCAAACTATTCAAGATCAGAACCTCACAGTCATCTTTGATTCCTTTCACTCCATGTTCAATCTGCAGGCTAATCCTGTTGATCCTGCCTTCAAAACATCCAGATTCTGACCAGTGTGCTACAACTCCCTTATCCAAGGTATCATCTTTCTCACCAGAATAACTACAATAATCTCATAGCTAATATAGCTCACCTCCCTATAGTCTGCTCTTGACAGAACCCCAGCCAAAGTGATCCTGGTAAACAGTAATCCAGGTCACTCTCCCCAAAACCCTGCCCTGGCTTCTGATAACTCTCCATCATCTGGACTCTGCCTTTCTCTGACCCTTGCTGGAGCTGAGCTGATTTAGACATAGATGCATTCAGATGTCCAAATGACATAACTGAGTATGTCTCTCTTCCTCTTTTCCTTCCCCTCCATCTGTAGCTCTGCTGTTCTCTGCTTGACAACAAGAATGCTGTCTTTCATTCCTGAACACATTCCTGCCTGAAGCCTAGCATGTTCTTGACACAAAAGATATTCATTGTTGAATTAATGAATATTTAAGTGTTCTTTTTCTTTCTACTGCTAGATTTAACCACTTATGATACAGTGAAACACTACTTGGTCTTGAATACACCACTTGAGGACAATATCGTGACACATGGTTTATCAAGGTAAGTAATAGTTTTAGTTTGACTTGTTCTTTCTATAGCACCTTTTCTTCTGAATTTGGCATAAATTATAACTTCTTGTTTCTTCAGATATAACTTCCCCAAATATTTGCATCCTGATAGTGCTATTCCAGGGTTAGCTCCTGATGATTGATTCTCTAACTCAATTCTACAGATATGTTAAAAAGCATATTTTATCTTAAGGTGCCATACAAAACCATTCAGTGGTTACAACTCTTTCCTAAAGAGTTACCAAAACAAGACAGATATAAAAGCATGTACGGTAAATGCTAAAAGAAAGTGACTAGTTACTGTAGAATTTAAAGAAGGAAGGGAAAAAGCACTTAGAAGGACCTACAAAGGAAATAAAATTAGATACATTTTTTGAAGGGCTATATCTCTTGACAGAGACAGGAAGAAGAGTATCCCAGGAAGGAATAGTGCTTAATTTCTTTGTAATGCAATTTAAATTTATCCATTAGAATGAATTACTTTATAGATGTCTAGTGTCCTTAATATTATTGTGATTTTATTTAGCTTTTAATCCTGCTTTCAAAAGGAAAAGAAAACAAACCCTATATAATTGGCGAAACAGGCTACCACTGGGAACATGGGGTAGAGAACAAAGCTGGGTGTGGGGGGCGGTCACAGTAGATTATGGTGGAGGACTATGGGTGCCCAATGGTGGGTGAGGTGTGGTAACATACATCTGAAGAGGTGGGATCCTACATTTCTGAATCATATATAGTATTGTAAAACGATGTTACCTCAATAGAAAAAAAAATTTTAAATAAAAATATCCAGTATAATTAACAAAAAAATCCTTTATGCTATTTGACAACCCCCAAAGTGTATTTATAGTATTAAATCAATTATGGAAATAGATGTGTTTGTGTGTATATTTAGATATAAATGATTCCTAATTTTATGTTGATATTAATATTCCTAAAGTATTTTTTTTCCAATTCCTCTTCTTTTAAAATAAGTGTTACCTTTATTGCTGCTGGGGTAATTTTTTTAATGAATTTCCTCACCATCCTTTCCCATTTCTCACGCAGATATGTTTACAGGCTATAGTGTTCTTTCCCTAGTCAATAGTTCAGCCTTCTCTTCCACTAAGAAAATAAGATTTTTGGCCTCCTTCCACTTTTTACTCCCAACCCAATAGACCTCTGTACCTGCCCTGCCTTCCTTTCCTCCACTGTCTTTGCTCATGCTGTTTGCTCTGCCTGAGACTTTCTTCCCAATTCTACCCAGTCAAGTCATCTTATGAGCTATACTTATCTTTCAAGATGCTTGTCTGTCCTGCTTTTGATGTATTCTGGGAACAGGATATTCAGGTTTGCCCTAGTGACATTCTCCCTGTTTCTTTTTCATTGTCCTTCAACCCAGACCACACTTCTAACCTAAGATTTGTAGATTTCCCAGCACGTGTAACTCTGCCAAGGATATACTATTGCATTGAATACATCTGCCTTTTTCAAAAGGACACTGCTGTGTTCTAGTCCAAATTTGAAATAACCTCATCTTATTTCTCTGTAATTTAGGCTTTTAAAAAATGAGATGATTTGATTCATTATTGAGCTCTACCACTGAATTTTTTTGTTTTGTTAAAATGTTAATCAAATTGGGGCTCCCTGGTGGAACTGTTACGGAGCAACCCCGATATTAAACGGGTTGCCTGGCTGTGGGTCCTCACCCACACGCTTAAAAAGGGACTTATTAATACCCCACTATAGGCACACTCAAAAGGTTAATAAAAGGTTTATTTACAAGGGAAAGGGAAATGAGGAAATGTACAACTCAGGGAGAAAATAGGGAAATAAAATCTTTAATGCGTCCTACCTGATCCGCCTACCTGGAAACCCAAAGGCACTCTCAGAGCTGGCCTAGCGCTGCAAGCTGGCGGAGAGCCAAAAAGGGAACCCCCCAAAGCCCACGTGTCTGGTTTTATACCAAACCTGGCTGCTTAACCCCACCCTCTGGTTCCAGCAACCTTCCCTTTGCTGGTGATGGGATTGGTCTTTCCCAACGTCCTGATGGCTTTGGTCTGGAGTAGGGGTGGAGTCCACAAAGCCTGTATGGAATTAGCTTTAGGACATCCTTTTCCCCCTAACAGCACAGCCGGTTAAGCACAGCACTGTGAGGCTGTCCGCAGCCTCTGCAGCACGGGTTCGATTCCCAGCTTGCCAGGGAGATGCCCACATGGCGCAGCAGACCTCTCCTGTCTCGCCTGCTGCTCTCCTCAGCAGTGTTTTCGGTCAGTCTGCCTGTTCTGCTCCCCACTCTGACTCTGAGGAATTCTCTCACCCTTCCATGCCTCTGGCCTATACTCCAGTTCTTGTATAAATAAAAAAAATCTTAAAAAAAAAAAGTCAATCAAATTACCTGTCTACCCAGCTCAAAATTCCTCAGTGACTTCCCTTCACATCTTGAATAAAATCAAACTCCTTAAGTAACTTTCATTGGCTGATCTCTGCCTGTCCTTTCTTCTTTCATCTGGTTGGACTCTTACTCCTTCAGGATGCTACAGCTGTGTTGACTGTTTTCTGTCTCTTAATCTCACCAAGAATATTCCTGATTCAGGGCATTTGATGTGCTATTCCTTCTATTTGCAACACTCTTCCTCCAGGTCTTCACACAGATGTTTCCTTCTTACCAGTCAATCTGTTTTGCTGTCTCACCTGAGAGCAGGACTGCCTATCACCTAGTTACTTCCTATCTTACCTCATTTTATTTTTTTCATAGTACTTATTAGCATCTGAAATATTCAGGACCCTTCTGTCTTTCCCCAAACAAAGAGTAAGTACCAAGAGCAGGATCTTAACCTGTTTTGTTCAATGCCTAAAAGAGAGCTTGATATCAGTAGATGTTCAGTATGTATTTGTTGACTAACATTCTTTTTGTTTTTTTCCTGCCTCTTTAATGAATTAATTTAGCACTTATGTTTAAGCTGAAAGAGCATTATAAAGAATATTGCAGTAAAATATTTAGTATCCCACTCTTTCTAAATATTAAATTCCCTTTTCCTAAAATTTAGAAAGTGAAATAGAACATCTTTCAATTTCATTTATTTGTATCTATAGTTTTTGTTCTGGACTGGTAGCTTCTATTTTGGGAACACCAGCTGATGTCATCAAGAGCCGAATAATGAATCAACCACGAGATAAACAAGGAAGGTAGATAGAAAAACTTCAGTATTCTATACTTGAATGTCTGCAATAATATTGTTCTTTAAAGATGATTCCCTATATTTGTTTTGATATGAAATATATTTGTGTTCATGTATTCATTCAAATAGAAGATTGTTTTAATGCAATTACCCACTCTGTCTGATAGAAAAGTACTGTGCCTTTGGGGAAATAAGCTAATTTTATGATTATATTATTTGGACACAGGTTATTTATTGTGACTTGATTATTTTCAAAGAGTTTTTGAAAACATACTCTGCTGAGAATTTACAAAGCACTTTCTTCAGAGGCTTGTGACTCACAGGTAACATGGAGAATCTGATTAAATAAAATAGTATGTTTTCTCTGGAAGGGTCATGTGGAGTGAATGCTAAGTATAAAGCTAAGGATGGGATGAATCAGAAAAGCTTGAAAATATCTTTAAACTCAAACTGTATTATCTATATATACAGAACCAAAAATATTTGTTCTAGACAAGCAGAAAGTATTTAACTTTCACTATTAGTGTTTATTTATATTTTATTCCTACATCTATTTACACATACAATATTTAACAAAACTGTATTGCTTCTTTTTTTAGGGGACTTTTATATAAATCATCAACAGATTGCTTGATTCAGGCTGTTCAAGGAGAAGGATTCATGAGTCTGTATAAAGGCTTTATCCCATCTTGGCTACGAATGGTAAAGTTAGGCTTTTCCTTCTTTTTTTTTTGGTTTCCTTTGTTCTGAATCACTTTCAAGATGTAAATATTTTCACTTATCATTGCTGTTTTTCGGCATGGACCGCCCCCAGACCAGTTTTCTTTTTTATATCTCTTTTTGTTTTCTTTTAACTTTCTTGGCAGACTGAAGGCCAATAATTCACTTATATCCAAAAATGAATAGGTTGATATTCTGTTGTTATAAAGTCAGTGGGTACATTTTCTGCATTGTAAAGTCTTTAGTCATCTGTTTAGGTAAAATATTGTAGTTTAGAACAGGCATACAGATTTTATACTAGAGATCATGCCTATTAAAATGTTACTGTTTTAAACAGTATGTTACTCTGATGACAAATGTTTCATTACTCATTAATACTTCTTACTACAAAGCTATGCTTAGTAAGAAAGCATTAAGTCATTTTTATTTGGTTTGAATGTTATTTTTTACTGAAGTAAACTAAGATGTAGAACTAGTTAGACCTATTTAATTAACATAACAAATATAAAAAGGCACTCAAGTATTTCGTAAGTTAGAAAATATTTGAAAGCATAAATAAGTTGTGGGTTTACATAGCTAAGCAATCAACACCTTACACATTAGGATAATATTAATTGAGCACCTACTTCATGCAAAGTCCTGTACTCCGAAAAGCCCCACACTCTCTTTCTGTAAGGACAAACGTTGAACAAGTACCTACAAATGATGAGAAGTAGGAGAAAAGCGCATGGTGCTATGAAAATATAGCAAGTAATTTAGGCTAGTGCGAGAATAAGAAACCATCTTTGGAGAAAGAACTTTTGAATTAAGACTTAAATATCAGTAGGATTTGGGTGAGAAGGGTAGACAAGAACATTTCAGGTAGAGGGAATAAATGCAATAGGCATAGAACATTATGAGTTCAAAGAATTGAAGGAAATCTGGGAAGCCAAGTATTGAGACCTGGAGGAGTGGGGCATAGAGTGAGGAGGACAGAAAGAAGCTGAGTCCAGTTCTAGAAAAACCTGATGACACATAAGAGTGAGGGACATGGTCTCAATGATAAGCATTTATAGAAAGATTTTTCTGGCTGCCATGTGGGTTGGGAGTAGAAATAGATAAGAGATAATAGCAGCTTGGAGTATAGACAGAAGGAGATTAAAAAAATAATTAGTAGAATGAAAGGAAACAAAAATATGACTGGATAGGAAAATGGACCTTTATTCCAAGATTCTAGTTCTTAGAAACAGATATTATTTCCTCAAATAGAGATCATTTGCAGGGAAGAAGATCTTGAGGTAGGATCATAAGTTTAGTTTTAGACATGTTATTTGAGCACGGTTCAGATATAGGTCATTATATACATATAGGTAACTAAAGTTCTGGGAATAAATGGCATCACCAAATGATAGTAAGTATCTGTCCATTAACACAGAACGCCAATTAAAAGCCATTGGCAATAATGATACAAAAGTATATTCAAGTTGTGAAACACTATTTTTTTTTTTTTTTATAAACTTTTTTTTTTTTTTTTTTTAAAGATTTATTTATTTATTTATGCAAGCACTGGGTACAGCCAGAAGCGCGGGAGGGTGAGAGAATTCACCAGAGCCAGAGTGGGGAGCAGAGCAGGCAGAAGGACCGAAGTACACTGCTGAGGGGAGCAGCGGGCGGCAGGAGAGGTCTGCGCGCCATGTGGGACCCTCCTCCGGTGGCCGGGGAGCAGCCGGGGATCAAACCGGTGCTGTGGAGGCTGCGGACAGCTTCGCAACCCAGCGCTCAACCGCTGCGCCACCGGGGAGGCCCGTGAAACACTATTTTGATCATCTCCATTATAGCTTGAATTATCTCATATCCCTGAATATTTCTTACTGAAAAGGAAAATTTGATTTGGTCTGTATGAACCAGATACTGCTTCATAAGAGCTAGTAACATTAGGGAATACAATGTTTATTTTTTTTAATACTAGAGGATCTTATAATGTGATAGAAAAGATAGACAAATGAGTAATTAAAATTACAGGAATAACAAAGCTAATATTACTAAATCATTGGTATATTGGTCAATGTTGTGCGAGTCATTTTTATGGTTTAACTCACTGAGCTCTCTCAATAATCTATTTAGGAGTTTACTATTATATCCCTTTTTTTAGTTCATAGAAGAGGAAACAAAAATTTAAAGAGTCAAAATAACCTGGCCAGGTTAGGCAATTATTTACTAATGGAATCAGGACACCAGATCCAGGTAGTTGGCTCCAAAGGATATAATCTTCACCAAGAAGTCTGTGCAAATATTGTTCCAGTGGTATAAACAAAACACTGGGGGAACAAAGATAGTGGAGTGAATATGTATTTATGTAAAGAGCACTGTGAAGTGGCTGCAGAGAGGTGATATTTGCTCTCAGTTGAAGAATCAGTGGGCGTTTGTCAGCAAGCGCATGAGAGAGCAATATGAGCGTACGCATCAAGACATGTGTTTGAAGAACTGCAGAAAACTCAGTGTGACTGGAGAATAGGTCCCCAGAGGGAAAGTGGTGGGAAGAATTCTAGCAAATACTGAAGGACCAGGTTGAGATGGACTTTATGGGCCAGGTTTAGTGGTTCCGCTGTAACTCGATAGCTAACAAGCAGCACTTAAACATGGAAGTTATATACTAAGATTTGTTTGGGGATATGATTACTTTGGTGACAATATAGAAGATCCAGTGAAAACCAGGGTGTAAGAAAGGAAAGTTTGGCAGTGTTCCAGCCAGGAGATGATTTTATACATGGAAAGATTATGATAGATTTTGGGACCATTATGGTTAGCGCCACAGTACTTAGTGATTGATTATATGTAGAAGGTAAGGGAAAGGAAAGCAGGAAATAGAACTTCTATATTTCTAGTTTCAGGATGGGGCAGGAATACTATCCAAGTACAAAGGGATATCGAAACCTCTTAATCTGACCCATTTTATTTATATATTAGACTCAGAAAGTATAAATGTCAAAAAAGAGCACTTAATATGTGATAAGCACTGTGTTCATCTCTTTACACATTATTTTTTTTAAGTCTTACAAGAACCTAGTAAAATAGGTGGTGTTAGCCTAATTTTTCAGCTAAGAAAAATCAGGGCTCAAACTATAAGAAAGTTGCTCAAGTTCCAATAGCTAGTATGTGGCAGACCTGGGAAGTGACTGCAGGTCTGTTCAATTCTAAACCCATGGTCCTAACACAGTACACAGAGTTTCTCAAGTTTCTGCAGCTAGTTATAGAAGTTTTGAAAGAAGAGTCTGGCTTTTAAAATGAAAGGCTGGCTAATCACCAAAGATGACCAGGGTGTCATTGCCCTGTTGATCTGCCCTAGTGCATGAGCCTGAGTTTAGAATGCTGACCCATGCGTGAACTCTTCCAAAAAAATCTGGCCTTGTAAATACAGATTCACTTCAGCTGAATTCCATGAAACTGATGATTGGACCACATCATCAGCTTTTTCACATTGAGAAACACACTTGGGAAGTGATCCAGAATGAAGTCCTCTGGGCAGCCTGCTTCCTCCTGAATTCAAACTATAGAGGAAGCCAAGTTAATAGTCAGAAAGTTGCTTGATGACAACTGAATAATAGGAAGAGTTATTTGTAAACTTAGTAATTATGAATGTCAACCTAAGAGCCCTTAGGTGTTTTGTTCCACAGTAATAGGAGAAAGACTCTGCTTTTTCCCAGCAGTTATGGCAACAGGCAGACTAGAGAAGACAACATGGGTTCACATACACTTGGATTATTTCCAGAGGCACATCTGTGCTAGAGAGGAAAGAACAAGCACTATTCCCAAGTGCACAGAGACTCAATATACCACATTATATATCACCCATGTTATGGCTATATGATCTGCCTCTTTACGTTCTAAACCAAACTCAATAGCAATCCTTTCCACCAAGTAGGACCTTACTTCATTAAATCCCTAATTAATATTTCTTTTTTTTAAGATTTATTGATTTATACAAGAACTGGGGTACAGTCAGAGGCGCGGGTGGATGAGAAAATTCACCAGAGACACAGCGGGGAGCAGAACAGGCAGACAGACCAAAGACACTACTGAGGGGAGCAGTGGGTGAGGCAGGAGAGGTCTGCCGTGCTATGTGGGTTTTTCCCTGGCCAGCCAGGAGTCGAACCTGCACTGCAGAGGCTGCAGACAGCTTCACAGCCACAGCATGGTATTCAACCTGCTGCGCCACCGGGGAGGCCCCCTGATTAATATTGCATTTACATATACTTTGGTTGCTAGATCATTAACTTGAGGGAGAAGTGTATTTATCATAGCCATTAGTTCTTCAAACACATCATTAGAAATGATTGTTTAGTCCATTCTTAACTAAGACCTTTGCTCCTTAATCTGATTGCTGTTTTATCCTTGGCTCACTTCATTTTGTGTGTCACAAGAACATGGTATCATTAGTTTCCTATTCTTTATTTTGTCTATGTCTTCATGCATTTAACTGACCAAGATGTATTTTTTCCTAAAACCATTATTTAGTAAATTTTCAGTCTACCGAAATAACATGTTGAGTTTATTTCCAAACCATGTAACATAACATAAATATTGCATTTCAGACTCTAACCAAAAACATTTAGCAAATTAATTCTTAAGGTTATGTCTCTAAAACCAACAGGAAGTGGATTCAAGACACCTTTTCTCTGATGGTTATATTGCATTTACCCTGTTATTTCCCTTTGTGTTTCTAGAATGTATATCTACTTTTGCTATATAATCTCCCCACCCTCTCATAATTCCTTACAGTAAAGGTAACTTCATTTAAGTTAGTCAAGTCTTTCTGAGCTAGAAGTTCTTTTCTATTTAATATGGATTTTTACATTCATTTTATGATATATCAAGGTTGGTTTCATTACCGAACTCTCAATAATCATCTTCCTTTCAAATTCTTCAGTGCTAACTCTTCCTTGCTAAGTGTTCCATGTACAAGCTACATGTAGAGAATCCTAACGTAGAATTCAGGAATATTGAGTCTAATCTTTTAACCAATAATGGTTCAGCAAAAGGAATCCCGGCAACAGTCAGAAGTCTGTGATTTAGCGCCATAACATGCAAACAGGCATTTGATTGCTAAGCCTTAGTGTCTTCACCTGTAAAATACGGATATCACTACCTTTGCTTCCTATGATAAATTGTTCAGAGAAATCTGATAAAATATTTTTTGTTTTCAACTTAAGTGAACTCAAAATGATTTTGTCATTCAAGGATGTGTATACAAATATGTGGAATACTTATAATTACTTTGAAATACGCACTAACTTCTTTGGTTAATCTTTCAGACCCCTTGGTCACTGGTGTTCTGGCTTACTTATGAAAAAATCAGAGAGATGAGTGGAGTCAATCCATTTTAAATCCTTACAGATGAAGCCCTTAAAGATACAGTGGTCATTATTGAAATATGGGCATCTGCAACACACACACACCCTGTTATTTCTACCTCTTTAGGAAGACATCTTACTCCACAGAGACTGTGATTCATAGGGGAGCACTTTATTTTTCCCTGGAAACCTGAGTTCTCCTTGACTCCTCTTTTGCTTCAAAACAATTTGGTTGGATCACACAGTGCCACCCCATGAGACACCCAGCACAGAATTTCCTAAAGAAGAATCAAACCCTGAACAAGTACTAACCCTGGGCAAGAAGATTTGACCTTTGAGATGCTATTCTATGCTGAAGAGTCTGCTGAGAGAAGTACCAGAGAGAGACAACATCTCAGACACCAAGTAGACAATAAGGAATATGGAAGAATACATACATACCTAGTGATAAAGAAATATATTTAACCTGTTATGTCAGTATTTACATTTAAGATGTGATAATTCACTTTTATGTTGTTAAAGTGCACATACTGTAAATTAATGGGATGAGGTGAATGAAGATTTATGAATAAACACTTTGAGTTTCCCTAGTATTAAAGGAAGTTATGTACCTTTTCTTGCCGAGAGGATGAGAAAAATCAAGTTGATATGATGTTTGAATTTCAAGGAAGAACGCAACCTTCTGTCAGTGTCCCATCGTTGGACGTGTGTTCATTGGTTAGCACTTCACTTGACATGCAAAGGACTTCCTGACAGCCACAGACTCTGAATTTTCATGAAAACAAATATATTTGCTTTGATACATATTCTGTTACAACTTGGATTTGTCTCTAGTTCTCAAGAATCTCAGCATATAAAAAATGCAACTTATTTGCTTAAAGCTCAGGTAGATAGATCCTATTTATAAGATATCTCCTGAAATTATCAGCCTTTTGGTGGTATTTAAAAAGTAAGGCTGAAATGCAGTCAACCAATTCTCACATAACACTAAGGGCGCTAGAGAGAAAGAGGGAGAGAGAGAGAGAACTCAAAATACACTGAAGCCATCGCTAGTCTGAATCTTACTCAGTTTGACAAAGCTTACTGACAAAAAGTATAAAAAAAAAAAAGTATAAATTGTCTGGCACACAGTTATGTCTCTAATCATGGAATCAAATCGCTTTTCTTATTTTAGAAAGATGAGAAATTTCTTCATATTCACCTATGTTTTACCTGCTCCCCCAACCTCAGACAGTGGGTATTTCTAGCCTGATAGCTACAGTTATAGGTTGAGGATATAACTATCAAATAGGAAGACTCGAAAAGCTCAGACCCAAGAAAGACCTTGGAAATAACCAAACAATTTGTTATAATGAACATGGATAATGTTAAGTAAAAGAAAGTTTACAAGTGCTTTGTGGTTGCATTAATGCATAATCACTGCCATTTCAAGAGTGGATGTATATCTTAAAATATATTTTAATGTGAAGTATTAATATGCAGTGGCTTATTGTCCATAGAATTTGTAGTATGTGGAGTTTAATCTCTTAAAATCATTTTCAATTGCATTTGTCAATCTGTATAAATGTAGTTGTTAAATATATTTAAAATCATATTATGTATTTAAATTCCCAAGTATTCTATATTGGAATCACTTTGGGGAACTTTTTCTTTATGTTCTATAATTTTTTAAATTAAGTGAAGAGTGGATCAAAATAATCAAAATAATCAGACCATAAAAAAAATTATTTAGCTTTATTATTTGAGAGGCTTGGGTTGTAAACTAATCCTCAGTATCTGGATTCAACATGAATAACTGGAATTTTTTAATATTAAATGATGCAAGATCATCTGGTTTAATCTGCTCATTTTACATGTTAGGAACTTGAAGCCCAGAGAAGTAGAGTTGTTCATCTCATAAGTTAGTAGCAGAGCCAGGAAAAAAAAAAAAAAGATTTTCTAACTTTTATAATTGACAGTTACTGTGCACTAATTAAGTGCTGAGTAAATAACCTTATGCCATCTTAACACTGGCCATGGCTCTTGAATCCTCCAAAAATGAGATTTTTCATTATGGCATATTTTGTCTTGTACATCTTAAATGAATTTGAATTGCCATTAGCATAAATTTTAGAGTGAAGTCACCATGCTCTAGCTTGAACATTAAGACCCTCCATAATCTGACCAAATCTATAATTAGACCAAATCCTGTATAACCAAGATATATCCAATTGTATTCATTCTTTTCCATTAAAATAATATTCATGAATGTATCTTGGGATGCTGCTTTATTTTGAACAATTTGAATCCTCTTGTTCTCCAGAGTAATTAACAATTAAAAAAAAGGAATACAATTTTCAGTAATTTTGTGTCCATACTGGAAGGCTTAACCATTTTATTCTATCTTTATTATAATACTGTAATATAGAATATTTCTCTTCAGTTCAGTAATTGGTAACAATTAACTTCTAAGTTTCTTTTCCTTCTTTTCTTTTTCCCTTCCCAAATCATTTTTCTCAGTGAAAAAGTTATTTTTAATTATATAGTTATTTATATGTATAAATTAATTAGCATATATTGAAATAATCCTTTAAATTTTTTTCCCATTTTTTAACTCTCAAAGGCAATGCAGTAGAAAGATCAATTTTTTAAAGATTATGTTTATTGAGATGTTCATTTACAGCACTGTATATGTTTTAGGTATGTAGGTTCACACCTCTACAAAAGTATGTATCACGCTACATCTATCACCAAAGCCCTAACACTCCTCCACCATAATCCTTTGGGCCCCCTCCCCTATAGGTTCCTATCTCCTCTCTGACAGATTTCAAAGGTTTTCTTTGGTGTGCTTGCATTTGTTCCTTGCTTTGTTTCTTTGTATTACACATACAAATGAAATCATCTGGTATTTGATTTTCTACTTCTGACTTATTTTACTTAGTGTAATCCCCTGCATCCTATCCATATTGTCACAAATGGCAAGATTTCATACATTTTATAGTTGACTAGTATTCCACTATGTATATACTACATGTTCTTTATCCTTTCACCTGTCATTGGACACAGGTTGTTTCTATAATTTGACTGGTAAACAGTGTTGCAATGAACATAGCTGTGTACATATCACTTAGAATTGTTTTTTTTTTAATTATCATTATTCATTATTATATTTATTTGATTATCATTATTCATTATTATAATTTTAATTATCATTATTTCCTGATAGTCCCAGGAAAGGGACTACTATATCATATGTTAGATCTATTTTTAATGTTTTGAGGACCATCCATATTGTTTTCCATAGAGGCTGGACTAGTCACAAGTCTATATTCCCAATAACAGTATAAGATTGTTCCTATCTTCTACATGTTCTTGCCAACACTTTTTTGTTGCTGGTCTTTTTGATATGGGCCACACTCACTGGAGTGTGTTGGTATCTTAGTGTGGTTTTGATTTGCATTTCCCTAAGATAAGCTGATGACGAGAATTTTTTCATATGCCTGTTGGACATGTGTGTGTCTTCTTTGGAGAAGTGTCTATTTAGCTCTTCTGCCTATTTTTGATTGGTTATTTTTTTAATGCTGAGTTGTATGAATTCTTTGTATATTTCAGATAATTAGCCCCTTGTTAGGTCTATGATGTACAAATACTTTCTCCCATTCAGTAGGGTGTCTTTTTGTTTTAATGATAATTTATTTGCTGTGTAAAAACTAAACTAAGAGATAACATTTCTAAATTTGTTTTTAGTGAGGAATAATGTGTCTTTATCAAGTGTTCAAAATCCTACTTAATTATAAGCCAAGTAATAGGGCCACTTGGTGGGAGAGACATGTCTTATTTTTATAGAAATCTTCACTCTCATTAGTAGTACTAATTTGGTACTCAATGAAAATTGATCATAGTTACATTTAACATGAATCAATTTTGTCCTTGTTAGTTTAAGGATCTGTGACTATTATAAGACTAGTCTGAAATTTCTCTCACTTTGCTAAGAGGGAAACATTCAATTACGTCTTTAATGTAAAAAAAATGAGATTACATCACCTTCAAATGTTTAGATACAACTATTTATATTTGAAAGTTGTATACGTTCTCTGTTCATGAAAATAGATTACACAGGATCTCCATTTTAAAACTTTAATATTTGGTGATTGAAAAAATTGGTGAGGGACATTAAATTCTCTTCCCTCCAATTATACCAGGAGTCTGTAAAGATGAATGCCAAGTGAATATACATTTCTACAAATACCAGGTAATGACAAAGAAAGACTGAGCACGAATCCTAATGACATTTATCCTATTTCGGGTCTTTTTCTGAGAGTAATACAACTATGATCAACAAGTCACTTCACTTCTCTTGATTTTTCAGTTATTTTTAGGATAAAGTGATTGAACTCTAGAATCTTAACTGCATATATTTGAAGGGGGCCATTATATCGACATGTGAAAAATAGGATTTAAAAAATTACTGGGATTCATCTTTCCTGGATTGAAATTATTTCTCATATTTCAAGATTGGGAAAGGTCCATTTAAACCTTTAAGTTTAATACAATCTTATATGGCTGGCTTGTCTCATCTGAAAATCCATCCTTCACAGATTAGCAGAGTTATCTTCCTTCAGGTAACTCCAGGCATGTCACCTCATAATATTACCTTCATACACACATAATAAAAATAAAAATGTTTAATATTATATCAAAGACCCTCTCAATCTGATTCCAACCCCACTTTTCAAACTCTGCATTTCACAGCATGTCTGCACACTACCTTTTTGTAAATGCATTGCTCAACTTACTTCTCTGAAGCTGTTCTTCACCTGCTGTTTCTCATACAGTGTTCAATGCTGTGCTCTCTACCTAAATGTCCATTGTCATCACACAGTCAGCTTCATTGTCATTGTTTGAATCCCTACTTTAGTAGCTAGAATGATCACATACCACCTGATCTCTGAATCTTCAACATCTTTAACATCTCTGTGCTCCCATTGCTTTCCCTACTAGGGATGTCTGTCTGGATGGATGTATGTCTGCTTCCCCTAAACAGAATGAACTGCTTGAAACCTAGGACCATGTACTACATCTCTGTATCCTTTATAAACTTCAAATAGCAGCCACTTAAAAGGTACTGGTTGAATTCAAATGCTTTTTTTTGCAGTGGAGAGAGTAAAATATATTAAGTATCATTATGTTATATGATGTTTTCCCTTTATCTTCAGAATAACTACATTGGGTTAGGAACAGTGATTTCATGAAATTCTTTACCATATTCAGTGTTCAATTACATTTTCAACAAATATATGTGTGTTTAAATGTTTATAGCCATTAAAATTTTAATAATTCATCTGTTTCATAGCTGTTCACAAAGATCAAGAATGTAATAGTTTTAAATAATACAAACTGGCTGGTTAATAGTTAACACCTATGTGCTGGGTTTATATTATTCTTCAGTTTGGAGTGTATGAAAACTATATCATAAATTTGGTCTTCAATGATACCATCCAAGTGCACCTTTTTACCCACTCAAGTGTTTCATCATTTTTGAACTTTGAAGAATACATGATTATTTTTCTCTCCCCACACTTTACCCCCAACAGGCTGCTGTGATTGTCAACAGCAGCAGGAGCCACTTTGAAGGTTTTATAAAAGCAGATGAAGATGCTTAAAGATGTCTGTTTGCTGAAAATATCTGGTAACAAACAGGAATACTTGTGAGTAAATATAGTGTATTATTCTGATTTTTAAAATAAATGTTTTAAAATTCTCAATTGGTTGTTAAGGGCTTTGCTTTGTCCTGGTGTGGTACATTTTTCAGTTAAAATAATAAACATTTTGGAGATAATTTTTAGATCTTAATTTTTTACTTCCACAATTGAAATAGAAAATTTAGGTTTAATTCAGAATGTCAGGTTTCAAATATTTACATTAGCAAAAATGATGCTCATCCCCCATTACAATAAATTTATGAGTGCTTGCTATTAACTTAGTTCTGTTCTAAAGCTGTTTAATTGCTGCCAACCCCTTAACATCTTGTTCCTCAAGGTTCTGTTCTTAGCCATTTTATCAATTTTCATTCTCTCTCCAGAAAGGAAAACTTTTTTGTAAACTCAACTCCTCAGTTTAGGCTAGAAATTCCCAAACTCATAATTGGCATTTCAATAAATGGTAAATATTACCATTATATCTTTTTGGTCCTTATTTTACTCTCAGCTTTAGCCATTTTTTCTCAAATGCTAACTATATATCTCTACCAGGATAGCCCACAGTCCTTTTGAGCTTAAAATTTCCAATACTAAATCAGTATTTTGAACCAATCCATTGCCTTCACAATTTGCTCTTTCTTCAAGATTCTCCGGTACACTCCACACCCAGTACCATAGCCATGAAACCCCAGGACTGTATGATTTCACATTGTTTTTCTTTTCTTATTTTACAGAATGTATAAATATGTTTATTAAAAAATGTTAACTATAGTTCAATAGCTCATATACATAGATTCAGAAATCAATGAGCACCACATCACATCCATTATGATGGTAATTACTAAGCAAAAAAAAAAAAAACCCAGAAATTTACAAATGTTGGTGAGAATGTGGGAAAGCTGGAATACCTGGGTATTGCTGGGGAGAATATAAAATGGTACAACCACTACAACAAACAGTATGCCAATTTTTAAATCAATTAAATATAGAATTACCATATGATCCAACAATTACATCTCTATGCATATACCTAAAAGAATTGAAAGCAGGGATTTGAACCAATGTTCATAGCAGCATTTTTCACATGGCCAAAAGGAAAAAAAGTCAAATGTCCATTATGAATGAATGAATACATAAAATGTGGCATAAACATATAATGGGCTACTAGTCATCCTTGAAAAGGAAGGAAATTCTGGGACATGCTCCAAGGTTGACTCTTGTAAACATGCTTAGTGCTAAAGCCAGTTATAAATGGACACATCTCATATGATTCAACTTATATGAAATACCTAGAATAATCAAATCCACAATAACAGAAAAGAAAATATAGTGGTGGTTACCATGGGCTGGAACAGAAGACAATAGTCAGAATTTAATGGGTACAGCTTTCAGTTTGGATTGATGACAAAGTTCTGGAGATGGTGGTGGTTGCACATCTATGTAAATATACTTAATGAACGTGCCACTAACCTGTACATTTAGAAATGGTTAAAATGCTAATTTTTAGATTATGTATATTTTACTACAATACAAAAGTCTGAAAAACATTTTAAAAATTAAATAAGGGGCCCCTCTGGTGGCTCAAGGGGTTAACACACAGCACTATGATCCCCAGCCAGGGAGCTGACCCACATGGCGCAGCAGACCTCTCCTATCTTGCTTGCCACTCCCCTCAGCAGTGTATTTCAGTCAATCTGCCTGTTCTGCTCCCCACTCTGTCTCTGGTATATCCTCTCACCCCCTGCATCTCTGGCCTGCACCCCAGCTTTTATATGCATAAAAAAATAAAACTTAAAAAAAATTTTTTAAATGTGAGAATATATTAGCAAACTGAATTCAGTATTGTAATAAAAGATAATATATCATACCTAATTGAGGTTTATCTCAGGAATATAACATTCAAAAACTAATCAATATAATTTACCTTATTAACAAGGAAAAAACATCTTCTCAATATTCTCTTATGATAAAAGTTCTCAACAAACTAGGAGAAGAAGGAAACCTCCTTAACCAGATAAAAGGCATCTAAGTAAAATCTATATCTAACATTGTACTTGTGAAAGACTAAAGGCTTGCTCCCTAAATCAGGAACAACATAAAAATATACACTCTCACTATTCCTATTCAAAACTGTACTAGAGGTCTTAGTCATACAATGAAGCCAGAAAGAAAAAAAAGACATGTCTTTTGGAAAGGAAGACCTAAAATTGCCTTTATTCATAGATAATTGTGCAAAAAATTACAAGGCATCTACAAGAAATCTACTAGAATTTATAAGTGAGTTTTAGCAAAGTCACAAGATATAAGGTCAATATACAAAAATTATATACTATTTTATACCGCCAATGAAAAATTAGAAACTAATTTTTTTTAAATATCATTTACAATTAAAAATATGAAACACTTAGGAACTATATTTTTTCACTGAAAACTACAAAATAGTGCTGAAAGAAATTAAAGAAAACCTTAAATAATGGGCTGGTAAGCCATGACCATGGACTGAAAGACTAAATATTGCTCCAAAGACAATTCTCGAATTGCACTCTACCTACAATGCAATCCTATTAAAAAATCCCAACAGATTATCTTTTAATTGCAGAAATTGCCAAGTATATTCTAAAATGCATATGGAAAATCCACAACCTTTAAACAGTGAAAACAACTTTGAGGGTGAAAGGTTGAAGGATTCTGTTACTTAATTTCACATTTAAGCACTTTGGATAATAATTAAAACTGTGTGGTACGGGCATAAAGAACAGGATATAGAGTCCAGGAATACTCACCCTCTCAATATGTGGTCAATTAATTTTGGCAAAAGTGCCAAGCTAATTTAAATAGGAAAGTATAGTCTTTGCCATAAATGGCACTATAACAATCAGATAATCTTTTGCAAAAATAAAACAAAACCTCTAGTCCCCTCACAGCATCTATAAAAATTAATTCAAAATGAATCACAAGACTTAAAATTAGAACTAAAATACAAAAACTAAAATTAGGAAACATCTACAAGAAAACTGAAGTGTTTAACTCTTGGCTTAGAGATTTCTTGGGAAACACAAAATCTACTACCTAAGGAAGAAAAAATATGCGAATAATTAATCTCATGAAAATTATGATGAAGTTTTTCTTCAAAAGACAGTGTTACCTGAAAATGAAATGACAAAACATAGAAAACAGTTCAGAACACATTATCTGATAATGACATATCCAGAATATATAAGAACTCTTATAATTCAAAAGTAAAAAAATGGGCAAAGAACTTGATCAGAAGATAGATGATGGCAGATTAATACATGAAAAATATCCAAAATTATTAAGGAAATACAAATAAAAAAATAAGATTCCATTTTAGAATAGAAGAATGTCTAAATAAAAAGACTGATAATACCAGCTGCTTATGAGGACACAGAGCACCTCATATTGTTAATAGAAATGAAAAATGATAGTCATTTTGGGGGAAAAAGTTGACAGTTTCTTATAAAGTTAACATATATTTGTCATGACCCAGGAAAACTATTCCTAGAAATGAATGTTTATATCAGCAATATTGATAATTACCCAAACTTGGAAATAACCTGAAACTCTATCATCTAGTGAATAAATATGGCATTCCATACAATGGAAATTATTCAATAAAAATGAACTATTTTTACAGACAGCACGAATGAATTCAAAGGTATTATGCTAGGTGATGGATGTCAGACACAAGAAGTCACATACTGTATTATTCTATTTACATGACATTCTGGAAATGACAAAACTATGGGGTGAGTAGTTGGCAAGGACTGAGCCCATGGGAGGGGGTGGATATATACTGCAAAGACGCATGAGGAAATTTTCTGGATAATGTAAACGTTTCATATTTTAGCTGTGGTGACATCCATTCACAACTCTATACACTTAACACATTTGTGGTAGCAGTCACTAGAGACAACTGCCACATCACGTGGAAGCGCCCACTTCCCTCCTTAAGGAAGCACAGGAGGCCCTAGAGGCACATGGTGGCGGTGAATCCCATAGATGGAGACGCTGGGACTTACACTGTTAGGCCAGGGTTAAATTAAGCACTGTCTTGATTTTATGTATATTGAATTCCTAATAGATTGAAATGTGAATGAGTGAAGTGGAAAAGTGCAGGCAAACTGTGAGAAACTCCCAAGAATGGGTTTTTGCAATGGACACGATTCTAATGTAGACCTAATTGTGCTTTCCCCCCTTCCATTCCCTTGCCCTTGACAAATCTCCTAAGGCTTACCTTGGTAAGATGCAGGTGAGGAAAAAGAACAAGCATCCAGCCTGGAGGCCCTCTACCACAGTAGACAAGGCAAGTTGGACGCCCTGTTTCTTCCATTCCTTTTGCTCTCCTTTTGACGAGTCTAGTTCTGTGCTAGCTGCTTGAGTTCATAAATAAATGCCTGCAAAGTTGGGATGCCAGAGTCCAGCAAACAAAAGAGCAAAGAACATACCCGATAATTTTGGGCAAGAAAACATTTAACAACCTGCCAATCCCATATTGTATTTAACCCTCATAACAAACTGATCAATGCAAATGATCACACAGATTCAAAGTAGGGAGTGTTAACACCTTGCTGGGAGTCAGTCATGAGGTGCAGCACAAGTAAGCCCCCGCCCCTGCGGGGTGCAAGGCCTCCCCCTGGGAGTACCCAGGGCTCTCCGTGAGTGAGTTCAGGCCCCGAGGCCCAGGCCCCGGCCCTTGCATCTCCATGTCTGCTTCCAGTTTTCCCAAGGGCCAGCGCCTCGCCTGGAGGACAGCCCAGTTGGAGTAAATTGCATGAAAGTAACAACCTCCTGCTCTTTTCTTCCCCCAAACCCTTTGCTGGGCCTCACCCTGCAGCCTCCAGAGTCCAACAGCTCGGAGAAACAGGCGGCTCCCAATTTTGCCACCTCTTACCTCCCTGAGAGGCCCCTGAGAACCCCAAAACCCCTCCTGACCGCAAGTGGTCCCTGCCCTGGTCCCTGCACGGACCACCCCGGGGGCCGCGGGCGGTGAGACCCCGACGCGGGCCGGGCCCGCCGCCCGCGGCCGGAAGCGAGAGCCACGCGCCGGAGATACCTGCGCGGCGGCGCAACCGTGGCGGTTGGTGGGGCCCGGGGCTTACCAGTCAGCGCGAGTTCCCAGCCTGGCGGCGGGGCCCAAGCCGAGGGCGCGGCGCCCGGAGCGTCATCCGTCGCTTGGCCCTTGAGCCTGGGTGTGCGGGACTCTCCGCAGCAGGTGGGGGCGCGGCGGGGCCGGACGCGAGGCCCGGGCAGCTCAGCGAGCCGAGGCCGCCCGCGATGTGCTCGACGCCCAGCCTGCCGGCGCCCGGGGCCTCGCTGGCCCTGCGGGTGTCCTTCGTGGACGTGCATCCGGAGGTGATCCCCGTGCAGCTCTGGGGGCTGGTGGGCGAGCGGCGGGAGGAGTACGTGCGGCTGAGCCTGGAGATCCAGGAAGCGGCGGCCACGCGCGGCCCATGGGCGCTGGGCGGCGCCTCGGCCTCGCCCGGCGAGCTGTGCCTGGTGCAGGTGGGGCTCATGTGGCACCGCTGCCGCGTGGTCAGCCGGCAGGCGCAGGAGAGCCGCGTCTTCCTGCTGGACGAGGGCCGCACCATCACGGCCGGCGCCGGCTCCCTGGCGCCCGGGCGCGGCGAGTTCTTCCACCTGCCCTCCGAGGTGCTGGGCTGCGTGCTGGCCGGGCTGGTGCCGGCGGGCGGGGGCGAGCCCCAGCACTGGCCGTCCAGCGCGGTGGACTTCCTCAGCAGCCTGCAGGGCAAGGAGGTGCACGGGCGGGTCCTGGATGTGCTGCTCCTCCATCGCCTGGTCCTCCTGGAGGTGCCCAGCCTGTTCCAGCAGATGCAGGAGCTCGGCCTGGCCCGGCAGGTGCCTGACAGCCTTTTCCGCTCGCTGCTCAAGCGCTCCCTCGAGACCACCACGGCTGGCTTGGGCCCCGGGACTCCGGTGCTCCCGCGAGTCCCGCCCAAGCAAGAGCCGCCGAGCCTGGATTTCTTCTACCCCCAGCTGCAACTAGGCGTGACGGAGCCTGTGGTGGTCACCCAGGTGTGCCACCCGCACCGCATCCATTGCCAGCTCCGCAGCCTCTCGCAGGAGATCCGCCGCCTCTCCGAGAGCATGGCCCAGGTGTACCGGGCTTCCACCAGGACCAGCGATGACAGCTTGGCTGGCGCCACCTGGGAGGAGCGGGAGGAGAGCCCAGACAAGCCGGGCTCTCCGTGTGCATCCTGTGGGTTGGATGGACATTGGTACAGGGCGCTCTTGCTGGAGACTTTTCGGCCCCAGCGCTGTGCCCAGGTGCTGCACGTAGACTACGGAAGGAAGGAGCTAGTGAGTTGCAGTAGCCTGCGCTACCTGCTGCCGGAGTATTTCCGGATGCCGGTGGTCACCTACCCTTGCGCTTTGTATGGACTCTGGGACGGTGGGAGAGGCTGGTCTCGGTCACAGGTCGGTGACCTGAAGGCACTGATACTGGGCCAGGCAGTGAATGCAAAGATTGAATTTTACTGTTCCTTTGAGCATGTGTATTACGTCACTCTGTATGGAGAAGATGGAATTAACCTTAATTGTGTGTTCGGAGTACAGTCCTGTTGCTTGGCTGACCGATTCCTTCAGAGCCAGGGGATAGAGGAAGAGGAAGAGGAGGAAGAACCAGACACTGCTCTTCAGTCTCAGTCTCCTGCTGAAGAAGTGTATGAAGAGATTTCACTCCCAGCCTTAAGATCTATCAGATTAAAGATGAACGCCTTCTATGATGCCCAGGTAGAGTTTGTCAAAAGTCCTTCTGAGTTTTGGATTAGGTTGAGGAAACACAATGGCACTTTCAGCAAGTTGATGAGGAGAATGTGCAGTTTCTATTCCTCTGCCTCTAAGCTGGATGGTGTCGTTTTGAAACCTGAACCTGATGACCTTTGTTGTGTCAAATGGAAAGAAAATGGCTATTTCCGAGCAATAGTCACCCGATTAGATGACAGGAGTGTGGATGTATTCTTGGTCGACCGAGGCAATTCGGAAAATGTGGACTGGTATGATGTGAGGATGCTGCTTCCCCAGTTCAGGCGGCTCCCAATCCTGGCTCTGCGGTGCACCCTCGCTGACATTTGGCCTTTGGGGAAAATTTGGAGCCAGGAGGCAATTACCTTTTTTAAAAAGACTGTGCTCCACAAGGAATTAGTTATCCATGTCCTCGATAAGCAGGATAATCAATTTGTTATTGAGATTCTTGATGAATCAAGAACTGGGGAAGAAAACATTAGCAAGGTCATTGCTCAAGCTGGGTATGCCAAGTATCAGGAATTTGACACAAAGGAAAATGTTCCCCTAATTCCCCACTCCCACTCACCAGGGAGTGCTTCAAATCAGTTTACTTCAGATAATAACAAAGTTGCTTCTGCCAAGAAGGTAGAAGTAGAACAGAAAGTCAAGAGAGAGAATAAAACTACATCTGTTTCAGAAGCTTTGACTGACACAACAGCTGTTACAAATGTTTCAGCTGGACTAGCTATGCAGGAAAAAGAAAAAAGAGCATTGGTGTATTCTCCTCTTGTACAGAATTTCTTAGAAGTGAAGCCAGGCTCTAGCAAAGAAGAGTTAGAAGTTGGAAGTACCGTGGAAGTCAGAGTGTCTTATGTTGAAAGCCCTAGCTGTTTCTGGTGCCAGCTAGCCAAAAATATGCCAGGATTTAGAACTCTGATGTCTAATATTCAGGACTATTGTATGCACACAGCTACCCCTTACCAAGGAACGACCCCTGCTTGTCTGGCAAAGCGGACAGTAAATGAAAAGTGGTCCAGAGCTCTGATTGTTGGGCCACAATCATCAGAGCATGTCCAGGTAACATTTGTAGATTATGGAGACAAAGATAAGGTATCTGTGAAGGATATTTATTCAATCAGTGAAGAGTTTCTCACAGTAAAGGCTCAGGCTTTTAGGTGCAGTCTTTACAATTTAATTCAACCAACTGGTCAGGATCCCTTGGTTTGGGATGAGAAGGCAATAAAAGCTTTTAATGAATTTATAGATAATGCAAAGGGAAGCAATCTACAATTAAAATGCACAATATTTGCTTTGGCTTCAATACATGGTGAAGAATTGTTTAATATTGTGGATTTGCTAACACCCTTTCAGAGTGTGTGCTATTTGCTGGTAGAAAAGAGACTTGCACGACCAGTAAAACTGCAGAAGCCTCTGGAGTCCTCTGTTCAGCTACGTTCTTACTACTATTCTACACATGACATGAAAATTGGAAGTGAAGAATCAGTGTATATAACACACATTGATGACCCTTGGACATTTTATTGCCAACTGGGAAGAAATGCACATATTTTAGGGCAGTTGTCATGCAGCATTGCACAGCTCAGTAAAGTTTTGCTGAATTTACAAAATAGTACTTTGATCCCTGGAAACTTATGTCTTGCCAAGTATACTGATGGCAACTGGTATAGGGGGACAATAATAGAAAAAGAACCAAATAACATCTTCTTTGTTGATTTTGGGAACATTTATGTGGTAACAAATGATGATCTGCTTCCAATCCCTAGTGACGCCTATGATGTCTTACTTTTGCCCATGCAAGCTGTTAAGTGTTCGTTATCTGATATTCCTGATCATATACCAGAAGAAATCACAGCATGGTTTAAGGAGACAGTCTTAGATAAATCATTGAAGGCTTTGGTCGTAGCAAAAGATCCAGATGGGAGACTGATTATAGAACTGTATGATGATAGTGTTCAAATTAATGCTAATATTAATGAGAAGTTAGAGCTACTTGGTTACAAAAGTGAGACAAGAAAAAAAGAGGAAAGTAAAGTTCTCCAGTCTACAACTGACATTCTTGAAATAAAGAGGGAAAACATAAAGTTGTCACCCACAAAGTATTTAAGTAAATCAGTAGGGAACAAATTACACAGTATGGCGGTCTTGGAAGAATTACACAGCCCTAAGATCAGATCAGCATGTAAAGAACTAAAACTTTTACAGAGTTCAACAAAGGCAGACTTACACTCTCAATATAAGGACTCTGTTGAAAATAAAAATAATCAATTGTTTCCATTAGCAGTAAAGAAAGAAGGTTTTGCTGAACTGCCTTTGAAAGCCACAAAATTAGAAGCCACTCTTGCAGAGAGAAAAGTAGGAGACATACATAATACAGATTTGCCTCTAAATTTTTCTAAGTTCCCTCAGAAAACTATAGTTCCCGGCTTTAAAGCAACTGTATATGTTTCTCACATAAATGATCTTTCAGACTTTTATGTTCAACTTACAGAAGATGAAGCTGAAATCAATCATCTTTCAGAGAGATTAAACGATGTTCGAACAAAGCCCGAATATTATACAGGTCCAGCTTTGCAAAAAGGAGATGTAATATGTGCCACTTTTCCAGATGATAATTTGTGGTATCGTGCTGTGATCAAGGAACAACAATCCAATGACCTTCTCTCTGTCCAATTTATAGATTATGGCAATGTTTCCATAATTCATACTAACAAGATAGGTAAGCTTGACCTTATAAATGCACAGTTACCAGGTCTGGCCATTCACTGTTCCTTACGGGGACTTTGGGCTCCTGAGATTTTAAACTCGAAGGAAATAATGCATTACTTTTCCAGAAGGACAGATGAGGCTCAAATAAGATGTGAATTTGTTAAATTTCAAGATAGATGGGAAGTTATTCTTACAGATGAACACGGGGTCATAGCAGAAGATATGATTAACACATATGCTTCCAGTGAAACATCTCAAGTAGGACTTTCTACCCATATAAGTCAAGGTTCCAGTTCAAAACCTGCCAACAAAACAGACCTTGACACGTCAGTATTTCTTCACTGGTATAACCCAAAGATGAAGATGGTCAGAGCTTATGCCACTGTGATAGATGGACCTGAATATTTTTGGTGTCAGTTTGCTGATACTGAGAAACTTCACTATTTAGAAGCACAAGTACAAACTGCTGGAGAACAAGTAACAGATTTGAGAAGTCACATCTCATGTCCTCGCATTGGAGATCCTTGCATAGTGAGGTATCGAGAAGATGGACATTATTATAGGGCACTTATCACCAACATTTGTGAAGACTATCTTGTATCTGTCAGGCTCGTGGACTTTGGAAATGTTGAAGACTGTGTGGACCCAAAAGCACTCTGGAACATTCCTCCTGGACTTTTGGTTGTTCCTATGCAAGCCTTCCCATGTTGCCTCTCAGGATTTAATATTTCAGAAGGTGCATGCCCACAAGAGGGAAATGACTATTTTTATGAAATAGTAACTGAAGATGTGTTGGAGATAACAATACTGGAGGTCAAACGGGATGTTTGTGACATCCCTTTAGCAATTGTTGACTTAAAAAGCAAAGGTGAAAGTATTAATGAGAAAATGAAGAAATATTCTAAGATGGCTAACAGTGGTCTGCTCTATGAAAAAAGCCCCACGCTAATGGGGTCCCCCAGTCATGATGTTGGACTTAAGAAACCAATTACTAAAGCTGGACATGAGAAAACACTCTATGTAGAACCAGAGACAGATGAGCTCTCTGAAAGAATTAGAAAGGATTTAAACATGATTGAAACTAAACTAAGTAAATTGTATGACCCTGATGCTGATAACATTTTTGAAGTTTTTGAAAATCCGTGCATGGATAAAATTGGTACTCAGGTACTGGAAGGTAAAATGGAATGCCAGTTGGTTGATAACACAAAGTTTGACGATGAAAACCTACTTACAGGATTTAACACACGATTGCCGCACATGAGTGAAACAAAGGAGATATTAGAACTTAATTCACTTGAGCTGCCACTTTCTCCTGATGATGAATCAAAAGAATTCTTGGAACTAGAATCCATTGAGTTACAGCATTCTCTAGTCGGTGATGAAGAGAAACAAGAGTTAAGTCTGGTGCCACCTCCTCAAGACTGTGACACAGAAGCAGCACTGCGGCCATTTACAGTGCCGCTTCCACTCAGTTGTGAAGCAGAGAAACAGCCGCAACTCGAATTACCTACAGCCCCGCTGTGTCTAGAAGACAAAGTAAGCTGTCTTTCTTTACAAGTTAATCAGAAAGACCAGGAATCCATGGGAACTGAGGACCCAAGGAAGGCTAGTTGTGTGGAGTGTTTTGATGACCAGCATAGGTTACCATTGCATCTACACGGAAAGAATTGTGATACCAAAATGCATGTTGAAATGAATATATATAAACAAGTATTGACAGATTATAAACCCAGAGATGTCATGTCATCATTGACTTCATTGTTCCCTGAAGAAGAATCCAGAGAGGGGAGGAAAACGGATAATGCTTTACCAGATCGTGTCTCAGGTATGTGAATTTTTTGTAACATGTATTTGATTGGTTGATAATATCATAAAAGTTTCAGGTATACAGCATTATAATCTGACATTTTTATCAACTACATAAAGATTTCTTTCACTTCTATTTGAATTTAACTTAGTAGCTCTCAAAATTACATACTTGTACATCTTAAAGAAGAGACAATATTTATACGAATTTTAAAAATTATGTTTTTGGGGAAAAGATTAATGCCCGGGAAGTTAGTTAGATTTGGATTTTATGAAAGTTATCTTTAATGTGGGGAAATTGAATTGTGAAATCAATGTTAAATAATACTTTATATGCTGGGTGAAATGCTGAATTATTAATTGTGTGTTTAAAAATAGAATGCTTTAAGTCTGCCTCCAGAGAATAATCACATTTAAAATGTGAAGACATCACCTTTAAAATCAAAAAATTATATTTTTTGGTAAGACTAAAAACATGCAGTGTTTCTTTGCTAAGCACTACTATGAAGATGAATTTGTGCTCTAGATCACGTTAACATGTTCAAATTTAACTTATTTGACTCATATATGTATCTTGTAATTCATTTAGAAATGAATTTCACTTCTTCTAAGTTTTTAGAAATACTTTGCCAACAATCAGACGTAGATAACCTAGATTAACCAAAAAAGTTAACAACCATTAACTTTGTTAAAATTTATTTTTATTGCTATTTTCTTGACTACCAAGAAGACAGCCTTCGGGGTGTTTTAAGTATCAGTGTTAGACTTTGAAATGTCCATTTTTATATTGTTAAATTTAAACCATTGTGCAAAAAATAGGAAAAAGTAGAGTATGAAGAATGGAAATTATCTTAACCTAGAACCAAGCAATGACCACTGTTCCCACTGTGGTAGTCTTCCTTCTTGTTAGCTTTCTCCCTTCATATGTACGTCTATTTACGTAGTTTTAAAAACTAAACACAGATTGTACACTCGTACAGTGTTGAACCCTATATTTTGATGCCTTAAATAGACTTTCAAACTGTTTTAATTCTGTGGCATGCCCTAATTTTTAGTCCTCATTGTCACAGTTTAATCAGTAATTGCTTTGTGTTACTAATGTCTGCTCATTTACAATATGATGCTTCCCTCTAGCAGTGGCTGTTGTAACCCTAGACCACACCACAGATGGCAAGAACCAGCTTTGCTAGTAATTTCAATGTTAGAAATCATATTCTCATCCTTAGAAATCATATTATTCCATGGTGACATTTATAGAGGAAAGATGGAATCAAGAAAAATAGAAATATTGTACCAATGTGCTAATTCCATGATATTAATTATATAGAAATATAATAGGGATCTATAGGAATATAGGATTATATAGGAATAGTAAATGTGGATTAGTAAATGCTTTGCTTATCTATATAAGATTAAGGAACTAAGAGGTATGCATTGAGTCTTACTCTTTTAAAGTGACAGCTCAACCAGAGAACATCTACATCTTGAAGGGATTTACTGTTGGATCCAAATGTGTTGTGTGGTCAAGTCTAAGAAATACATGGTCTAAATGTGAGATTTTGGAAATTGCTGAAGAAGGCACAAGGGTAAGTAAAGGTGAAATACTTTATCGGAAAATGTATTTACAGACTGTTAAGGAAATTTTACCAAACATTTATCAGACTGGAAAATGCAGTAGAACAGATGTTTGCTTATTTCCCCCTGGTAATTTGATGCAGTACAAAAAAAAAAATCATTTTAAAAGTCCATATAAAGTTATTCTAGCAAGAAATTATCCTACACCCTTTTATATCCCTTAACAGTGAGATCCTTTCAATCACTATATTTCACACTTCCTACTTATGTCTTATTTGAAACTTTTTATACCTAATACCATTGCTTTAGTTATACCCCTCATTTCACAACCTAATTATTCTAGTAACTTTCTATTTAGTTTAATTCTTCTACTCTTTCTTCAGTTGATTCCCCCCCCCCCCCCCCCCCCACACACACTGCCAATGGGAAGTTTGTCATATACAAATCTGACTACGTCATTCCTGTTTGTAAAACTTCTTGGGAACTTCCAGTTGATTATTTTTCTCCTATTTGAAAACCACCTATATCAAAGTCACCTGCTGTTTTTCTTAAATTGTAGATTCTTGGACTTTGCCCTTGCTGGCTGATTTTGAATTCTGAGAATAGCACCAGTATGGTACTTATAGCTTTAACATTTGAGGACCAGCGGCCTAGAATCGAAAAGTACTAAAGACTGTTACTGTGGCAAAAGAGGTCCCACAAACTGGAGCATCTGTGTACCTCATCAGCCTTAGGGCTTACTCTTTATGTTTTTTAAATTTATATTACATGGGCATCAAACTGTTTGATTTCTCTCAGACATACTATTCTGCTTAGGTTTTTTGATATGTTTAAGAATGCAGTTCAATTTGCCTGATTGCCAGAATCCATCCCTTTCCCAAACTGATTAATTTCCACTTATCTTTAAAAGGTTGCTTTAGCCATTGCCTCTTCCAGGAAACATTCACAATGTTATTTTTCAAATCTCTCTATTTTCTTACCTCCTGCCCCCCAAAATAAATTTTATACCTGTATAATATTCCTCTACACCCTACAGCAGAAATCTGTACTCGTTGGATTTTATCTGTCTAGAGTTCTGTTTCTATACTAAATTTTAAACTTTTTGACATCTAAATTTTGTCCATTTGATCTCTAAGAATAGATATTCAATATATGTTTTTAGAACTGAAGCATTATTGAGTTGGTACCAGATTGAAGTTTAATAAAATCATTTATATTGATTTTTAAGTATTTAATTTTAAAAGTATTGTCATGGTACATAAACTACAGTTTTTGGAAATGGACAGATTTTTATCAAATCTTCTGTATTCTCTTCTAGGTTTTGAACCTTTCGGATGGTATGGAGGAGATAGTGAAACCTGAGAATGTCTGGAATGGCATACCCAAATTAGATAAGAGTCCATCTGAGGTATAGAATTATACAAATTGTAATTAATGAGATCATTGTCCTTCATTTTGAAAAGTAGCTTAAACTATTTTCAAAGCCCTTGTCTTTTAAGATAATGTAGAAAAATAGTAATACTGTAACAACAGCAACGAAAACTAACAAAATCAGCGTTTCTGGCCTTTTTGCCAAGTATCCCTTTGCATGAAATCTACTTATTAATGTGTTACTAAATGATTTTCATTCTGCAATTTAAAATTGAAAGTTGCTTCATATTCATGACCTTCATAATATAAATAACTGATGCAGAAAATGTGGGGAACCACTATTGAAAGCTGTATGGAGGATCCTCAAGCTACTAATAGTGGAGCTACTATATGACCCAGCAATTCCGCTCTTATGAATAAACACAAAGTTCACAAAAACGCCAATTCACAAGGAAACCTTCAATCCTATGTTTATTGCAGCGCTATTAACAATAGCTAAGATATGGAAACAATGAAAATGCCCCAAAACAGACTAGATAAAGAAGATATGATACATATGCACAATGGAATATTAGTAAGCAATCAAAAAAAGATAAACTCATGTTATTTGCAGCAACCTGAATAGAGCTAGAAGGGATTACATTCAGTGAAATAAGTTAGCAGGAAAAATAAAAATATTGCATGGTTTCACTTATTGTGTTGTAAGACTTTGGATCCTATTAAAGTCTTCTGAAAAATATTAAAGTTTTTGTTATTTAGCAGGTGATCAAACTCATCAGGTTTATACCAAAAATTCTCTCTCTGCTCCTGTGATTGGTGGTTCCAGTGTCAGTTTAGTTTTCAAAGCTTTTGCTGGGTCGTTTAGATGTGTCCAAGACAGAAGTCACTCAGGAGTTGATCTGTGACTTAAGCAGTGGTCTGGACATAGTGGACATTAAAGACTTTGCTATGCTTACTTAGTAGTTCTATTCTTCATATACATAGTTCAGGGGTGACCTTGGGGTTTATATCAGTTCACCTACAGTATTTGGGGCTCAAATTTTCTAATTCCTTTTTTTGCTGAGATTTCCTCCACACTTTCTGGCTCCCAGGATCCTCTTTTATATAGCCTGGAGTGGCCCCTTTTTCTGACTCTCTCATCAGAAAGAATGGTCTCCCTGGTTTCCTTCTGTGTGTTGCTGTAGTTCTGCTTGATTGAGCTGCTTTGGAGAGAAGCAGATACAGAAAAGAGAGGAAAACATAACCTTTCCTCCCGCCCACACTCTTTAGATAACAAAGCATCTTTGTCCTGGTTCCATTGCTCAGTTTTTTTATTAACTCGTTTCTCCTGGTGTTGGACATGTGGTCATTTGATATTTTTGCAATGAAAAAATCATTGGCCATCTTTCTTCATCTTTTATTAATTCCATTTGTGTTTACTTATCAGAAATAACAACCTGCTTTCCTTACATTGGCTCAATTGTCTACTTAAACTTTCTTTTACATTCTGATCACTTCCATCCATTAATTTTCAAAAATCTGCAGCCAAACGCGTAGATACAAACATGATTCAATTTGAATAAACCACCCTTTGCCCAAATAGAGGAGAACCATTTCAGGCAATTTAAAATGAACATAAAACAATATAGACACAGCTACATCTGGCTTTAACTAAGCAAGTTAGCAAACATACAGAAATCTGCATACAAGAGAGACTTTATATTTTTTATTTGGTTAATAATGAATTTAAAATTATTCTTTCTTCAAAGTTGAAGAAATTCTTAGATTTATGGATGCTTATCTACAAATGAGCTGGTTTTCTTTTAACAGCAAATGTTATGAGATGTTAAATTATGCAGGACTATTTTTTGTGATATATCAAGTCACTAAGATCCAGGTACTTTTCTGATTACAGTTTTTAGAATCTGATCAATTTCTCTTCTCCAAATGAATTATGTCTCAAGCATTAATTTCTATATAAATATGGGGCATACAAATACCACTATTATTTATTGGAAGAAATATAGGAGGAATGTATTTCTTCATTAAGTCTTTAGAAAATCATTATAGGTTACCACCAGTAATTTGTTTGAATAGCAGCCCCTTGAAGAATGCACCAGATATCAGGTTTGTTAAATTTAGGGATTAAATATTGCAAAGTGGTACTTTACTCCTAGTGTGGTGCTCCACTGGAGATATTCCAGAGAAGTATTTGAAAAATAAAAATTGCTCTTAGGGCAATTCTTCATGATGAAATCCAGACTGACAACTTTTAAAAGCATCATTTTTGGTGGTTTCCCTTTTTTCCTGTTTTTATTTCTGGTCACCTCTCTGATTTTAACTATTTTGTGCCTATGACAGAAAATTGGTAATAACCCAAAGATTCCTGTTGTTACTGTTAGGCTATATTCCAAACAATGGAGAAAGATCTTTACTTCATGTCATCAGATGATACTGCAATTAAAGGTATTGTATTTTTAAAACAAAATATTTTTATCACCCAGATTGCCAAATCTTAAAGATACTGTGACCCTGAATCCCCACATAAAAATGCTCTATCAATTTTCGTATGTATTAGTAATAGAAATAAATAAAACACATTAGCTGAAAATATTAAGTATGCTTATGAGGATAAAAAGCTAAGAAGAGAATTTGTTGCTATATTATAGGAAATAATTTTTTGTTTTAATCTTAAAAATTGAATTGTGAATCTGATAAATTCATATTTTAAAAGATTTTTCTCAGTGTTAATTAGTTCTACATTTTCAAATAATCTTTGTGTTAAATAATCTCTTTAAATTTCTTCCTAGATTTTTAGCTTTTTTACATGAAAAAGATTCATTTTGTTGGATATTCCTTGTTATTGTGATCTCATTGATTTTTAGACTTGAGGCACATTGCAAATGAAACCAATTCTTGGTAGCCGGTTTTATAATATTTTAGATAATCTTGTTTGATAGTAGATGTAGTATGAAAATCAAAATACTAACATAGAAAAAAAAATTTCTATAGGAATAACTCTCATCTGCCTCCAGTTCCCATTTTTAGAAGACATTAAATTTGTCATGAAAGCATTCATATAAATAATTTTCTTGTTTTTGTTTCCTAACTTGGGGCTTGTTTCAGAAAAGGAGTCTGAAGTTGATACAGCTATACCCGTGGATCCAGAGGTGACCAGTCAGTTGGGAGCTGCTCTTAAGCAAGTAGCATCTTACCCAGACCAAGAGAGTGAGAAAATTGAGAACATATAACCTCAAGAAGTTATGAATTTTGAAAAATTTGATGTGTCAAAACCCAAATCTCAGTTTGATGATGCAGTGTCTTTATAGTAGCATTGCTACATAGGCTTGAATCTGGCATCTTTCCCTGGCTTTATTAAATGTGTTATTTTTCTAATCAGTTGGGAGGATTTATTTTGCTAAACAATCTGCTACCATTACATTTCAAAAAAAGCTATTTTGGTTTCTTTTGGATATAGTGTTTTTAAGTTAAAATAGAAAATTATAGGCTTAGGGTAAGTATATCATATGATGCTACTTGTAGCAATAACTTCTGCAGGATTTTTTTTTCTTTCTGTGGCTTTGCCTTATGTATGTAGTTAACCATTTGACGAAATGTTCTGTTTGAATTTGAATGTATTCTACTATGACAACATTTGAATAAAAGTTTGTCTTGAAAGGCATGGTGATCCAATTTCATTAAAAAGAAAAATAAAATTCTGTTCTTCTGGAACATCAATAGTAATGGAACCACAACTCTATAATTGGGGGAATGAAGTAATGGTTAAGTGGTGACTTTTAATTATTCCTCAGCTAGTACTTTAAATATATTTTCTCATTCAATCCTTGACCTTTAAGTATTAATATCCATATTTATAGGTGAGAAAATGGAAGCTTTTTACAGAAGTTAAAAAACTTACCTATGGTCAAGGAACCAGTCTCGGAGTTTCAGTAGCTTGATCAAACCCAGACCCATCTAACTTCAAAACCCATTCTTTTAAACATTGTTTTGAATGGATGTGGTAGGGAAAGTCCTATCTTTAGGACACAGATCTTAGCTATATGCTGCTTGCAAGATACCAAACCTGGACAAGTTCTGTAATATCTTTGAATCTTGATTTTCCTCATCTGCAAAATGAAGATAACTCCTTTCTTGCAATGATTTTAAGATTACAAATAATTTATGTAATGTGACTGAAAAGCAGTATTTAATAAAAAAAGTTCTTGCTTTCCCTTAAAGATACTAATGTGTACGATGCTAGGTAATTGTTATTTAAAAAATCCTTAGCCCATTGGATCCTTTTCTCCTTTTGGCATTGAGATATCAAGAATGGGAATATTTATCCAGTTCTAAAGTGAGGAAGGGTAAGTTTACTGTGTGGAAGTGGGGGGAAGTTGTATGTACGTGAAACATTATCACACCCGGAATGAGGCCTGGTGAGAATCAAGAACCTTAAAAGGTGGGTGGGCTTTCAGTGAACTGAGGTAGATGAGTATCGTTTCTGTGTTCCTCTTCCTCTGATAATGAACAAGTTTGGCTCACTCATGCAGGAGATATTGTTGTGATTACTGGGAGTAAAGGTCAGAGAAGATGTAGTAAAGCCAGATTACAGAAAGTCTTCGGTTTCATGCTAAGGAGTTTAACTCCCTATTTTCAAACTTTTATTCTGAACAGCTATAGGATAGGAGAAGTCAAATTTCTCTAAAGGAAAGGGTTTTTGTTTGTTTTTTTACCTTAAAGCACTAAGATGGGCCTGAGGTGCCAAATCCAAACATGTAGTAGTTACTTATTAACTGTTAATCATTAAGGAGATTTGCTGACTAAGTACTATTTTTCCTGTTTAAACTGGCTTAATTCAACTTAGTTATGGAGAATGCATGGGAACAAAACCGTAACTTAGACCAAAAAATATATACTTAATGTACAAAACATATACTTTATCCCTTAAGAATCAAAAAATACTTTCAATGACACCCACATGTATGAATGCCTACATTTTTAAGCTATCAAGTCCATTTGTTTGATTTTCTACTCCCATTCATACATTAGAATCATTCCATAAATAAAACTGATAGGCAAATGAAGTGGTTAAGTGTAATTCTGAATGTTTCCATTGTTATAATTCACAGCCTTGGGTGAACCACTCATTTATTGTGTTTAACTGGGATCCCTCACCTGGCTTATGTAGCAGCACCACTAATGAAGCCTTTCTTTAATAAGCAGAATGCATCAGAGATGAGGCATCAAAAGAAAATGCAAACTCAAGTCCAACTTCCTTTAACATGTTGCTTGTGCCTTGTCTCCAATATTCTCACCCTTGTCTGCTCCCCATTTAATTACCGTATTGAAGCTGTATCTATAATTTTGTGGTAAAGCAACTGCTTTATTTTCGGCTTGAGATAATTTTTTTTACCAACACCAAAAGTCAAAAGGAAGGGGTGCCATATTCTAACTAGACTATTATATCACTGAAACTCAATTCTATTGCTCATAATAAAGAAAATAAAGGCAAGAAAAAAATTTTATTATACTTTTAGGATGTGTTATTGCAACATGTTTTCATTGCCATTATACCTAATGTAACATATTTGTCCACTGGGTAATGAAAACACAACTTTTAATATTGATACTGAAAGAGAATCATTGTACTATTAATGTTTAGGCTAGCATGATTTTTGTACACAGAATCCTTTCTTTACATTTAAAAGGGAAAATATTAGTCTAAGTTTCAGTGTTATTGTACAGCCAACATTTTTTAACATGAGTTTTTTCTTTTCAGAAAATACATCAAAATCACACACATTCTTTTAGACAGTTTTAGAATGATTTTTTTTTTTTTAAAAGCTCTTGTATCTATATGCTATTTATTCCAGGAGCATTTGGTAGACTGGCATTTTGGTTGGTTGTGTCAATGTTGGTGTCTGGAATAAGATGGTCATCTTTCCCTTCAATCAAGGCATCCCACTGGTCAAAATCTTTCTGAAGTCCTGTGAAATACAAACATTAATAAATATATTAAGCTTTTGAAAGATAAACATGTTGCTATTTGAGGCAACATGGATGGAGCTGGAAAGGGATTATGTTAAGCGAAATAAAGCAGAAGGAAAAAAGATAAAGGTCGGATGATTTCACTTAATATGTGGAATATAGAGAAACCATAGATAGGGTCAGGAAAAAGGCAAAGCTTGCAAGTTGACCATAGATCTGAGGTACACAGCAGGGGAGGAGGAGGGAGAGGGGTCAAAAGAGGAAATGGTGAGGAGCTATGGGGACTATGTGGAGGGAAAAAATTGAATACTGTCCAAAAATAAACAATGGTATAAGAAAATAAGTAAAGTTAATTTAATTAAAAGAATAAATAAATATATTAAGCTTTTGCGTGCATTAAACAATTCTGTTCCTCTAGATGGCACCATAGCATCATGAATTACAGAAACCTCATCCCTGATGATGGAGCCACAGTAGCCTCTGAGCAGCCTAATGGCCACTGCAGCGGCTTCATGTGAATGAAAGATGGGATTGAGACACTGTGCTGTCAGTGCCCTCAGCATGGAAATTCACCCTGGTCTTTACAGCAAGAATAGATTTACAGGCAGACTTGCTCTCTAAGATACACAGTATACAATACAGCAAAATTAAATTTCTCACCTTTTTGTCACCAAACTGAGTTACCGCTATGTTAAATCGTAAGCCAATTTGGAGACAGTTCAAATAGGACTAATGCTATGTTAAGATAGACAGTTTTGGGGCCTCCCCCGTGGCGCAGCGGTTGAGCGCTGGGTTGTGAAGCTGCCCGCAGCCTCTGCAGCGCCGGCTCAATCTCCAGCCACTGGGTGAGGGTCCCACATGGAGGCACGCGCAGACCTCTCCTGCCACCTCCCTCCCTGCGTGCCCCCCACCCCTCAGCAGTGTACTTCGTCAGTCTGCCTGCTCTGCTCCCTGCTCTGGCTCTGGTGAATTCTCTCACCCTGCCGCGCTTCTGACTGTACCGAGTGTTTGTATAAATAAATAAAATCTTTAAAAAAAAATAGATCTTAAAAAAAAGTTTTGGCCTAAGAATCATTTGTTTTATGCCATGAAAAAAATATTAGCTTCTTACCTAAATGCTTTTGTAAAAATGCTAATGAAGCTTTGTTGGTAAGATCCATAGCTACATTTGAATCTATTTCTCCTTTCAATGTGAACATGCATCCAATAATTTTGCCAGTTGTAAAAGTGAAGTCAGCAAAATTCTGATGGACTGAACCCCTGAAAAAGAAATAAGACATTTACACATCACATTGATAAAATTATTTTTGTAGTTAGGGTGCAGGAAAGATGCTGACCTGGTTGGCCTGTTTACCAAACACCAAGTATGCAAAACTTAAAGATTTGATCTCCTTAGATGTAGTTGAAAGTCACAGGCTGTATTTATTCAGGGATGTTACAGTAGATGTTCATCTTTCCCTATAGATAAACAATTCAAAGATTTCTGTCTTACTTGGCATTACTTTAGAAGAAATGAGTCCAGTTTTAGTGAACTAGAATACTTGCCAGTTGAGGGGATGCGTTCTATGTTAAGGGGACCCGATGGAGGCAGAGGCCCGCTGTCCCGCCACGGCCACTTAACTTGGGACCTATCTGGGGCTAGTCAGAACACTTTGCATTTGAGTCTTGAAATAAAAAGTTTTTTAAAGAAGACGTCTCTTTGGCCTTCCCTGGTGGCGCAGCGATTGAGCACTGGGCTGCGAAGCTGCCTGCAGTCTCTGTAGCGCCGGTTCAATCCCCGGCCACCGGCGAGGATCCCACATGGTGTGACAGACCTCTCCTGCCATACCCGCTGCTTGTCTCAGCAGTGTATTTCATCAGTCTGCCTGTTCTGCTCCCTGCTCTGTCTCTGGTGAATCCTCTCACCCTTCCGCGCATCTGGCCTGTACCCCATTCTTGTATAAATAAATAAAGAAATCTTAAAAATAAAAGACGTCTCTTTGTATTATTTAAACTATAAGCACCATGTTCATTTTCAACTATCTCTGGCACATGTGACCCCTGATTTTCTTGCATTTCTTCCCTCTTTGTTTCTTCAACATTGCAACTTCCCTTCTTTCCCTAACTGCTCTGTTGCTCACTGGCTCTTCACCTACATGTAGGTACTTCAGAAGATTTTAAGTCCAACTCTTCTATCATTTTGTAATTTGACCTACTCCAAAAGCTTCATCTATAATGTCATACAAATTCTACTTTCCCAATTGGTGTCAGACATCACTATCCTGATTTCTCAGTGTCCAGCTATGCAATTGGAAGATCAAAACACACCATCCCAGCTCCAGCTGGTACTGCTATTTCCCTTCACTTTGCTCATAAGCAAACCACCATTCTTCCAGTTATCAAGACTAAAAACAGACCCACCTGGCTTCCTCCCATTCTTCCTCATTTTACCATCAAAACTTGAGCATCTGAAGCACAAAGAAAGTAGCAAGGGTCACAAGAGGGATGAGGGCAGAAGCCTGGATGCCATCAAAAGCTGAGAGTAAGAATGGGAAGTGGGGGAGGAAGGTGCATTTTGAAGAGCAGGTGAAGCATGAGGAGTAGGCTTGTGGTAGCAGGAAGGGAAAAAGGGATAGAAGGTGGACGCAGAGAGGGGATGAGACTGCATTAGTTTTGGGGTCTTGAGGTCCTCAGCAGGGCCAGTTCCAGTATACAGGTGGGGAAGGGGACTCAGGAAGTTACAACTCAGAAGTCAAAGAGTTGATGAAGTAAGGACAATGAAATATTAAATGTAAGTTATTCTTTCAAGGTGTCTAGCAGAAGAGAGAGGAAAAAGTGAGAGTCTAATAAGGAGGCAGAGAGTAGGTGTTCTGTATTATTTCTGTTTTAGAACTCATTTGACTTAAACATACAAATAAACTACTTGTATGTATTAGGCCCTTCCTCATCATCTGTCTGAACTCTCTTGATCCTTGAAGAACCTATTCTACTCCCCAACAGTCATTGCTCACCATTACCTCCCATTCTGATCCCATTGTGTTTATTTTGTATACTATATATGTTTCCTACCTGCCAACTCCTCTTTATAGGCCAGGTTTCGGATAGAAGAGGGGTGAGCTCAATCTTTGCTCTGTAATATCTCATAGTGAGCTCAAAATCCTGTCAGGAGTACTTTTATTCATATTCATGATGTTCAAGGGCACCCCACTACTTTTGGGTATTTATAAATGCATATTCTTTTCAAATAGGTGAAGCCATGGTATATCTCAACAGATGACCTGCCTTTTTTTCTGAAAAGTTCCTAATCTAGCCTAATGATGGAATACTTCTCCCTACCCTAAGCCCCCCCAATGCATGGTTTGCTCTTGCACTTAAATAAAAGGAGCACATATCCTAATGTGAATTCTGTCTGCATATGAGATACATATACTAACACTACTCAAAACATCAGTGCTTGAAAAAGAATTAAGCCTAAATGCAGCTAGAAACATGGAGCTGATCTAATATTCTCCCTTATTGAAAGTCTAAATGACAAATTTGAGAATTCTGTGATGGCTACTAAGTGACAACTGCTGATGTTTATCCAAATTTGAAGTTTCTGTTTCAGATGGCGAAGCAAATCACTTGCTAATACATACTTGATTGTAATCATTTTTCTCTCTCTATCAGGTAAGTAGCATTTTTTCATTTTTTCAATATTCTCATGGTATTGGAACTGTTCAGAGTTGATGAAAAAAAGAGGCTGAGGAATTCTAGAATATACTTCATCACCCAGTGGGAACATCCACGCATCCAGGGCAATACCGCATCTATGGTACAATGAGAAAAAAAGGCTGTTTATACACTGGCTGACAGATAGGAATTTATAAAAATGCAAAAAAGATTAATGCACATATACCAAGTCAGTTTATTATGGGTTATAATAAGTCCATAATAATTATTTATAAAATATAATAATTTTCCTAAGGAGGCATTGGGAATACTTGAACTTTAAAATTTTATTACTGGGCCTCCCTGGTGGTGGAAGGGACTAAGCACCGCACGATGAAGCTATCTGCAGCCACTGCAGCACGAGTTTGATCCCCAGCAAGCCAGGGAGCTATCCATATGGTGCAGCAAACCTCTCCTGTCTTGCCCGCTGTTCCCCTCAGCAGTGTATTTCAGTAGATCTGCCTGTTCTGTTCTCTACTCTGTCTCTGGTGGGTCCTCTCACCCCCCACAGCTCTGGCTGGTACCCCAGTTCTTGTATGCATAAATAAATCTTTAAAAAAATAAAATAAAATTTTATTACACATTTTGTTATATTATTTTCAAAATAAATTTTAAAATAATTTCTTCAAAATTGTGCAGTATCTGAAAAGACATAATAAATGTACTATTTCCAAGGAAATGTACTATGTCCAAAAGTATTTCACACTGTTCGGACACACTGTAGCATATTTATGATATCTTTTTTTTTTTAAAGATTTATTTCTTTATTTATACAAGCACTGGGTACAGTCAGAAGTGCGGGAGGGAAAATTCACCAGAGCCAGAGCGGGGAGCAGAGCAGGCAGAAGGACCGAAGTACACTGCTGAGGGGAGCAGCGGGCACGGCAGGAGAGGTCTGTAGACCTATGTGGGACCCTCGCCGGTGGCCGGGGATCGAACCAGCGCTGCAGAGGCTGTGGCAGCTTCACAGCCCAGCACTCAATCACTGTGCCACCAGGGGAGGCCCTATTCATGATATCTTTTACAGAGTGACCATTGGACTCATTCCTTTACATTTAAAGGGCTCTAGGGGTTGAAGAAAATCATATGGAATTTATCACTTATAAATCTAATTATATATATATATATTATATATACATATGTTCCTTGACTTTTTGAACTGTTTTATGTATTAAATGAATGAAAAAAAAAAAAGAGTATTCCCTTACATTGAAACAGAGCTTATGAACTGCGAGGTGAAGTTTCACAGAAGACTTGGTCCTACCTGATCTCATCACTTTGGCATGAAGTGGTTCAAGAAAGAAAATATGTTTGCAAGTCACAAGGCTTAGAACTCTAGTCTAACTCCTATCCAAGTAACTGCATAATTTTTTATCTCACCCCATCTTAAAGATGGAAGTCCTGCCTCTTGGGAAAATCTAGAAATACTGTAATATTGCAATATTAGTATCATAGTCATTATGCCATAAATACATACATACATTTTATGAATGAAAATGTTAAGCCCTTGAGAAGATAAATAAAAATGATGAAAGAAAATATATAGGGGTTAAAGCAGGAGAAGTAGATGACTTCTGTCTAGGAAAATTATAAAAATAATTTGTATAATTTAGTCACTAATCTCTTAAATAATTAAATAATTTAAAATAATTATAAAAAATAGTCTTAGAGATGCTAAAGTCACCTTTCATCACAAAGAATTAAACTGAAAAAAATCTATTTCATATGAGTTGTCACTCTCCCTCTTTCAATAACTTCTTCTTCTTTCTCTTTGCCGTATTCTCTTACCTGAATCTCTGGTCTTCACTCAGAGCCTGAATAACTGTGGCTCCACCAAAAGAATGTCCAATAATGGCTATTTTATTCCTATCGATGGAGTCCTATGGGAGAAAGCATGATATAAATTCATAACTATCTCATAGGCTGTTAGAAACATAAAATAAATGATTTTGTGAATCAGAATTATTACTCCTTTCCTAGGCACGGTTAAGTTTTAGAGACATTTTAAAAGAAATATGCATATACATATTGTATATATGCACATATATATACATACACAAATGCACACATGCATTGAGCGTTCACTTGAAACATCCACATCATTAGTTGACTTCTGCCTCTCTCCACTCGTATCTCTCCATTTGTTCACTCCATGAGTATTTATTGAGCACCTGCTCTATGGCAGGCTCTGCAGATCATTTTCAATGAGCTCACAGTTTATTAGGAAGGAAAGCATGGATCAAACATGGTGGAGGGGTGCGAGAAGCACATCTGACAGATAACTAACCCAGGCCAGGGGTTGGCACTGGGCTCCAAGGTGGCTGCTTGGAGGACATATGCCTGACTTGGGTAGAAGATTAAGTAGGACCTGGTCAGCAAGAAGGTTGTGCCAGAGCAACATATAAAGGTGTGGAGGCACAAGAGGGAGTGGCTGGTTGAGGAACAACAAACATTTCACTGTGTATGGGAAAAAAAAAAACCACCATCTTAGACTCAAATGAAGTGCTTCTAGTTCTCTCTATTCCCTTTACTCTATCCCTCCACACACACTTCTGAGACCTTGTTCATGGGGTCCACTTGATCTGATATTCTTCTACACCCTCCCAACATTTTGTCCAATACTTTTGACCAACATTTCAAGATCAACCTCAAAATCCCTCAAGAGCCATCCAAGAAATTACAATACTTCCACTGGAGGCATTAAATTGAACCATATTAAATTTCCATTTGATAGATCAAAACTGACTGGGCAACACCAACCTAATCCATGACTCATTATTATAATAATTACTTTTCTATTTCATTGGCAGTCCTTTAACATGTTGTACAAGATAAGCAGAAACACAAACGATAAGGAACTACTAGACAAGCAAAATATGATTTCGTTAGCTCACCTGCAGTTGTTTCACATCAAACTCTAAATCTAAGAGATTCTTCATTGGCTTTCCAGAATCAATGTCAAGAATCAAACTGAGAGCCTGTGAACACTCCTTTGCTCTTTGCCGCACCTAATATGATTATTAGAAGAACAAATGACACAGAAAAATGTTGTAACACTTAAAGTTTGTAAAGAGCTTGCATGTGGGAAAAAATTGTCAATGGCTAGAAATGTTTAAGAGATTAGTGACTAGAACACAAATTATATAAAAAGGGCTCCAAGATGTGGTAGTTAAAGCTTAGTTCAAATCCTGGTTCATTGCTTACCCGCTGTGTGAGCTCAGATGATTTACTTAGCTTTTCTGAGCTTCAATTTGTTGTATAATAATGCCTACCTCAGTGAAATGTGGTTGGGATTAATTGCAATAAATCATGTATAAAGCATCCACTACAAAGCTTGGCACAAAAGAGGAATCCAACATGCTTTATTTCAATTAATCTTCCCAACAGCTCTGTGAGACAAATACTGTTATTACTCATTTTGTAACAGAGAAAGCATAGAAGCAGAGAGAAGAAGTAACTTGTCCAAGATGATCCCACTGCAAAGTAATGGTGCCAGGATTCATATACAGAAAGTTGGATTCTGAGGCCTGCCTGCATTCTTTTTTTTTTTTTTTTAAGATTTATTTATTTATTTATGCATACAAGAGCTGGCGTACAGGCCAGAGTTGTGGGGTGGGGTGAGAGGATTCACCAGAGACAGAGTGGGGAGCAGAACAGGCAGATCTACTGAAATACACCGCTGAGGGGAACAGCGGGCGAGACAGAGAAGGTCTGCTGTACCATGTAGGTTGCTCCCTGGCTGGCTGGCTGGGGATCGAACTTGAGCTGCAGAGGCTGTGGATTGCTTCATAATGCTATGCTTATTAACCCCTTTTGCTACCAGGGAGGCCCAGGATCTGCAGTCTTAATACTCTTCTATACTGTTTCTTAAAGATATTTTCCTCTTATATAGACTTGGAGGGAAGAGAGGGGCCTATGAATTTATTTTGAGATTCTAAAATTAAAAGATCTATGCAAAAAAAGTTGGAATAGTCACTGTTAACTTCCAGGATTTTTGTGTTTCTCTTTGCTTATACAGTAATTCAGACACTACAGTAAGGGACTTCTATTTCTCAGAGAATCTTCTGACAGATCTTTTGGGAATGAGAAACAGGAGAGTCAGGAGCATTGATTGTCACCTGTGAAATTAAATTTGCCAGTCGTTAATTTGCATATGCATTTTAGTCATCAAACTACTCTTACTGCAAGGTACCTGCTCATTTCGTTGAGACTGCTCTTTCTCCCCTCGTTTCACAATTTTAAGATAGAGCCAAGACTTGTTTGCTATTTCTGCAGCAGACTGGTCCTGGAAATAATAAGTTGCAGATGCAGATTCATCTCTACAACACAAACAGAATTAATCACTTGTAATTGCTTTTTCTTTATCTCCCATGGACCTGGTCCATTCTCTTTTTTTATTTTATTTTATATGTATTTTTACATCATTTTTCATTTTTGCACAATGTATGCATTTTCATCTTGGTTATAGTCCCCATACAATTCCCAATCCCCTTATTTTGACCCTACTCCCTCCCCCCATTTAGTGTGTCTCTGGTTTTATAGTTGCTTGTTGATTTTGATTTTTACTTTATTATAATTAGTCTTTTTCCTGATCCCTTGTTCAGGTCTTCTAAATTCCTGCTATGAGTGAGAACATCTGGTATTTTTCTTTTTCTTTCTGGCTTATTTTGCTGAGCACGATCCCTTCCAGCTCCATCCATGTTGCTGCAAATTGCATGAGTTGTCTTTTTTTGATTGCTAAGTAATATTCTATTGTGTATATGTACCACATCTTCTTGATTCAGTCATCTATTTTGGGGCATTTGGGTTGTTTCCAAAGCTTAGCTATTGTAAATAGCTCTGCTATAAACATAGGGGTGCAGGTACCCTTTTGAATTAATGTTTCTGTGTCCTTTGGGTAAATACCTAGGAGTGGAATTGCTGGATCACATGGAAGCTCCATCTTTAGCAGGTTGAGTACTCTCCACACAGCCTTCCATAGTGGTTGGGCTGGTCCATTCTTGATGTAACTTCACTCTTATCTTTGTGACTTCCCTTTCTTCTCCCACGCTATTTTTTTTTTTTTCAAGGTTAAAATGTCTAGCTCCAATTCTGGGAGGGTTTGTTAAAAATTCATTTCTGGAATCAAATCCCAGTTCTGCCACTTATTGTGTGCTTCTGAGCAAATTATCCTTTCTCAGTTTCATTTTCCTCTTAATATCCATCTCAAAGGATTGTTATAAAAACTGCAGAACATGCTATATGAACACATCATGCAATAAATATTCTGGGAAATGTAGAAATATTAGTTTTTTTAAGAATTCTCAATGATCTAATTAATAGTCTCTCTTTTATCTTTTTTTGTTTTTTTTGCTTATTATGAAATCATAGTGGATAATTCTATCAACATTCTTTATAAACCTTTATGAAAGTTAAAGCCCAGTTACATACCAGGTGACATACCTGTGTTCTACAGCAGCAACTATAAAGCCATGAGATGCCAGGTCAATACCAATAGCAGAATAAATTGTCCTTCAAGACAAAAAGATGGAAGCATTCAGCCACCAGCCATGATTACAAGGCTTAACTGACAAGGCAAGGTCCAAAATAAACGTGGGAAAATGGAGGCCTTTCATCCCTGGGTAAAAGTTTTGATTCTCAAAGGGTAAAAACTTTATCCCTCAAGGATATATGACAATGTCTGGAGGCATTTTCATTATCACCACTGGAGGGAGGATGCTACTGGCATCCAGTGGGTAGAGGGATGTTGCCAAACATTCTATAATGTGCAGGACAACCCACTATAACAAAAAGTTATCCAAGTTATTTGGATAACTTCTGCCCCTATGGGCCCTCCCACCATGTTCAAATGAAATCTAGGTCTCCTGTGGGTTGCTCCTAGTGCTGGGACACAGTCCAGGTGCTAATGCAGGTCCATTCTGGGCGAGGCAAAACTCCTTTGATGAATGACTTTGGGTTAAGCACTCCCTCCATCAGCCTGGCCCATTCTTTCTCAGAACTGTGCTGTAGTCTGAGGCTCTTTGTACCTTCTCCCTTTTCCATCTCTTTCCCAATTGCCCAACCTGCATCAGGGTCTGAAGACTGTCCATCTTGTCCTGCTCCATAAATATCTTTCACAGTACATCCAAGCTTGGTTGTCTATTTCTGTGAAGATCTGAACTAACACAGGATGATCTTGAGAGTGCGAATTATATTATATTGTATTGCCTTGTATTATAATATTATAGTATATATTAGATTATATGGACATTTATAATATAGGGCAACCAGAAATGCAATACCCTCCCTCCTCTGTAGGGAGACAGTTTTAAAGAGTTGGAAAGAGGGAATGAAATTGATGAGACTGGGCTAGAACTGATCAATGTCCTTCAAGGGATCAACAAATCTGCTATTCCTTTTTTTTTTTTTTTGGAGGGGAGGGAAATACTTCCATCATTAATCCATAAGGGTTAAAGTCATTTAATCTCTCAAATATTACCTGAATGCTCCAAGGCCATGAGAAAAAATAATAAGTGGGTATTTTTCACCAGCCCTCAGAGGGGAGTTCCAGCTTGCAGGAATTGTCATTGAACCTAGGGAACAATGTGAGATGATAATTTATGTTTTCTCTGATAATTTAAAATAATAAAATTTGACATAATTTTTAAATAATTTCAAATAAAAAGTCCTGACCCTTGGACTTTGTTCTTTATGGACTATGTATTTTAGTAAATTCACTAAAAAGTATATTATTGAGATACCCAGCAGCCAAGGACTTAAATTATGTGTTTTTCATAAAACACCAATGGATCATTATCCATTCCCACTGCCATTTTTCAACTTAAAATTAGACATTTTCCTATTTACAGTTGTATGCAGGAAGGCTGCTTTTATTATTCCAAGGTTTGGGCAAAGCTTCAAGTGGTAAGTTTTGAAACCAAACTACAGCTCAGGAACATTACACTGAGACCCAAAAACTTCAAATTGGAAATTCCTCTCATTCCATCTTGGTCATGATCAGGGAAAGGTAGACAGTCCTTGCCTTCATGCTTAGACATCCCATTGAATATAGCTCTGCTACTTATTAGCACTGATCTTGGACAAGCTAAAAGAATTCTGAGTTTCAGATTCCACTTTTGTAAATAGAGGTAAAGCTACCTACCCGATAGGATTCTTTGAGAATTTTATTTAATTAGGTAAAATGTGTATAACTCCTGTCTAGACACATAACGAAGGGCTCAAAAAAGGAAGATGTTGTGCCTTTCCTTCTCAGCTATTATCTTTATCATTACCATCATCAATAATTTTTGTTCACTTTTCTCATTTATAAAATGGGTCTTTAATCATGAAGAGTGAATGTGATGATTGCTATGGAAGTGATTTAGAAGTTATTCAGCACCACAGAGGTCTATAACTATAGCATTTTCATCCTTTCTATCATAAAGTAGTTTTTAAGAAAACTCCAAGGAGATATTTAAAACAAATGCCAAAAGTTTTAGGTGGTTTTGAGGGGGAAATAGAAGACATCATTCACACTTGTCTAAAAGTAATGTCTGTTCAGAGAGTAAAAAAGGAAAAGTCAGTATTAGAAAAATATACACACATTAAGTGATGAATGCACATCCACCTGTCCTAGTGAGAGAGGCTGGTCTCTGGTGGAGTCTTCTAGCTTCTAAGAAATTAGCTTTCACTCTTTTTTTTCTGGAGAGAAACGGTGGCTTCTACTTTCTGTTTCTTCTTGTCTGGCTATACAAAGCTCTTTAGCACAGAGAAACAGAATGGGTCACCTGAGCCAAGATGCTATGTTCCCCACAGTATGTTAGAAGGGAAACTAAATAGAATGAGGCTAATCTTTCACTTCCTTCACCCAGGAAGCCATGGGACAGTCACTTGGACCCGACCTATCCCATTATACTTAGATTGGACAAAATGAGAACCCTTGATTCTCTGAGAGTTATCTGGGTCTTTAGGACATACTTTGTATTTTATGAGACATTCAGACTGCAGAAACTCTACTTTGGTCTTCTCCATGCCCGAAAGTTGCTGTTTTAAAGAGTTTCTTATATCTTAGAATTTATAAAGCCAAATCAATAGAAATCTTACCAAAGAAAAATTGCAAAATTTTGCCCATGAAATTCTGGGTTCCAAGAAATTTACTAATACCATAAAAATATTCTTTGTTTGGTATCCAAACAGTGTCAGTGTGATCATCACCTTTGGATGGATAATACAACCGCAAGAAGGTACTCTGTAAGGAAAAAAAGTAATGTCCTTTTAGTTCGGTTTATTTCACATCCCAAGTTATTTTGCATATGGGGGGGATCCAAATACCTCTGTTGCTCAGGAAAGGTCCAGAGAAATTCTTAAGCTGTCATAGTGATTGAATACAGTTGAAGAGGAAGAGAAATAAAACAATAATATGATTTCTCAGTGAAAAGAAAGGTGAGCAGCCTGGTTTTAGCCACTAAGGAAAGGATAAATGTGGTTTATAGAGAAATTAGTCAGATGACAGCAATGAACTAGGGGAATGACATGTAACTAGCCAAAGGTTTCCTATGAAAGAAATGGCACAATGAGTCACTCTCGGGTGAGGACAAGGTCAAGTTTCAAAACATTCTAGTAGTGTCATAGCAGTAGTAACTATTAGAAAATAAATGTAAGTTGTATTAAAATATTACCTTTTTAGTGTAGTCAAACATCAAGTCTGTGCAACCAACAGGATAGGATCCATTCCCTCTGGGGATTTTAGTTTGGCCAGAGTTTGCAGTAGCCATCAGAGCCTGTATTTTACTTAACCATGCTGAAACATAGGTAAATATTATCTCATTTGTCATCCATTACCCCCCAGGCTTGATCATGCAAAAGAATTTCCAGGGAATCAAGTCACTCCCCATAGTTTCTGGCCGCCTTCATTGCTTTACCTTACTGGTCGAATAATTATGGAGGTTCTACTGTATGCAAACTACAATGTGGGGATAAAGATCCTCTGCTCCCAAGACACTTAGATACTGACAGTTACTGAAGCCTTGACCTTATTTTCTACTCCTATCTAGAGCATATTTAAGACCATTTCCCAAATCTGGTTTTTCTTAAGCATAAACTTTATCTCACATTTCCCACTGGGTATCTCCACCGATGTCCTTCCCATTGGACCATCAAAGTCCGAACTGAAACAAAATGGACATCTTCCAATTCCTCTTTCTGCTTCAGCCACACAGCCTGCAACTCTCGAGTCCCCTGTCTCAGGTATTCCAAGTCTGAAACTTGGCAGGCATCCTCTCCTACCTCTTTCTCATCAACCCTCTACTTCCAATCAAGTTTTAATTTTTAATATTTGCTTTTCTTAGAATTTTCTCTCCAGTACATCTCTAATCCTCTAGCTCAACTGCCTCATTTCCACTTGTACCATGGCTCTAGCAGGAAGTTGCCATCTCTCCTGACTATCTTAATCCTTGAAACTTAGCCCCTTCAATGCATCCTTCACACGACTCCTAAAGTGATTTAAAACACAATCTCACCAGGTGACTCTTCTTAAAGTCCTTCAATGGCTTTCTGTCACCAGATGGTGTTTCTTGAAGAGGGAATGTATTGGAGTCTTTTTCAAAGGAGTCTGCAGGAGGTTGTAGGGGCAGGACAGGGGTGGAGCAGGATCTTTATGACCCGAGCAGAAGGGGTAAGAACCTGGAGCCGTTGGTGGATTTTTCAGGCTTCTGCTGGGATTTACCAGGTACACAGCAGGCAGGGGTACTGGGGAGCCAGGAGGCAAGCAGGCCTCCCAGCCCCCGGCAAATCTTCACTCCTCCTGGGCTCTCCGGCATTCTCTCTCTTCTTCTGGCTCTGCTGTTTCGCTCTGCTGGCATCCCCGTGATGCCACCCTTATAAGCCCAGTCTTAGCCCAGGTGTATCCCATCTACATGTGCCCACACCCTATTCCAGGTGCCCGCCATCAGGCATGCATTCAGGATTGCAGATCCGTCATCAATCCTAATGGCGGGAGGGCAGAAAAGCCTGATACCTTTTACCTTACCCTACAGAGGAACTGAAATTTACACATGCCTCCCTAAGCTACACCCGTCACCACATGAGGCACAAATGTGGTCTGTCTTTGCAGTGTTCTAGGGTTAAAATGCATAAGGGTTCACAGGCTCACAAGTTACATCCCAAGTTTCTGGGCATAGTTGGAAAAATCCTCCATAATGTGGTGGTCCACTGTCTGGTAATTTCCTGCTTTCTCCTTTCCACGAGCTCCGGCATTTCCAGGCTACTCATTGGGCTGTCTGATGCCTCTGCACCTTTGTAAATACTACTCTATGGGTTTGACATCCCTGTAGTAAACTTTTATTCAAACTTTAACATCTCGATCAGATGTCAAGTCTTCTCTGCAGCCTTTCCTGATCCCTCACTGTAGGGTAAAGAAAATGTCAGGCTTTTCTGCCCTCCCGCCATCAGGATAGATGATGGATCCTTGCGTTCCTGAATGCATGCCTGATGGCGGGCACCTGGAATAGGGTGTGGGCATAGGTAGATGGGATTCAGCTGAGCTAAGACTGTGCTTTCCAAGAGCAGTGTCACGGGGACGCCAGCAGAAGCTGAGAAAGCAGCAGCAGAAGCCAAAAGAGAAGCCGAGAAAGAACAAACGGAAGCCGAGAGAGAGAGAGAGAAGGCCGGAGAGCCCAGAGAGAGTGAAGACTTGCTGGAGGCTGGGAGGCCTGCCAGCCTCCCGGCCCCCCAGCACCCCTGCCTGCCATATGCCTGGTGAGTCCCAATAAAAACCTGCAAAACCCCTGATGGCTCCAGAACTCCTCCTTTACTGGTCTGCATGGGATCAGAAAACCTGCTCAGTGGTCAGTCCTGACTCTTACACTCACCTTCATAATTTTATCCTCAGTATTAAATCAATTTCATGTATGTGTGTGTGTGTGTTTGTGTGTATGCATGTGCAATGCCCCCTAGCCTATTATATTACATGTTTGCACACTGTCTCTCACAGTAGGCTGTTTTTCCAGAGCAATAGCTTTAGGTTTTAACACAATGGTTGGCACACAGTTAATGTTCCATAAATATTTGTGAAATTGAACTAAGCTTTTTGCTGCTACTGGTCTCTCTGTTGTTAGATACTTCAGGGCATGCATTCTTCTATTCACTGGTTCTTAAACATTTCCTTGAGTGGCCAAACCCTTCAACACAACTGCCTATTCACCTACTCACCTCCCTTCTGTGCCCCAAATAAGTTTATATTTAATTTCAAGGTGATGAGTCCAAATACAGTGTACACAGACTCCCAGCATTTTGGATTCAGCTTGTCCACACCTTCCTTCTACTGGACTATGAGACTGAGCCCCTGCTGAATCCTTCATGTTTTCTATCACACTCTGCCTGTCACACACCTAAAACTAGGTTAGGTATGGTGCACACATGGATATGTGGGGCATCACCCAGAAAGGTTTTGAGTCATGAGAAGCCCATTTACATCCTCTAAACGGTGCTTCAGCACCTGTCAATGATGCGCCTTTCCACACCGAAGGCCCTGCTACTCCGGGACCATGTCTCACCAAGAACAGGCACTACTGGCATCACCTGGAGCTTGGAAAGCAGGTTCTGGGGTCTCACCCCAATTCTACTGAATCATAAAAGGTGTTCCTCCTAAATTTGGTACCTGGGCTAGGGAACCAGACTACCTGGCTGTACACAAGGGACAGAAATTCATCGTCAAATGGTAGAAAACAGTTCCACGGAAGGCAGAGAGTGAAATCAACAAACCTTGGTAATTGGAGACAGGTAACCCTACTTTAGATTCGAGCTGTACCTCTTACAAGCTGTGATGCTCTGGTCTAGGTAATTTACTCATCTGATCTTCATTGTTAAAGTGGGAATAAAAGCAACTGACCAGCCTGCAGAACAGTCAGTCACAGCATGAAGTGAGAATATAAGTCAAGTACCTAGCATAGAATAGGCAGACAAATGATATTATTTGTCCCCTAACTCAAATTAACTCTGGCTATGTAAATTCAAGTTCTTAGAGGAGTTGTAGTAGATCTAAACTAGACCATACCATTCCTTTCAGGCAGATGCAAAATTCGAGGTATTTTCCTAGAGATTAAAAAAATACTCAACCTTACTGGTAAGGCTAACATTTTAGTATCTACTTAAAATTATAAAATGGTCTTCCTCTCCCATTTAAGACTGTCTACTGAGCTATGCTTCACATTGTATGTAACAGGGAGATGTTGGATAGGTCACACCTGCCTTTCCATCTGTGACCAGCAGCCTGTGTTCTGCTGTGCTCCTGACCACAGGCAGGCATGGTGTAACTATATGGAGTGATGGAGGTTGGCTCTGGCTCACACAGTTCACTTAGGAGCTCCAGAAAACACACAGCTGCTTTGGGGTATTACCTCTGCAATTGGAAGTTCTGCTCTAGAGCTGCGGTGAGGTTCCAAGTCACATAGGCTCCTCCTATGAGATAGCAATTCCACCAAGGCTCAGGGAACCTTTCTCAATAGCCTGGGGGTGCCCTGGTTCTCTAAATCCTGCTCTCCTCACTCAGCATTCAGGAGCCACAGGTCAGGGTGAGGCCATAGGTTTGCCTATTCCAGGACACCTGACCACTGAGGAGGTCTCAGGAAACTTCGAGCTGATCCAAGCTTCGGCTATAGGTCTACGGGGCCCTGTGACTAGTGGTTGCCAGAGTGGCTGCAGAAGAGTCCCCAGCCTGCAGCAAGTCTGATTTTCCATTCCTGAACATCTGTCCGGACTCACCATGAAGGAGGAAGCAGGGAAAGAACACTTTTTAGGTGATACGGTTTTGTGGGTCAGAACAAGTCACTTCCTATTTTTTCTTCAACTTTATTTTAGGAAATGCGTTAGAATCTACATCATGCTATTAATCTCATTATAACTTTTTGGGTTTGGAGATGGAGTGCATACTTGCTGGGAAGATGACATTCTCTATATGGCTTTATGTCTTCCATTAGCGAATAGGATATCTTTGGTCCATAGTTATTAATCTTAATCTGCAAAACCATATTTTCTATGTATTCATTTAGAAGAATACATATATACATATATAGATAACACACTGTATTATAAATAATCATTTAGCATTTTAATATTTCACACATTATTAACATTTAATATTTTAAAATATTTATTTATTTCTGATCCTTTAGAATGAGTGGGGCATTGAGCTCAGTACTGGGACTACGGGTCAACAAAGCAGTGTCTCTGTCCTCAGGTTTCTGTCAGGTCAGTGACAGTCTCCCAGTAATTTTCAAACATGAAGGGCAATAAAACATGTTTTGAAATGTCTACTCTGTACCAATAAAAAGTGCATGATGTAAAATGTCTTCTAGATGATAATTTTTTTCATCATGTAAAATATTACCTGTTTTCAATCCACAGAAAAAGTAATGAAAAGGTTAATTTACTAGACTGTAAGCACCTTGAATTTGAGTTCAAGTTCTTTAGTCATCAGTGTCTCACTGCTGCCTCTGCTTCCTGGACATTCCTAACGAATAGATGTGTGAGGTTATGCCATCTGCTGTGCAAATGCAGATATAAAATACAGTCCCTCTCCTACAGATGCATTCATTTCCCCCTACTACAAAGTAGGGGAAAATGTATCTATAATTGGGTTGTGAAAGGTCCATTGTAAGTACTACAGTAGGAGTCACCCATCCAGCCTGAACAACTAGATCCAAGGAGCCACATCTTTCCAGGTGTGCAGATCAGTGGGTACAGACAGTGAAGACACCATTGAGATGTCACCTACCCTGCTCAGCTGAGGGAATGGGATGGAGAAGTTCATGTATCACAATGCTCTGGAAATAGCAGAAATTCACAACACCGCAGAACTTATCTCTTTGTAATAAATGTCCTTGGGGGCTCTGAATGTACCTTTTCAGAGATGGCTGTCCCCCTCTGGCCACTCCACCTGGGCTTGTCTAAGCTTCCCTCCATGGGCATCTCCTTAATAGCACAAGATTAGAAAGTCACACATGCAACTTTTCTGGGGCCACTTGGGGTAGACAACGAATCAGCTGCTCAAGCCCTTAAACAAAACACCTCTTACCTGACGACTTCAGATGGGCAACAGGATTTAAGTCTTGCTGGTTAAAAGGATGAACCAGTGCAAGGCAGCTGCAGAGGCAGAAAAGTGCATGCAATTTGGGTGGTGCCATCGTGGAAGCTGAGTGGTTTCAGCTTAACTTTCTTCAAAGCAGATTATTAAAGAGAGAAAAAAAAACATGCAATAGAGATTACTTATAGGCTGAAGAATCAGTAAGACTAAGGTACCAGCTACATTATTTTATATATATTAACAGAAGACATTTGGGGGAAAATGGAGCATGCATTTACTGAGTTAGGCTTTTGATATGTGCAGGGCAGCAAGATCCTTAGTTATTCTGGACTGTGTAAAGCACAAAAATAATACTTTCAGGCTATTGCATTAGTTTGTTTTTTTTTTTTTTTTTTGGTCATTAGCTCTCTAACTTTGTAGCAGTGTAGTCTGGTTATGAAAAATAACATCAAAATAGAAGAAACAGTCACACATAATAATCAGAATAAATCATATCTATAGGCATATCTAACACATAGTCATCTCTCAAGTTTTGGCTTGTGATTCCACTATAGTTATAAAATGATCATATTGTTGCAGCTGTGGTTGTTTCAATGTTGATGTATTTTTGATGCTCTCTATAATCTTTCTACACTGAATGCTTCCCAAAGGCAGAGGTCAGGTATTATTTGTCTCTAGTGCCTAACAGAGGGCCTGGCAGATAATTGGTACTCAATTTGTGGGCTCAATGAGTGAATTGAGACTGATGGCAATAATAGAATAGAATAGAATGGGGCTCCATGCTAATATCTCATTAACAAAAAACTCTTTGTGCATCACTTTTCCCCTTTAAAAATTCTCTCCTCAAACTTTTGGGGTGATGGAAATGGAAATGGTCCAAGTCATCAGCACCTCTATCATGAACTTTGGAAATAACCTCTAATCAGCCTTGGCCAACATACCAGCCAAAGTGACTGTGACTCTCCTTCGCTCAAAACTCCCAAATGACTTCCTAGCTTACAGAGAAAAAGTCTTAGGCCTTAAAGTAACCTATAAAGCATTCTACATACTAAGTCTACACTTCTAAGTCTATACAATTTGCAGACAATGGACTCCCAATGCTACCCTAGCACACTCACTGCAACCACACTTGCTTCCTTGCCATTATTCACCAAACATACCAAAAACTCCTCTTGACATCTTTGCATGTGATTCCTCTTCCAGGAAGGTTCTTTGACCTGATATCCAAGAGACTGGCTCCCTGACCCCTCTATTTTTGTTTCCATATTAACTTGTCAGTGAGGCTTTCCTAATCAATTTAAAATTGCAGCCCACCCCCCTCCTCTACACCAATACCAGCCCTATGTTCCCCACTACTATTTTTCTCCTTAATATTTATCACAAACTAACACTCTCTGGAAATTATTTGTTAATTGTTTATCTTCCTCCACTAGAAAGTCAGTTCTGTTTGTATAGGGAATTTGGACAGTTTCCCCCTCCCTATTGTATTCTTAGGACCTAGAACAGCTTGGCATTGTTGAATGAGTAAATTCAGATTCCTAATGGTTTCTAACACACATGGTTACTAACACAAACCAAGCCAAGTTTGATAACCCATGTGAGTGTTGGTGCCCTTGATAAAATGGGGTGCTAATTAGTTGGCAGGGTTATTTTCTAAGAAAATATAATATAGCATAGGCAATTAGTACTCAGGAATGTCTCTATGCTCCCTCACATTTCCTGACCTCCTGTGACTAGACTGGGGCCACGGGACTGATTTTTTATAAATGGACATTTAAATGGATATGGTCTGAGACAGAGTCAGTGTGTCTGCTCCATCCTGTCCTTTCCCTGATGCGCAAATTCATAAGCCACAGGTGGTATTTGAGACAGAGAAGCCTGGACCCCTCTGATAGAGAAGAGCCCCACAAATTTATATAGCCTATCGTTAGCAGCAAATAAACATTTGCTCTGTTAAGTCACTGAAATTTCTGGGTTAAGTTATGGCATCATTGCAACACACAACAGTCTAACACGACTAATACCCGCTCTGCAGTCATTCAATCAGTGGGTGTTTACTAAGCAAGTACTACACACCATCTGGTCTGTCAACAGTTGTAAATATTGGAGAATTTGACATAATCCTTTCAGTAACAGAGTTTACATTGGGTTTGAGACAAGACTAGAACATACGATATAGAAAGAAAGAAAACTGCAAGGGACATTGCAAAATTCTTAAATGATTTGGGTAACAAATTCTTAGGGCAACGAGAATTCAGTGTGAAAGATTTCTGAGAAGACAGGCTATAATGAGAACTGCTCTTACCACAAGAATTCACATCCAAATAGGTCATTGGGGAAATTGTATCTGGTGCTCTAAGCTTCTTGGGTTATTTGGAGGGTGACCAGGTTTCTCTGTGTGTGTGTCTGTGTGTGTATGTATAGTCAGAAAAAAATATGTATAATCTAGGTCTTTAGATTTTTGTAATTTTAGTTGATTTTGGTTTTATTTTAGTATTATTTAAAATTCTATTATAAATTTAATGCATGATTTTAAAAATTCAAATAGGACAGGATAAAGTCAATAAAACTTTGACCTATATCTTCATAGATGATCACTTCTAACATATTTTCCCAGATGTATTTCTATATTTGAATATATGCACACATACACAAACATATCAATGCAAACTACATATATTGTTTTCAAAGTTATTTACAAAACTTCACACGACATATCCCATTTAGGTTTGTAGTTTAATAATAAGTTATAGTGTCTTTTCATATGAGTACACATCACCATATTTTGCCTTTTTCTTTTTAAAATGGCATGTAGCAGTAGCTCAAAAGAACTTTCTTCACTAAATGGATAATATTACTAACAGTGAAAGACTTATTAGGTGCCAAGCATTTTGTAATAGCTTCCAACACATGGTATATTATTCAATCATCATCAAAACAAGGAGGCTTAATGATGCCAATTAAGCCCAAAGAGGGGGGCTTAATGATGCCCATTATGTTGATGTGGAAATGGGACCCTGGGAGTTTAACGGACTTGTCCCAAAGATCCGGCTAGCAAGTGCTTGAGCCCAGAATGGCTGAGTCCTTGCTTGTAACCACAACATACCAACTTTGAGTAGCAGCAGTTTCTGAATGCTATTGCCCTGATACCATGATCTTCTTGAGCTAATGATCAGAACAATATTTTAATGACATGAAGGCATTTAAGAACTGCTTCTGGGGGCCTCCTGGTGGCGCAGGCAGTTGAGAAATGCACTGTGAAGCTGTCCACAGCCTCTGCAGTGTGGGTTCGATCCTGGCCAGCCAGGCAGATACCCACATGGCGTGGCAGACCTCTCCTGTCTCACCCGCTGCTCCCCTTAGCAGTGTATTTCATCAGTCTGCCTGTTCTGTTCCACGATCTGTCTCTGGTGAATCCTCTCACCCTCCCACACATCTGGCCTGTATCCCCGGTTCTTCTTCTTTATTTTTATACAAGAACCGGGGATACAGGCCAGATGCACGGGAGGGTGAGAGGATTCACCAGAGACAGAGCGTGGAACAGAACAGGCAGACTGACGAAATATACTGCTGAGGGGAGCAGCAGGTGCGACAGGAGAGGTCTGCGGCGTCATGTGGGATTCTCGCCGGCCGGCCCGGATTGAACCCACGCTGCAGAGGCTGTGAACAGCTTCACAGTGTGGCACTCAACTGCCTGTGCCGCCAGGAAGGCCCTAAATAAATAAATCTTAAAAAAAAAAAAAAAAACAAAAACAAACTGTTTCTGGGATTGAGAAAAATGACAACTAAAAGTTAGAATTGTTCTGTAGAGATGAGGCTGTCTCCTTATTCTTGCCTTAAAGTAAATTGTAAGACCCTTGGAAACTACAGAGCATGCTATGTTCTCAGAGAAGAAGCTATAGTTTCCCTAATAAGCAAGAGAAGAAGTTGAATGAAGCCAAGCTCTCTGCTCACCAGCTTCCAACCACTACCCTTTGTTGTCTGTCACAACTTGATTTTTCATCAAATAACCTCATTGGCAGAAAGCATCTACAGGGACATGAACAGAGGGCCAGCCTAGTCCTGATTAAGAGGTGCGTCATCCAGTTCATTTGAAGACCACTGGGGATGAAGAGGAGAAAAACAGAAGATAAAGTGAAACACATAAGGAGATCAACAGCAATATTTAGGAGCATGGTCCTGACCAGAAGGTTAGCTTGCCAACACCAACCTGGTATTCACCACATATCCCTGTGAATAACCTCCGGAAGAATTAGAGATGGCCAATTGCTGGCAGGGCATCCCCAAGTTCCCCAAGCAGAACTGGGGTGATAACCCTTTTGCTTGTTACCAGAGCAACACAGGGTCATCACCTTCGATCCACAGTGGAGCAGGCAGGGCAGAATCAAAGCCAGTTTAAATGGCACAAGTGGGTTCCCAACCAAACCTCGTGGAAGCTGCTAAGGGTCTTGGGGAACCTCTGAAGATACTGATTCTTCAGCCCCACCCCAGACCTGCTGACTTAGAATCTTCTGAAGGCAGGTCAGGGCATCTGTATTTGGACTTCCTTGGGATTCTGATACAGCCAATCCCAGAATATAGTGCATGGAAACAGTTGCAATGGAGCAAGATGAGTACTTACTTTCATTTAGAGTTTTTTTGCCATCCTGCAGCTATCGTATGTGCTCTCTGCTCTCACCCACAAATGATATTAAGAATAAAATAATTTAGCATAATTTTCTAAATAATTTAATGACTAGCTAACTCACTCATTCATTTGTTCATATATTCATTTACTCCATTTTAAGAGTATCAGTCACTATGTTCAGAATAAAAGCTATTTTAAATAGATGTGATTTTTGTCTTCAAAATCCCCAGCAGAGGGAGAGACTCTGACAATCATAATGAATGCTATAACAGAGTTCTTACGAGAGGTGGTGGGAATAACAGTCTAGTGGGCATAGGAGAAGACAAGCCAATTTCAGCACCTCTAGATTTCACTTTGGGGCATGAAGATCAGTGAAATGTGGAGAGGCCATGCAGCCTGCCTGCAGTCACACAGTGCGCATGCGGCGCGGGCAGGGTTAAATGGCAGGTCTCCTCCTTTCGCTCCATTGCACTGAGTGACAAAATGGCTCAAAGGAGATCCCTC